CTGTTCCGGAGTGTTCAGAAATATGTGGGTCAGTGCATGGATTGTGAGACTGGGAAAGGGAGACCCACTTTACAAGGGAAGTCTCCGGGGAATGTCGAAGCGACGTACCCCTTCCAAATTATCGCGATGGACCACATACCATCTCTCCCCAAGTCACATAAAGGAAATACGGAACTACTGATCTGGGTCGACCTGTTCACAGGTTATGTGATGGCTAAAGCAAGTGCGTCACGGACAGCCCAGACAGTAGCTGAGGGATATGAAGAATGCGTTTTCCGCCGTTTTGGTGCCAGTGAGACGATCCGTCACGATCGGGAACCGGGGTTTATGTCGGACTTCTTCCGAGCGTTGAGTCGTATGGTGGGTCAACTTCAGAGAGCGACCATGGCCTACCGGCCTCAAGCGAATGGCACTGCGGAGAGAATGGTACAGACTCTAACAAGATCTCTCAAGATGTACGTAGCCGACGTGGGACAGCGAGACTGGGATGAGTACGCAGAACGATCAGCGTTCGCGTTAAACACGGCTCAAGACAGAGTACGGGATGAAACACCGTTCTATCTGGTATGCTAGGACCAATCTTGAGACTATGTTACCGGTGGTGAACACTCGACGTCGAGAATCAGGACCTCGGAGATGGAGATATCGGATTCAGAGTCACTATCAGCGAGCAAGAGACCAAGTCAACGAGAATTTACGGGCGGCTAGTCAGGCTCGGGTGCAAGCACAAAATGAAGGGGTAGTCGGCCACAAAATTCAGCCAGGGGCCCGGGTATGGCTATACTTAGACCGAGTGAAGGAGGGATATGCCAAGAAATTGGCCCACCTATGGCATGGACCGTTCCGAGTCCAGGAGTTAGTCGGAGATCATGCAGTACGTCTGGAGTTACGAGGTACAGAATACAGACTATTCCCAATCGTGCACATCTCCAAGCTCAAGCCCGTCAGAAAGTTCCCCGATCGACCGAACAGCGAGCTGAAAGTGGATGGAACAGATCGAGTCGACTTCGACGAATGTCTGCTACCAGAAGACAGCTGGGTGCGGGAATTGAAAGAAGGCGAGTATGAAGTCGAAGAAATTTTAGAGAGTCGTACAGGCAAGAAGACTCGGTATGGGAGGCAACAACGAGAATTCCTCGTGCAATGGAAGGGACACCCTGACCCCTCGTGGGTGGACGAAGTGGATCTGAATTGCGGAGCTTTACTCCGGGACTTCGAGCGCAAGAAGACAAGCCATAATCGCTTCGAAGTAATGCAAAGCCATGAAAACTAGCAGACGGTAGCAAGATCCTTGGAAGGTAGACCGGGTCCCTACTTGATAGAACTGGTCTATCATTGGTCGGCCCGGCCCCTCGTTGGTAGACTTGGGTCGCCCACGGGGAGACCTCGAACTTCCACGAGTCAGGTGTATAGAAGAATGGAGAACAAAGGAGGAAGATTGCCAAAATCACCTGGAACAGAGGAAGGCATGGCAAGAGGAGATAGAAGATGGACAAGCACACAAAATAGGATCGAAGAAAAAGAAGATTCATGTTAAAGGGAAGACCTAAACGGGTGGCCCAAACTTACTTTTGAGGCGTGGAACTAGAGCGCCAGGATGGGGTACAGAAGACAACCGATACTGGTTGAGCCACGGCCACGCGGAATCCGACACCCGAAGGGCCTCAAGCAGGTCGAATGGGTCCGACCCCTCTTCACGACCAGGGAACCAATAAATCACACGGCGGGTTCGAGGAAGATGACGGAAGAAAGGGTCCAGGAAAATGTCGAGATCGCAGCTGCTCTTGCTCATACCAATGAAGATAAGGTCGACCACCTCCCGCCACGCTCGAGTTGCCCGACTCCGACGCTTCTTCCGCACGTTGTAGTAGGACGCGAGGAAAGAGTTTGCGCGCGCTTGGTCCTTGGAGATCCACAGGCAGTGGGTCGCCTCCCAAAGTGCTTGACTATGCTCTTCGTCAAACTGGATGTAATCCGCTGCAAACTGGGCGAACCAGACAACAGGTCGGAAGGAAACGGGTTGCATGGGAACACGAGCTTCCACCCAAGGTTCCGCCGCCAGCAATCTCTGGATCATTGGAGGGTTCACCAACGACTTCTTCCATTTGGGATGGTGGTCGAGGTTTCCGTCCGGAGGACCAAACCAACCCCAAGGTAGATCCAGCTGGTCGACCAAGTCTGTGGGAGACATTGTTACAATGCACCAAGAATTGACCAGGTCGACCGGCCAAGGTGCCACTTCCGCGGCGTAGAAGGTCTTTGACTACATGTACCCTGGGATCATGGCATCCTTGGGAAGCAAGCAAGAGTCGGCCGAAGGGGGCGAAGTGTTGTCCGCAACAATGGGCGTCCTCAAGTTCGTGGCGCAGGGAGTTATATTTCCGCTGGCGTATTCCAAGAAAGACTTTGCCAATTACCGATCATGTTGGATCTCCTTTTCCAAACGATCGCACCGAGTCTCTTGGAAGCGTACAGCTTCGCGAAAAAAATCCTGTACGTACGGATCGAGTCGACTTTCCAGACAATCGAAGAGATTGTCGATTTGGGCCTTTAAAGTGGATCGATCCACTAATGGAAGGGGCGTGACTTGACTGTTGGGAAATTCCACAGATGATTTTGGAGCTTGGCTAGAAGGGAAGATGGTACGGGTAACGTCTAATGGTGCCGACGTCATAACTGGACGGTTGGATGATCCAAAATTCGGAACAAATGATGAAATCACCGGGTCATTGAGATAAACGATCGTATCGGTGGAAAGGGCTGGGGACGTAATATTCTGAGGAGATGACGACATGATGGGCACGAGAACTGGACGAGAGAGATAATTAAATTGATGTTTGCACGGAGTACCAGCACTGTATGCTGGAACTCAGTGCAGGGGACGGCTGTGGTAAAGCGATCGGATAATTTTAAAGGGATCGATCAAAGAAATATCGTCGATCCACAATCCTGCGTTCCGATTGGTCAATAAGGCATGCGAGATGGTCGGAAGAGGGGGTAACGGTGTCAAGAACACAAAAGAATATGGATCGAAATAGTATTGGGTGTGAACCACACACTATAGTCCCGATCCAGGATGATCGGATCGTAACCTTGATCCAGAAAGTAGATCACAAAGCGTAACCAGTTACAGATCGATTCGCAACCTCGATCCATAAACCGGATCGACAAAACTGGATCGACGAAACCGGATCGACAAAACTGGATCGACAAAACCGGATCGACAAAACTGAATCGACAAAATTGGATCGACAAATCTGGATCGACAAAACTGGATCGACAAAACTGGATCGACAAAACCAGATCGACAAATCCGGATCGACAAATCGACGCAGTATTTGAAGTGGACCACATAGCAAGTCTGATTTATTTCCAGGAAGGCGACACGCGGCCGTAGATCCTGGGATACAGATAGGCAAGATCATAGGTTTTGGTATTTGATTGGTTAACATTAAACAGAGTTTCTTTTACTTCTAACTACGCACGCAGACTTCTCTTCCGGGTGGGATATTTTTGGCCCCCCGACGATCGAGAGCTTCTGTCACCAGTACCTACGAGTAATATCCATGGATTGTTTGGCCAGGGATTACAAGACCTCTCACAAACTCACAAGCAAACTTCGCCTGCGATTGGACGCAGTATCACGTAAAGGACAAGACACAAGATCGCGAGACGGCTCAAGTGATCAGAAGGTCAAGTGGATCAAGTGGATCAAGTATCTACATTTTTGGACAAGGCGATCTCAAGAGAGATCAGGGCGACTCATATAGAGTGCTCAAGTAAACCCTCGATCGCGTGAAGATTTCCGCGCGATCGAACCCCAACCAATCCCAACCACGGTCAAGTTCAGCATCAACTCGAGTCCACCGAGAAGAGTGCTACCCGCCGTACCGACGGGTACACAAGGTGAGGAAGGAATTGCTATATACGTAAACGGAGTACCCCCTCCGATAGTCGGTTGTCCGGGCGAAAGTGGAGAGTTGGGGTCGCATCAGCAATTTTGTGAACCCCGCTCCACCACATTTGAGCTACATCCCCAGATACCACGCTCACTACAATGCCCACAACACATTCTCATTACGGACGACTCACGCATCGCCACGCTCTCCACCATGCACCACACTCATCCCGCTTCCGTCCCGTATCTTCTCTGCATGTCCGCGCCTCAGAATCCATATGCAAGCAATCTCGCCACGCACAAAGTATTGTATGGTGCGTTCGTCCTTATTACCGCCTATTCAGCCTACCGTAGCTTTATCGCTCGTTTGTGAGCTGTTCGGTTGCCAAAACTTTAGTCAACGTGGGTGGAGACGGCATCAATCTTGGCGTTTTTTTGTCAACAAATGCAGCCTGATAAGCTACACCCAATGACGCTTCATAACCAGAGCAGAGGCGCCAGTGATAGAGGAGCTTTATTTGGTTCTCAGCAAGCATCTGCGCTGAATTATTATCGAGGATTTGCAACTCCGCTCGCGATTTTGGTTCTTGCATTAGTCGGCATCCGACTGCGTTTGCGTCAGCTACAACCGCTTATTCGAATGCATGCTTGCTTCGCAGCTGGGGAGCACATGCGAAGACTGATGGATCGGGGTGCGTTCTTTCTGATTTAAAAAGTTCGGAATAAACTATCGCAGCGCAAAAGAGTGTTTAAATTGTAGATACTTGACCTTTGGCGCAAAATTAGTTGTTCACTAGGCGTGTTTCACATTGTTACCTGACTGACGATGTGGGTGGAAGGAGCATGCGCATCATATTTGCAGATGACCTAGTAGATATGGTAAGCGTGGAAGCCCATTAGCATCACTCCAACCAATGGCCAACTTGAAGCGCATTTCTTATATTAAAATGTACAGCGGTTCTTGTGTCACGCGTTATCTGGCGAGAGTGCTGATCACTGCGTATCAATCAGCGGGTCTCACTCATCAGCTACTCCTACCGTACTTAACATGCAGATGTTACGGTTTGGCAATTGCTGCAGGTTAATCCGGACGTCTTTGTCTCTACTTGCGCCGGCGACTTCCGGCGCTCGTTTGCTCCAAGCGGTTCTTGCCAAAATCAAGATACTGCTGTAAGATGCTGCTCAAAATTAGCTCAGTAGAGTAGATTCGCCGCGGATTGACCCGAGTCAGCGCTTTACGAACCGAGGCTGTGGCCAGAGCTGCCTCGCTTGTGATCACGACGTTGTCCGGGCCAGCACTGCCTTTGGTTATTGCTGTTCCACCGGCACATTCCACGATCTTCACTAAGTCATTTACTGGTGGAAGCATCGACTTGTGATTAGTGATATATACCTGATGACCGGCGAAGAGCTGCTGTCGTTGCTCTGGGGTAAAGTCATACATTGTTTTCCGGAGATCAAACTGCCACTTTGTTTCTGCCTTCGCGTCCTTCAAACAGTGTGCACGCTCATAGATTGGAGCGCCGACGCGAGCTGACTCCTCGAGCCACCGTACATCCAGGATGTGCGCACCCCGCGAGATCCCACAAAGTAGCTTCACCGTTCGTTTCAATTGGCCCTTTGGGGCAAGAATATGCGTTGCCTGCTCAATGTTATCTTCGTAGACAGCACCCGCAATCAAATTGATTTTCTTTCGGATTGAAGCAGTTAGCTCAATGCCAGTGAGGATAATCCGCACTTCTTTGGGTTTTGGCTCGTTTTCAGCATTTTCTTCGTTGGCGGGAAGCTGGGTAGTATCTTTGTCACTCGTAGATTCATCTGTTGGAATACTTGGGCTTGCTTGAGTTGGCACCACTGTAGTCTCGTTGGATTTTCTCTTCAACCACTTTGTCTTGGGTGTTTTCACAGCTACCAAGGTTATAGCAGCAAGAATGTCATTCTCTTCAGTGCAAGCTAGCGCTAAAGCCTGCTTCGATTTATCGGAAGAACGCCTCATTTTTTTCGCCTGAGGCGCAGCACTTTGGTTATCTTTCACATTGATCGTCATCGAGTCCCTATCCGGTCCATCACATTCTTCATCTGTGTCATCACCTGGCTTCGAATCGCAGGAGCCTGCTGGAATAGAATTTGGCATGGATCGCTCTTTCTCATTTGCCAGCGCAATTGATGCTTCGCTATTGTCAGAGGCTTCCATAATCTTACGTTTGTTCCGTGCAACTTTGTCCATGCTGTCGCGCTGCGTACGGACTTCCTCATCTTCCTTCGCTAGGCGCTCTTTTTTTCCTTTACCACTTGCCTTGCCACAAACTTAGCGCTCTCCACTGCTTTACACACTTGATCAAACCAGAAGTCGATTCTTGTTCTCTTCATGGATACGAGCGTAACGGAGTCCACAGATCCATTGGAAATAACCAAGCTCCACTCTTTGTCTGCTCGCAGCTGCTCACTGATTTTCATCTCAAGAGAGTGAGTATCGAAATCGTATAAAGCTGAGTGTCTTTTCCATCCTTCCATCCTCAAAACTAAAAGCCATCTAGCATAGAAAACAATCTCAACCAATTCCCACCGAGCTAGGCTCGAGCACTTAGGAGGTGCCATCCAGAAAACACCAGGAAGATGATCGTCATAAAATGATGCAAACTTCGTCGAAAGAGTGTCCTTGTCTACAAGTTCAGCTGAGATCTCTTCGCGAATAGGAAGTTTGTCAATCGTCCGGCTTTGGTGAAGCACTTCGGTCCGCGATCCGTTCATTTCCAGAAACCCCCAAATCGTATCAGCCCATCGCTGGCTCTCCATTATGTCTTTCCAGGCAAAGACGAGAGTTGTCTCTTGACTAATTAGTGCCAAGCCACGTGCTTTCTCCGAAGCCTCAAACACTAGTGTGCTGGCAGGAACGAATTCTAGAAATGCTGCGTCTTGTTTAAGCTGTATGCGATGAAGAATTACAAAAGACATTCCCAACTCATTGCTCTGTCCTTTGCTACAAACTAAGGTCCCGTCTTGAAAGCAATGTGCATAAACCTTCTCTGAATGACTCAATAGCCCTGTACTGGCGGCAGCCTCGCAACCGACTCCACTAGAATCGCTTCGGTCCCTCAACTTTATCAGGAACACTTCTCCAAAAAGCAACAACTTATTGTTGGACAGATCATTAAAAACATCAGCCCCATCACCGTAAAAGCACGTCTGCAGTGCAATCAGCTCTTTTTCCTCTTGTGCATTGGCCTTTACAAGATGAATATAATGCTGGTTCTCCTGGACGATTTGCATCAGTTGAGGAGCATAACTGAATGTGTCGTCACTGCCTGTATCGCTGTCATTACTCCCTGTTTCGTCTCTTTCGTTTCCTGAAAGGATATTGCTCAGTGCCTTAACGAAGTCTACTAATTCATAAAACCGTTTCAGCGGGCGCGACATTAGCTTTTCAGCAGTGAGATGTTGAGCCTCCAGATACTTCACCAGTATCTTGCCATCCCATTCTTTGTTTTCCTTAGCTAACACTGTTTCCAATGTCGCTTGAGTGGCTTCACTTTTACAGATAAGTTGTCCGTACAGTAAGCGGAGGGCACGCAGCATGTCCGACATAATATTCGTCAAGTTTTTACACTTTACGTTGACTGATCTGTCATCTTCACGGGATAACGGCTCTACTATCGGCTTCGTTTTCTCTTGAAACAACAAGTGGAGATGCCGGAGCTGAGCTGCAGACTCGACGAACCTGTTGAAAGCGACGCTCCCTACGAGAGACCCACCTCGCGATCGACATTCAAATCGCAGCTTCTTCGCCAGTTTCTGTTCAATACTATCCAAGAAGTTTACATAATTGTCATCATCTTCCAAAAACACCTGGAGTTCTGCCTTAGCGGCTTCCCATTGCTCTCGCATCAGTCCGAGTTCCTCCTATCCAGCTACTATTTAGTAATTATTTAAAGAAGGTGTTATTCATCACCCACCTTTTTGCTAGCCATCAACCACCCCAAAAATTATAAAAAAATCTGATTGGTCAGCATTCCCTTTCTTCAAGTAGGATAGGACGCCTCCAGCAAGAGCGAAAATGGGGAACCAGGTGTCAATGGACTTTTAGAATGTACAGAGTGGACAACTGAATGTTTAAAGCGGAATAAAACAAGTAATTATTCTTGTCTTGTTATGTGTTTACAAACTCTTAAGGTTAATTTGTTGTACGGCAATGTCAGATCTGCCAGCAGACTGACCGAAAATGCCCGTCGTCAAGCACTAGTAGCTGATTTAGAAGCAGTCTATACGGAAGTCTAGCATGTATAAGAAACGGCAACTGGCCTACGTAATGGAAGTGCAGCTCAACACCATAGCGCCATATATTCCGCACTTTCTTGCTAATTAGTCCACCATCATAGATGTTTGGAAAATCGGATTGGTCAGCATGTTTTGTACACTTTTTTCCAAGTAGAAATAGGACATCGATAATAATAAGAACTTTCATCTCCAAAATAAATAGCCTTGCACCACCTTTGCAGCTTGCATATGCATCCCTACACAAGCAAGAGCCGCTATCAATACTCAAACACAGTAAAAGGGTTATGTTGTTGTAAGTAAGCGCACAAAAGTATCGGCAAAGACAGTATGTCAATGGTGCCTATGCTCAAGATGGAATGGCGGAAGATCATCCTGCTTGGACGTTTAGATATATGGCCTCTTTTGATATGTAGGTCTCTACAATGCTAGACAGTAGTCGATTCGTAGTATTTACGCGCTAAGTGGTCTTTGAATAATCATTTACTGTGAACAACAATATTGAATACTATCATTAATGTTGCAAGATAGTGCTCTAAACGACGACAGGTTCTTAATGACAATGGCCTCAATGCCTGAGCCTGTGGTCGCCAAGAACTTGTTGTAGTCAAGCACCAACAACAGTATCAGCATGTAGAAGCACTAGATTATAAAGTTGAAAAAATTGACGTTTCAAGTATTTTTTGTTATTTCAATGAGATGATTCCACTTGACATTCTGACTAATCAGATTTCTCGATTAATTTTGGGAGGGTGCTAATTAGCAAAAAAGTGCATAAAAAATTATCACACCCTTTTTTGTTTCGATATGGATTCAACCCAATTAGAATCTTATAAAATTAGATTTTGTTGATGATTAGCAAGAAGAGTGATGAAATAACGCCTAAATTTTGATTCAACGATAAAAGGAGATTATATAAAGTGGTTAAAACGATGCTAAAATAACATGTTCTGTATCTCCAGAGAAAATTAAGAAATCATCTACAACCTCAACCCTACCAAACTCACGTGCGGCACGAAATAGGCCAGCAACGTGCCCATTTTGTTATCGAATTCCTAATTTTATGAGCAAATCGCCGTGTGAGCGGACAAGCCTCCGTCACAGCTTTTGTTTCGCGATGTTTATCACTTTCTCATTTGCAAAAAAGACAACCAAATTTCACATGACGTCGTGTCAAAGTTTCAACGTTGCCCCGACACAGCAGCCCATGACTATTGGCGAGAAGTATCCGTACAAATCCGGCAGCCGACGCCACTCGCATTTGCAGCCAGCACCGCACACGCTGCTCAGGCGCTCTTGTCTACGCAAGGAGAGCGCCTTCATGTATGGCGGCGCCTCGCGCAGTTCGCGTCTGGACGAGCTGTCCCCAACCAAGATGATCACAATCAGTTACTCGTTCACACCAAAGAAAAGTATCTCGTTTGCGGACCAGCACGACCAGCCTCTCGTGCTGGAGCGGGAGTTTAGCCCCACAGACGCACCTGTGTGCTACTGCGACGTCCCCATCGAAGTCACAGCTGGTCGTCTGACGCGTCGATGCAGCAGCAGCAGTTTGGAAGAGTGGATCACAGATACCGTAGCAGGCCAGCACTTGCTGTCCATGTGCGTTGTTTCGCTATTGGGCTGTGCTCTTATCGGCCTCCGCCAGACGGTCAAGTAGTACGATCTCAAGCGTGCATCAGTTCGTGGAAGTGGTGTTGACAATTACGAACCTTATTCATAAGAATGAAATTCGCCACTCGCAAGTGCCGTCCTGACTACATTACTTTCGACGCTTCGTGGTCCAAGACTTGCTGATTGCAGGTAGTTTCAACCGATGCTTGTCCAGTTCGACGCGCTGCTGCAAAACGCTGCTCAAAATTAGCTCGGGTGAGTAGTAAATCCGCTCTGGATTGGCGTTTACAAGCTGTTTTCGAACTGATGCGGCAGTCAGTGCCATTTCACTCGAGATCACCACGTCATGTATCCCCGGCTTTCCTTTCGACGACGCCTTCCCGCCCGCGCACTCCACGATTTTCACTAGATCCTTCACCGGTGGCAGCACGGACTTGTGGTTGGTGATAAACACGCTGTAACCAGCGAATAGACGCTGCCGCTGCTTTAAGGACACGTCGTACATCGTTCTTCTCAGATCAAACTGCCACTTGCTCTCCGCCTCCTCGTCATGAAGGTAGTTCGCTTGCTCATCGACAGCCGCACCAGCCCGCGCCGATTCGTCTAGCCAGCGTTCACCCAGAATATGCGTACAGCACGATATCCCGCACAGCAGTTTCACCGTGCGCTTCAGCTGGTTCTGAGGGGCAACCACATGTGTAGCCTTCTCGATGTTGCTTTCGTAAACCGCATCGGTGATCGACTTTATCTTCTTATGAATCGCAGCTGTAGACTCCAGTCCCGTCAGAATAACGCGAATAGCCCCACCTTCCGATTGTGACTCCGTAGATTCGGTTACTGTTGCACATTTCCTCGAAGTAAGCGCCTTAGGCGGAACTGTTAATGCTGGACGAGACAAAGCTTCCTTTACTTCATCAGACCGGCTGCTCTTGTCTGTCAAAATGTCCAAAGTTATCTCATCAGCAAGTTGCGATGATGTTGAATATTTGTGCTGGTTATCTTCGTCGTTCTTCTCTGCTGCTTTCTGGTTCTCCAATGAACTTGTCTGGTCCGAGCATTGCAAAGGCATTACATCTTCATCAAGACAAATTCGTTTTGACTTCACGTGCCTCCAATCTGGAGCTTCATGTTGATCTCGCTTCGGGTTGCGGCATAGCAAAGTAGAGTTAGGTGTCTTCTCCGGCGTCGACAGCAAGCGTCGTCTACTCTTCCTTTCTGGGTCAGATGTATCTTCTTGTACCGTCATTTTCAAGCAGCTTGCACTCTTGGCCAGACGCGGCAATTTGTCTTGGAATACCGGTGAGTCACTCGTGTTTACTTTGCTCTTCACTGGCAAATCCTCCGCCGGTTCGCCTTCGATCTCAGTCTCTCCACCACTACTGTCGGAATTGTTACGAGTCGGTAGATCTAGTGCTGCTCGAAAAGAGGTGCGAGGCTTGTAAATCCTATTCTGCACAACTTCTTGTTCTTCTTCTCTATGCCGAAATAGAGCAGCAATTTTTGACAACCCAACAACAGAACTGTCTTCTTCTAACATATCGTCTGACATGTTGGAATCGTCGTCACCGTTTTCCATTCCAGCGCCGCCAACGGATCGGCTTGCACTACTTACCGCCGAGGGTATTGGCAATGACACTGTCTCCTCAACAATCTTCCTTTCTAGTCTGGACGCTCCTGGAACCATTCCAACATCTACACCTTTTAGTCATCTTCTATCGTATCATTCAGCTGCAAAGTGCAATCGCAGTCTCCTACCCTCCTGCTCTTCAGAGTTTGTCATTCGAATCTGCGTCTCTTCTTCGTCCACATCGTCTTCTTCATGCACAAGACCATCCTTCTCTTTTTGAGACGGCATGGCAGCAACAGACACGGGTGCTGTACTCTCTCCAGACGGCCTCACTCCTTCCGTTGCAGCCTGTGTCATCTGGCTATCCCGTTGCGTCGGTTTTCCATCCAGTTGCGACAGGGCGGCGCGCTTGCGATGGTTGGCAGTGTACCATTGGCCTGGTGTGTCACGGAATCCAACGGGCGTATGCTGTCCCGAGTCCTCGTCAAAAGGACACGAGGCTTCGCCAGCCATGACGCGAATGCTGTCAAAGCTGCGAATTTGAGGTTACACGAAACTGTTTTGCGTGTCAAATCATCAGTAAACCGTGTTCACTTGCACGTGTATAATTAATTAAAACATCAAAGTTCTGTTTTTCGCGTAACGAAGGTACATCAAATAGGCTCTATTTCCACCCCTAAAAGGTTTGCTAACGACATGTTAAAAAGTAGGCATTACAATACAAGGCAGGAAACTCTCGCATTGCCACCCACCCACATTTTAGCTCTGTTCGTAAGAGGGCTGATGTTGAGGGGTGTTTGACTCTTCAGCAATACATGTGTCGTTTGATCATTTTGTTTTTCGTGTACTAAAAGGGCGTCACCAGGCTGAATTAGTGCAAAGCTTCAACGTTGCTGCAGGCCAAATCTCAACCAGTAGCAATTCAAGCAACCTTCATTGTGAGCAACAGACGCAGCATACCATGTCTTGCCGACGAGCTTTGAAATTTTCATTGCAAGGCTTTTGAAGAAAGAGACCTGATGCGGGATTCGGGCTTAGTAAGACTACAATTTGCGTACGATCTGAAGCCTGTTTAACACGTGAGGCTCTACTCCTATGGCAAGCTATTCGTATATGCAGCTGATAAGCATTCAATGAAGACACCGCTACTGTAGTCGATTCACTAATCTTTTCATTCGTTCGTGTTTCTCCCCTGTGGCAAAGTGGCGTATGGTCCGTCCGCTTTCCATGCAGAAGACTCACTAATTGTCTCGTTTCTCACTTGCCTCTTTGCCTCATTTTCCCTTCTAAACGACGTCAGGATGCAGAGGCGACACAGCCACCTAGTATCGCAGCCAGTACGAGCGACGACGGATGAAGTTATAGTCTGGCAGCTCATGGATTGGACCTGTAGCAGCCAGAGCGTGCTCCTTATCGTTGACGACCTCGTCAGCCGTTTTACGGACAGCAGCGGCATCCACAGCATCAATGCGAGCGAAGATCTCAGCGGGGGTCATGCGGCGGCCGTATGTCAACATCTGGCGACCTATGTCCTCGCAGATTGGCGACGAGCCGTCAAGCTGCATCAGCATGTTGGCCTTCAGCTGCGTCTTGGCACGCTCAACCTCATCGTCCGTGGTCTTGTGCACAAGACGCACTAGGGCCTCCATCGTGTACCACGTCAGGTCGTTCAGCTTGTACTTGTCGGCAACAGCGTACACACCGAACAGACCCGTGTCCTGGTAGCACGTGTTGAAGGACATGTAGGAATGAGCAAGCTCCTTCTCAGCGACCACCTGGCCGAGCTTCGATGACATGTTCATGCCAGCGCCAGAGGTGCGGTCCCAGCTACCGAGCAGCGTCTGCATGATCAGCAGGGGGAACGAGTGCTCGCTAGTCCAGCTGAAGCCCTCGAAGGCAATGGCAACGTGAGCCAGAGGCATGCTGTCATCTTTGATACGCACATCTGAGCCGACAAAGCGCACTGGCTCGAGCGTGGGAGCCACAGCGGGGGTTGCAGGAAGGTTGCCAAAAGAATTCTGGGCCAGCTCCACTAGCTGCAAGTGGTCCACAGCACCAGCACCAGCAATCACCATGCGCGGGGCTGTGTAGTGCGTGGCAATGTAGTTCTGCAGGTCCGACTTCTTAAGATTCCGGATCTAGATAAAAAATCAACATCATAAGTCCGTTAGCCAGGTCAATCACTTGGGCTAGAGCACATCACACCAGCGTTGAACGTACATTCTCAGTGGGTCCGAGAATGGTGCGGCCGAGGCCGTTGCCCATGAAGGCGGTCTCATGGAGGCGGTCGAAGACAACTTCTTCCTGCTGCTTGTTAACCTCCTCCATCTCACGAAGGATGACGTCGCGCTCGCGCTCAATGGCAGCCTCGTCTAGCTTTGAGTTCTGTAGAATATCGCTGAGGATATCCATAGCACGAGGAACGTCTTTCTTAAACACCTTGGCGTAATACACAGTCTGTTCGCGGCTCGTGTAGGCGTTAAGATGACCGCCCATGTTCTCGATCTCGAGCTCCAGCTGCTGCTGCGTACGTTTACTCGTGCCCTTGAAAGCCATATGCTCCAAGAAATGTGCAGCACCGTTATTCTGCGCCGTCTCATAGCGAGAGCCGGCACCGATCCATACGCCCACGGTGGCCGTTTCGCCGTGCGAGCCCTCGGAGGCCACACGCAGGCCGCTGGGCAACGTCGTCACCTCAGTGGCCGGCGCGTTCAGCACGTACGATGGGTAGTTGGATACAGCAGCAACCATTGACGACTGCGCACGGACGAGCGGTTGGCGCACGAGGCTCAACTTGGACATCATCTTGAAGACTTATGGGGGTGAGCGGACTTTTACTGTTGTTTGCTTCCAGGCTACGAATGGAAGACCACCAGTACCCCACGTTTTAAAAAGACAATTTTATGATTTTTAGCATTAAAAGTCGGAATTTAATGGGCGCAAAGACGACCGTCATGCAAAAACCATACTAAATGCAAGATGCGAAGTTTAGCGATGGGAAGCGTACAGCACACTTTCTACACGTAGGACGAAAGTCGGCACGAATAATTATGCTGAGTGTCATTATTGACATGTGTACCATTGGCAGACTATTGCAATAATTGTGTAAGCGAAGTCGACAAATATTCGACAAATTTATTTGAGCAAAGTTGAAGAAAGTGCTATCTTTTCTGTAGATAAAATATTCGCTTCTCATTTTAATCCTAGAACAATCACTATCAATTAGTAGCACTAGCAAATCGTTCCACTGCTACAGTAAATATCGCCACGATCTAGAAGGTTGCGTCCTACGTCTCGTTGGTGTGGCGAATGTAAAAGTTGCGTTAGATGCCGTAGGGCATTTGTTTCTAGCACAACAATGATGCCTTGTGGTGTCGGAGGCATCATCACCGTATAATCATCACTAGTAGCGTCTACACCAAATCGCTTGTTCTTGTGGTCAAGAGTGACGCCTCCAGCCCGTCTGTGCTCCACGTTGATATAGTGACGGCTCCGACAAAGCTGTTTCAGGTCTATAACTTTGGTACAAACATGGCTGGAACAAACGCAATATCAAAGTTATCACATTCGAAATTTAATAGGATGTCATCACTTGCCTTTTGTGATTCTAAACAGTCATCGGCGCGACAACGTCGTCCAGTTACAACGTGGTAGAATGGGTCGCAATATTGACAACCGAGGCAGCATCTTTTCATAAGCGTCTTCTCTGCAAAGCACTCCGTCCTTAACGAGATATCCATCGAGCGCAATTTTTAGGATGTAGTCCTTTTCTCAGCAGGATTTTTTGTGAGTGGGGTCCTAATGCAATGTGTAAAGCATCCTGCTCGACGGGGACACGCCTAATCAGAAGATTTCTCATTCATCAAACATCGAGAATATATCATACAGTACCGAGCTCCGTACAAATCTTGGTAGAACCTACAGAATGTGACGAGCCATATTACGTCTGCTTTAGCGCATATTGAATCGTTACTACAAAATTCAATCTTAGGCACGAAAAAAAGAACGACCGCATTGATCTATCACCATGCAACACGCTTGAAAGTGCAGGAGCGCAGCAGACATAAGTCTAATTGGACGCCGCTCTCGTCATTCTTAGAATTACGTTACGATTTTCTGCTGGGCCGAATGCTAGCGGTACGAGGAATTCAGTGAAGATGGACACCGCAATGGCGCTCATTGCGCTACGACGGCAGTATAAAACAGCTCCATGTAATTCTGACGTCCTAAGAAACGCAATAGAAAGACTGATATCTTTACAGCAAGCTGCCTTCCTAGCTCGTATCCCGTTTTATTCCTCCGGGATGCTGAGCAAATGTGATATTGTGATAGGACTGACGAGTCTAAGCTTAAGATGACACCATGCAGCCTTCCAATAGGACTGGATTCGCAACGCCCTGGTTAGGTGCTGACTTTGCTGCACTCAGCCACGAACTGACGCTGCTGCGTGGAGAGACCCCACACGGGTGCCCCTCGGATAAGCAGTCGCTGGATGAGCGTCTCCTCCTCGCTGGCGATCCGTGTAAGCGCCTTAATTTGCTCTGCAGTGGTAAGTGAGTCCTTTTGCGTCTCCCACTGCTTCATGAGCTGCTGGAGCTTGGTCACATCTTGTGGCTCGGCACGCGCGCCGGGATTGAACTTGGAGTTGGCTTCAGAACGCGACTTGGCCGAGCCATAAAAGCCGCCCTGGCCCTCGGAGGGATGACCACCAGAGTACGTGGTGAGTGCGCGAGCAGAGGCTACGCGGCAAGAAAAGGCGGTGCGACGGCAGGTCTGGAAAACTCTGGCCTGCATTGTATGAAAGAGAAGAAGATTACGGGAATGACTTGGGAATGAAAAGGTCTTTAAATATGACGTCATGATTCTATAAAAGGTTCAACGATGATTGGTCCAAAAGATGTCGACGCGCACTGCGTGGACATACTCTGGTTTGTCTCAGCGACAAAAATCGGACGCGCTTTCGACTTGAAGTGATGCCGTCAACGCGCTTGTTGGTGGCGATCCCTTTCGCTGTAGCGCTGGTTGCGATCGTATGGACATTACCCCACTGGCTGCATCGACTTATACATCACGTCCTCTGGACTTCTTGACTGCATACGAACCGCTAGTAACGTAGTACGAGAGTGACGTAAAAAAAGATTGTGTTGAGTTTCTACCTGGAGGTGCAATGTTTCCCGATGCTCAGAGCACGACAACGTTTTACAAATGCGCTACTGAAAGACTTTGTGGAAGACACTGAAGCCAGAAGCTTCTTTTGGGAGCATGCAGACTTGGATTGGCGGGATTGAATCAATGAGAACCTCGAACGGGGAGTATCAAAACACCAGTTTCATCGAGCAAAGAATATATGCTGCCATCATTGTTGCAGAAGCACGCTAGTCTTCCTGAAGTCGTAAATTTCTGTGGTCAGTGGCGTCTTGCACTATTTTCGCTGGATGCGCTGAGCAAAAGCACATGTACAGATGCTAATGGACACACAGTCGGAGGATGTTCTAAAACGCGTGAGACCTCAGGGAAAATACTTTCGACCTGTTACATGTGTTTTCAGACCCGCTTGGCCAACTATATCCGCGAAGACTACATGCAAGAGTTTTTTGTCAATACTTTCGCTTTGAAGTTGCACGCATCATTTTGGGGAGAGTAAAGATAACGACGTGCTTCCTTGGAGGTACTGCGCAACAGTCTCCTCGCATCGACTTAGCTATGGAATCTTGGACGAAGCGTGCAGGTGTTTTATTTACTACGCCAAGCCAAATTATCTTTGCCATTTTGAGCCGAACCGATTCACGACTCTCTTTCTCTATCTGAATGAATGCTCTGAAGGTGGCGAGACAGTTGTTCGGTACCTTGAAGGAGCGTCTAGTGGCTGGAATTGAGCGAGAGGGCATGATCGAGTGCTTTGATGGTCTTGCTGTGCCACCCGTGAATGTCACGGCGTCTGCGAGTAAAACAATGGACCCAGCCAGTCTCCACGGTGGTTGCCCACCGATGAAGGACGTCAAATATACCTATGACATGTTACATCTAGTGTACCAACAACTTGTGTACATGTGTTTCAACACACGTATATCTAGTCGGCCAGCGCGTCTAGATGGAACGCGTGGGGCATGAGAAAAGGTTTTAGTTGATAACACACTTCAAATATGCTGAAGTCAAACTTTGATATTTACTTGCAGTGTTCCATTTGATATAATGGGCCATACGATTAGCGTTAATCGACAGCAAAGCAGCAACGCGAGTGCAGCTGCAGCATCACGCCGGAGCTACACGCCAGCGCAGATGCAGGCACTGTATTTGAGTGGTGGACGGCCGGACATGGCGTTCATATCCAATCAAGTCGGAAATATGCCCGTTGGCCTTCCAGAATTGCAACAAACGTGCACGGTGAAGAACCACGTGAACCTGAAGAAGGCCAGTCTCAAGCTACATCGGTCTATAGAGCCACAGCATTACGCTCTAGAGTTCCAGTTTGATGCACTGCAACCATGTCGAATCAGTGTGTATTTGGTGGCAGCTGAGACCATCGACGCTGACACTGACTGCTCCAGTTTTGCTCTAGTCCATGCAGACAAGAACCCGGTGCTGATCCAGCACTTTCCTTCCGGAATGAGACAGACTTTTGCTCTCACAGGGGCTGAGAAGGAGAAGAGGACGGTGATGGAAGAGGGGACGGTGACGACGGAGGGCAAAGAGAAGCACGAGCACATGTTGCCGCTCTTAGACTTTTCAGTATACGACCCTGATGAACTGGTTTATAAAGCTGACACGACACAGTTTCCATTAATCATTGTGCTTGAAGTGATATCGGACAGTAAGTGTGCATTGTTGCAGCTTAGTTTCATTCATGGTCTAGTGTTTATGACTTTGCTGTGCTGTTGACAGAGATATGTCCACAATCTCAGTCGACATTTTGTACGTTTTTTAGGAAGGATGAAGACTGCTGGGACATCAAAATGCTGAAGCAGAAGATTTTAGTAAGCTTACAGGATGAATCAGTATTCAAACGTCTGAGGTCCGACGACTAATGCTTGTGTCGTAGATGAACGGACTGGCGTATGAGTTGCAGGAGATCTACGGTATCGATGGCTCGGTAACAGCAGCGCCCGAGACTGAGCGGAACAACGTGGCTGAGCAAGATCAAGCTGCCGCAACTCAGACTGCCAAAGATGAGAACGAGATACATGAAGGAGCCGAGTGCATCATTTGCTTGTGTGAACCGCGAAACACTACAATTTTACCCTGCCGCCACATGTGTCTCTGCAGCGACTGCGCGGAAGCAATACGAAAGAGTTCCAGTACATGCCCCATTTGTAGGACGCGAGTTGAAGCATTGCTTCATATTCGTACGACAGCAAAGGAGACTACAACGACAGAAGAGTAGCATATGACCGAAAACAAGGAACACGCAAGTAAGTGAATAAATACAAAGAACGCGGATGAATGTGTTGAAATAAACCATAGGGCATCATCATCCATCGTCCGTCAGAAGCATAACGAAAGCATTTATCAAATTACTGTGGTTCCTTCCTTCCTACCGATCAAAAGTTATCCCCTCGGCTTCCGTCCAAGTCAGTCCTTCACACATGATCGGGCTCTCTATCTATGTGACCTAGTTTTGCTGGTGACACGTGATGCCATCCACAGTTCAGCACTCGGGTTCCGCGCTTTTAATTTTTCTTGTTGATTTTGATCGATTATCTTGTACAAATACTGATGGCACCTGACGGTGCGTGCTTGGCGGTAAAAAATCGACAAAGATGCAGGTCGCTTGTTAAAGTTCTCGCCTACACCGTCGACTAATAACACCAAACACATACAGATAATACGTTACTGTTGCACCGCATCCTCTCCGTGCCCAGGTCTGTGCTCGAGCTCCGTCCCTGACTAGATGAATCTGATGCCGTCCTTTCAGTCCTTTTTTGGCGTGGAGCTGCTCGACACCAGCTAATTGTTTTTCCTCCACATTCCCTTCATCTGCAAGTCCAAACACAAAATTGTCAGCTACAGACATCAACGTCCGAGTTTGCAGAGAGAACACATACCAAGTTCGCAACTTGTTCGGGGGCGTCGCGAAGTCGGTTTGACGTCGACGGAGTCGAGCCGACTTCGCCCGTTGGGCCACAGTAAGGGCTAGTTTGGCCTTTGGCAGGGTGACCTCCGCCGCGCTGAGATTTTGGTTGACCCTCCTCTGCAGCGACTTTCGCATTCAGATCTCCTGAGGACTGCGATTGGAGGCCACCACGACCTGATGGACTGTCCCCACCGACGTCTCCTCGCCGTTTAGGGCTTTGGGGGCCTCCGAGACTAAAGTTATTGTCTGCACTGGAGTTGGAATCATCAGATGTTGGCGACCCAACCTTAGCACCGTTGTACGACAACTTACGCGTCATCATCTCTACCATTTGCTCGCGTTTCTTCAGCTCGCTTTCACGACGCATGTAGTCAACCTCCAGCTCTGCATACACATTCAAACGTTTAGTAACTACTTCTAGCAGACAATAAACGCAGGCGTGAAAGATCGGCAGTCGCACCTTTCAACTTCTTTTCACGAGCCATCAAAGCAGCTTCCTGTCGGCGCAAGTCTTCCTCTATTCCCAAAAGCTCCTTCATCTTCTGATTATAGGAAGTCTGCAAATTCGGATCAGCAGCTGCTGGTTGCGGCGTGCTAGCCGCCGAGTATGCACGTAATCTCTGTTGCAGCTGCGGTACACGCTCCAAGTCTTCGATTCTCGGTCGTCGAGAGCGTTGTCTATGGAGCATCCAACGAATTACCTGGAAAAGGCCCTCTGAGTACTGCGACGGGATGCGCGTGAACTTGCCAGCATTAATTTTCTTGGCGAGTGCTAACTGATTGGTCGCGTCGAAAGGTGGGCCAAGGGTAGCCATTTCGTAAAGCAAACATCCCAGTGCCCAAATGTCGGAGCGATCATCATAAGTCATCTCATTCACCATCTCCGGGCTCATGTAGTACGGTGTTCCAACATTCGTCTGTGCAAAGCGAGACTCACTGCTCAATTCCTTGGCAAGACCAAAGTCACCAAGCTTTGCGTTGTTCTGTCAACGGTAAAAGAAGAAATTATCAGAAACTCAAACGTACAGATAAAGACAAAGAACAAAGAAGGTCGTACGTTCGAGTCTAGGAAAATGTTACCCGGCTTGATATCACGGTGAAGAATTGGGCGAATGACGTTGCCTTCGCGGTGACGATGGCATTCCTTCAATGCCAAAAAGATGTGCGTGAAAATGTGCCAGATGAATCCTTCTTCGATGTAAGACCTGTTCAAAATTCAAAAAAAAGTCAGAAAAATCAACTCAAGATTCGAAAACAAGACATGGTGCTCATAGGATCGGTATCGTAAGTAACGTACCCCTCCCGTTTTTTCCTCTTAATGAACTGGCCAAGATCACCTCCTTCACAGAACTCCATGACAATGTAAATTCTTGTAGCCTGTTTGTCAATCACTCGATCCAAGTATCGAACAATGTGCGGATGACGCAATTCTCTCAAAATGTTCACCTTTTGACAAGCAAGACCAACCATCCATAGATTCCGTAAGTATTGTCCCTTCGTAGAGCGTAGACAATAACCATTTGATTCATCGACGCACCTCGCTGACAATGAGCTGTTTCTCCTTCTCGCTCATGGCACCGTAGTTAACCTCTTTCCACACAAGCATCTACTCCACACCACACAAAACACGTCAGTAAGACCGTGTCCCCTGTACTTTACTTTCTCTCCTTTGTATGTACCTTGCGATCGGCCTTGCGCACGATCTGCGTGACGACGCCAAAAGAGCCTTTGCCAATAATGCGGACCTGCTCATACGCGTCCATAGTGGCTACTGAATGTTGTTACGGCTGTAATTGAGGGGGGTCTCCAAGTAGATGGAGAGAAGAGGAGGAAAGAACGTCTGTGTCGGAGTGTGACCGTATCGACCGATCTCTTAACACTACGTGTCTTCTTCTTCTTCTTTCGACTGTTCTTCGTTTTGTGGCGGGTCACGGAGGAGCCTAAAGGTGGGGAAAGAGTCAGTGGAGGGAGAGTCGGGAGGACGATTTGAGACTTGTAACTGATACCACATCAGTTATGGTATAGGCGAATTAACAGCCATCACCTAAATAACGAAGTTACGATTATCTCGACAGAGTGGAGACATACGACTATGAGACCTTCCAAGTCACAACGTGCTGCTTTTTACTTGCGTTGCATGGCTCGTTCTACAAAACTAACCTCTTTGTCAAGTAGACGAAGCTTAAACTCATAACACTACAGAAAAATCCTTTCTTCATTTGATGAAATAACGGTTAGAATTTTGATGGGGTTTTCTACGATTGGAATACCATCGAGATGTTTCCAAGAAAATGAGCGCATCGGACTGCGTGAATTGTACGTTGTCATACTTGGGATTTAAAGGGTCTTATATATACGAAGGTAGTGAGTGATGCGAGAAAAGCGTCCGTGAACAGATAGGGCTACAATGCAAAGCATACGAGCTCAAGTGCAACAATAGTACGTACAGTACATGCACGTGTACAGTAATAGTGAGACCAGTACGGCAGTTACTTTGCTCTTGCTATAAACGGACGCCAGCCTCTTCTACGCCCAGCGAAGGTCACCGTGTCATTCTGTAGTGGGTGAATTTCATCGATCACAACGTGTGGCGCACATACTCGAACAAAGTAGTCAATCCGACGTCAATCCACAGTTACATGACTCGTGTTCTACTTACCTGTTACAGTTTTTAGATTTAGAATCGCCGCGCGTAATGTAGTTCAATCAATAATTGCCTTCCTGTGATCCTCACAAAACGAAGGTAAGTGGAAGTCAGGATCGCGCTGCGAGCATGTATCTTAAAGATGAATGCATACGCTCGTGAGTACATACATGGGTGCCATTGACGTTGACGACGAAGACAAGCCAGAGCCGGGGATGGCTACAAACACGTGCCGCGCAACTAGTGCTCGGCAGCCAAGAGCGCTTCACTGTCAAGCGCGTCCTCCTCTAGCATAAGCGCCACCTTTTTCTTCGTGGCTTTTGTGCGATTCAGGATGGAGCCATTCTGGTGATCCACCACGTTGAGAGAAATGCCCACGAGACTGCCCACCACTCCAAATGACACAAAGAGCAACTCTACACCCGGAATGTATCGGTCGTCGTGGTTAAACTCAGCCGCCACGGCTAGCGGAAATAGTGCGAGACCAATGTTCTAACGATATATGCACACAACGAAAAGTATCTTAGCGTGAAGCTTTTCAGGAACGAGGGCTCACCTCAAGCCCTAACTTTAGGAAGAGAAGAGTGTGGAAACCCGAACAATGTTACGCACCTGGATAGCAGTGATTGCTCCGTATGCTGTTCCCACATGCTTTGCCTCGACCACGTCTGTAGAGCAAATGGCACAGCAAGTATATATAAACATGGTAAGCACTTTGTAACTCAGCGGCTTAGGGCTCCCATTTTACGTACATGGAACGGAAGGCCACAATGCTGCGGCGAACACACTGTACGCAACACCTTGTAGCACCAACGGCACGTAGAGTGTAACTTGTGTGAGTCCTAACATGACGTGGACTGCGGTAAGTGCAAGAGGGGCTACCAGCGCCAAAATGGCGCGGAGACCAATACGATCGACCACAAATCCCAGGAATGGAGATATGACAGCGCTGATAATGTATGGGATGGACATTGGGGTAGCAGCCTTCTGAGCCGCTTCTGTTTTCGTGGCACAGTATGTTTTGGTCAGTGGACCAAACTTCCACGCGTCGTCATCACAATTGATATTATCTCCAAGAATCAATGGGGGCGAAGTCGAGCAATGCCACTGATCGAGTGGTTCCTTAATCGTGCAATTTGCCGACAGAAGAGGTAGTGGCCACCCGAACGGAGGAACACTAGGGCATCCCGGGGCGATGTCATGGCAATCAAGTGTACGTTCATACAAGCCCTCACCGCATCGTCTGCATTGCTCTGGAGGTTCTTTGAAGAAATCACGCTCCATCAAGAGGCTACTAGCAATGCTATTGAAAGGGATCACACAGCCATACACTACCAAGCAGCTCAATGCCAGGAGCCAAAAAGCCGGACGGAAATGCTTAACATCACTGAAATGAATACTCTCAACAGCTGCTCCATCCGCTTTCTCGTTTTGTTTCGTCAATTTTTCACCTCGTTTATCAATTGGAATCACAAGCAACACTGTAAAAGTGGAAGCGAGACACATGATAACACCCACCCAGAGCGCCGTCGATACACTCGACGCTTGGGCTATCATTGGACTCAGTTCGTTATTGATGACACTTCCAAGTCGAGCCACACTAAGGTTGATGCCCAAGGCCAAAGCCAACTCACTGTCCTTGAACCATGAAGCGACGAGCGTCCCCTGAGCCACTCCCAAACTTTCTCCACCAAAGCCAAACACTACACGACCAAACTACGTACACAAAACGAAATTCTCATCAGCCTTTGACGATCCCCCAACAGCAAGAACAATAACGCTGTCTCACCAGCATCAGGTTGAAGCTGGAGAGCGAGCAGCCCGTTGCAAAAATCACTTGTCCCATTAAAATTGCCGTCGAGAAGGCAAAGAGCATCACGCGCGCACCAAATCGATCCACCAGTACACCACCAACGAATGGCAACACGATGTTTGGGATTGAGTACAACGTGTACAATAAATTCTGCAGTTGAGACACGTTTTTTCATGGAGACTGTAAGGATTAATCAGAGTTTGTGAATCTAAAACTGTAAAAACTTGTTAAAACGTACGAAAAGGACCTCATATCGGTCTTTTGACATGGTGTTAAAGTGCTGCTGTAGCTGACTTTTAAGCGCCGCGGGATTATCAAAGCAGTAGTAATTGCCGATCATCAGCACACACGACAAGAACAGCACCAGCCATCGCACGCACAGCTCGCTCTTTTCCATGTCTTTGAAGATCGCAAAATAAGAACCGAATGTATTCATGTAAGTACGCGTTTCATAGACCATCACTCTTTGCGCTACTTCAACGTCGGGTAAAAATTGAGTACGCATCGGGGCGATATGCTTTTTAGTAGTTTCTTCTCCAAAGTCAAGAGAAAAAAATCCGCACGACGTAACTTGGTTGCTCTTACTTTGGGCCACTACACAAGAGAATGATGAGTCTATACCAATTTGGTCTCTATAGATAAGTATTATACTGTTCGCCTGTGACGATAGAGATAGCTCGTAGGCGTTTGACGTGACGCATGATAGCCACCATCTGGAGTTCAAAATGGCTGTAGAAGAAGGAGCTTTTCACTTCTGCTACCGATCAGCTCGACTCTGTTTTTGTCTATTGCTCACTTGGAGTTACTCCAATAGAGCCAATTCGTAAAGATTTAGAAAGCAGGTCAACCTGCATTCTGGCAGATTGTTATGCTGGCTAGTGTGAGACCCAAACAAACTAGAAAGTCGTATCCTTGTGGAGTCGTCTAGTTGATTGTGATCGCTCTTTTGCCATTCACTTTGGCCGCCAAACCACTATGATAATCTCAAATGCGTGCATGTGTTCAACGAAACAATCACATCAACCAACATTTGTATCAGAGGCGTCCAATGTGCTCGTGTTTCATCAGTATAAACCTATGTCGTCGTCTGCGAGAATACATCACGCGAAATATGCATCTCATTGCAATCATAGTCTCAGCTGCATCAATAAACACCGTTTCCATGTCGTACACCTCGTTTTGCCATCGGCTACCAAACTCAACTTGACCTGCACATTCGCGACTAATTGTCTTTGTTAGTAAGCAATCCTTTCATTCGTAAACTGGGCACGAGCATGCATACTCGGTAGCAAAACAGCGGCAGCAGTTTTCTTCTAAATGCAATTATCCAAGATACTGAACAGCGTATGACCGAGTATGTCGGAAAGCGTTATACAGCACTCGTTTTGCCTTGTGCCTTGCTCTGCTCCATGCAATTCATTTTCTTGTTTGGTGCACCCGAATCTGAATCGAGATGGCTGCGGAAGATAATGGTGCCAAGCAAGCAAGTTCCTTTCTTTCTTTTGTGGTCGCGTTGCTACAAGCGCTGCTTCTTGTTGCATCATCCACAGTGATCAGCCTACATGGCCATCTCCAGCTTCATGACCCGAAAGACAGATAACTAGAAGGACTTGTGAAAAGGCACGACAGATTCCTTGCGCTTATCTTGTACTATCGAACAACACCCGCTACCTTGCCCTTTACTGTGAAGACCTTTGTGCTCCTGCAAGATCTTGCGTCGCGAAGATTTCTTTGCATCGGTAAACCTCATCTCCGATATCTTTCGAAGCACTCCATTGTTCGCCCCAAGAACCTGGTACAACACTTGCTTGTGTCATCAAAGATGCCATGCTAGCGGAGAATGCATGTAGCCTCACGATTTCTGCTTCGTCACTAAACACTTCCATACTGTCTAACGTTTCTCCATTCGCAGCAAAGTTGTCGACTTGTGCTGAGTCAGTTGTCAGCTAAATTTCGTTTATTTGTTCGGTGTCAACGCGAACGTTTAGCTCCTTCGCCTCCATGAAATTGAGAAGTTCTTGACATTCATCTTCACTCATATACGCACGCATCACGCGTAACCCATCCATGTAAAGTGCCTTGCTCCATGCACAGGCTGCAATCCCACGATACAAGACCTTTTTTGCCGCATCTACCTTTCCCAGCGCAACCTCAAAGCGCATATACAGCCCCCAACAGAGCGCACTGCCTCTCGTTTGAATCTGAATCACCATGCTTTCGAATATATGACGGATACGATTCACTGCAGTTGTGTTCATACGCCAGTGATGAAACAGACAGCATGATGGGCGGGTCTTTTTGTCTTCATTCTCGGATGATTCCTTGATTGTCGCGGCTCGTTCGATGCGGCAGAACTCACAAAGTAATGCAAATAACCACTCTACCAGTCTAGGCGAATCATAATGCCGTCGCCAGCGTTTTTCTACCCGCAGAAAGTAGGTCCGATGGACCTGTGAAATAGTGTTGCCCATCTCGGAGTCGACAAAAAGCCGAAGAAATAATTCGTTAAACGGAAAGTTCTTCACTGCGTCACTAACTGATGTACGCCATATACGGGGCGCAACTGTGGGGAACAAGCCTGAAACTTGGTGCTGCTGAATGAATTCCAGAAAGCAAGTCCACGCCCAAGCTTCCTGCGAGCACGCTCGATGCTCCGCATTAGCTAATGCCTCGCAATACTCTCGACAAGCTGCATCAAATCCGTTATAGGCGTAAACGACTAGAGCCAAGTTGTGCAAGCAGTAACCAGCCCAGCAGCAGGATAGACTATGCGATGTATGCATTTCCTTGCCACACTCATGGTTTGCTGAAGTCAATGCAGCGCAATGCTGGACTGCAAACCTGAGCTCCGCTCGATATCTAGCAATGAGATTTCTTCCTGTCGATGGATCGGACATTAGAAGCTTTTGCAAGTATTTTCGACTCGGTTGCCGGCGTTTTGTAGCTACCATCTCCAGCGCTTTTTTCTCGTTGCAGTCTACTTGTGCTGGTTGCCACACATTCCACAATTTGTACAAACATCGGAGCATCCGGTGGTCTACGTGATCACGAATACTATTTTGAACACTAGAGGTAGGCCACATCTCTAGCCGCGTCTGAAGAAAAACAAAGCGATGCGTAGTTCTGGCCGACGATGTTATGTCCAAAGCTTGAGCCCCAAGTAATATGAGTGTATTCTCACAAATCCGTCGTACTTGACGCTCATTTCCCAAAACAAGCTCTAACTTAGCGTAGGCATGAAGAGCATCAAAATCAGTATCGCCGTTGGCAGAATGCTGAGCTAAGTTCTGACTTAAACGACGAGCATACGCTGCGGTTTCCTCTTGCCCTCTGGCTGCACATGCACGTGCAACCTTAGCTTCAAAGCTAATCCAGAGGCATTTTAGTTTGCTTCCAAAGTTGTTATCAACGTTGTGAAAATTTTCCAATCCTTGTTCGAAAACTCTACGCACGAATGCCACTTTGCTAGGGTCACGTAACACACCTTCATTAACGGCAATATCACCAAGAAGGGCATTTTCGAGCAGCATCTTTCGGCCGGACGGATCAAGCAATAACGCATGTTTTCGGGGGCAGTTTGCTTGAGGGTTTAGCATCGATTGAATTGGCGTGACAAGTAGCTCATAGTCCGTATGGCTGTCTGCATACATAGAAACGGAAGCTGGGACAGTAGTCTTCCATGAATATTCACCATTCCAATCTACGCCACAGATATGCAGTAGCTCAGCAACAAGTCTCCATCGGTAGGCCACCGGAACAGGAAACAAAAAAGGCTGAATTTCTTCGGTTAGCGTCGCACGATCAGGTTGCTGCTCAATAAGGCCTTGGTGAAGAGGGTTACTACACTGAAGCGGGGCCCATTGTACCTGTGTCTGTACTTCTTCGCGCCTAAGCCATTGCACAAAGCGGTCATCTTCCGCGACCGGATCATAATTTGCACGTTGATCTTCTACTTGCATTTTTGTCGTTGCAAGCAGACCATATTTCATCTTCTCTTTTTCCAGTAAACGGATTTGTCGAGTACGAGAATTTTCTGTACCACGTAATTCGCTCAGGATTCGCTCGTATTCCCTCGTATCGTCAGCCTCGTCAACGCTAATGCGGTATCCATGCAAGTTACTGTAAACAAGCGTGCTGCTTCGTTTAGGTTCCACTTCCGAATCATCACTCGCTGCTGAGTTAGCTGTGCTTAAGTCGGCCTCGTTTGTCGCCTTTGTTCCACCCACAATTTGTAACGTTTTTTTTGTCTGTGACAGCCGTTGGTATACCGCTGATGAAGACAGCAGGCTCCGCTTGTGTTCTTTCGATCGCAATACTATAGGAGGGTTTACTTGATCGACAATGGCCGCACATTTTTGCTCAATGTAGTCTCGAAACTCTGCGACAGAAACCTCAGGAGGGTCTACTCCCAATATTCCAGCGCTCAGGTCAGTTACATCTCTGCGCTGGTCACCAAGTCTCAGTGCAGCATCATCATTCCACCGCGAGCCAAACTTTCGCAGCATCTCCAAATGAGGTTCTCTGCTATCATTGCTATCTACTATCATACTGAAATCTAGTAAAGCTTGGAGTTGCGCGATTGAGCGTTCGATATAACCCGCTTTTTTCTCAAATACGCACATCAGGAAGTGGAAGTCAAGAAGTACGATTGACAACTCCCCCACTTGGTCGGCACAAAGCATTGCTTCGGTCTTTCCCCTTGACGAAGCTGTAGGAGCCGTCTCAGCTTTTTCTTTAGCATCATTTGCTTTCTGTGCTCTCAAAACTGTCAGTATACGTGCGTACAAATCGCGCACAGACTGCATCGAGAAGGCACCAAAGTGTTGCTGTCGACTTTGAAGTAGCTTGAGCCACAGCTCGCTGTTTGCCAGATCTTCAGAGAGTAAACTCTCTAACTGCCGCTGAAATGAGTCGACGTCACTGTTTTCACCGTTTGCTTGAGATTGCAGCAAGATGTTCAGCTTTACGCGATGTAGCTCTCGTGATTGAGGGTTACTGGTAAGCGCTCGTGCTAGAATCGCCACTTGTTTTTCCACAATACTTGCTTTTATAGCGGAACTCATTTTTTTTGATTTTGGGTGAAGGCGAATTGTCTGCTCCTGAAAGGCTATCAGATTCAGCCAATGGTTAATGACATGTGGACTCGCGGCTACAGCAGCATTAAGCTTTTTACTGCATTCTACCAAATGCTGTTCAACGCTTTGTCCGTCAGTCAGCAGAGAAGAATCGCCAAACATCGTATCTAGACCAGTATCATTTCCCTCAAGTACGTTGATGTCAAGCACTGGATCAAGTGGGATGAATGCCGTTTCGTGTGGTCGACTCGTGACCGTAGCAGCCTGGCCCACTTGGTTGCTGTGACTCATTTTGTTTTCAGTTGCTGCGCGTGTCAGTCGTTTTTCCGAGTAAGCAAGATACAGACGCTTCTGTCGAGCGTCTCTCTCCATCTTCCGCGCCTGCAGCGAGAAATATCGACCAGAATCCTGCCTTTCTTCCGAGAATATAGTGCTGATATATCTCGGTCGGGTTGGGATAACACGTGCACCTGTAAGCATATTTCGTTGTGTATCCAACTGGTAGCGCGGCTGATCATGAGCATACGTCGATCCGAAAAATCGATTGTTGGGATCGCCCGCGCGGTCATATTCAAACAAACAGTTGTCTTCCTGCTTCGCAGTACCTTGCCCATGAACCATAACATCGTTTACAGACCGAGTTATCACCTGGTTGTCTTGCTTATAGCTTCGAGACCGAGATCGAGAGCGTGACTTGCCGCGGGTGCGTTTTCGAGAGTGGTGGCTAGAATAGTGAGTCTCTTCTGGATCACTGCTATCACTTGAGCTCCAAGACCTGCGTCGTTTCTTTCTTTTATTGTTGTTCTTGCTCTTGTTCCTGCTCTTGTTCTCGTGTTTCAAGAGATCTCGAGTCTCTTTCGATTCCACAGCTATTGATTTGTCCCTCTGTCGTTTCTTCTGCGTATGTCTTTTCTTCTCTTTCTTATAATCATGTTTATCATGTCGATGTTTGTATACTTTCAGTATTTTCGATTCAAATGGTTCGATTGCTTCTTTCTCTTTCGCTTTTTCGTCGTGTTTTGTACTGGAGAAACTCTTGCCTATACTCAACCAATCTAAAGAAGCACACGGACAAACCAAGTCAATGCAACAATACAAACTTCTACTATCAAAAGATGATCCCACCATTATCAGCCTCCACGTTACTGCTATCTTTTGCACCGACCTCCTGAGACGAATGAGTCCCTGCTGCAAACATTGAATAGGGTGAATGAAGGTCTCTAGCATATCACAGAACCTACCGTCTCGCGTATGCAATATAAGAGGTTTTCATTGTTCGATCAAGCGTGTAAAAGACTTCGATAGTAATTGTCCATGTCTGCACCGAAGCAACGTATTCGCCAACGATTTGGATCGATTCAGGATTATCTTTTGGTTGTGCAAGTGAAGAAAGACTTGCCATTCCGTGCACCTCATGGAGGATTAATGGCTGGCTGGGAGAAAGTTGCTACAACCCTCAACAGCTACGATGCTTTCAAGCTGCACCATCTCAAGGGACCAATCGTTAAGAATCGCTTCGAGCGTCTCGTTGATCGCCATCGCAGATGGGTGAAGAATGGCAGCCTCTTGGAAAATGCACCGTCACAGGACGCTGCTTTTCAGATCGTCATGACTGAGCTCGTGCCCAAGCTCGATGCTGCGGAGGCGGAACCGCTGACCCACACGCTAGGCAAACGTGGTCGTCCACGGAAGATTCGGTCGGAAGATGGAATTGTTTCGTTGGAGAGAAAACAGTCTTTGACAGTCTCACAAGTGGTTATTGCTCCATCGCCATTGGGCCCTCAACCTTCTTTGTCTACGTCTCTCCTCGTGGACTCTGAAGACCAGGCATTGCCCATTGCGAGCAAGGCAAGCCGTCAGCGATTTACTCCTGAAGATGATCTTTTGCTGGTAAAGTTTGTCAAGGAGTCGCTGCCGTTTCGTGCCAAGTTTGGTGCGATTTCGGCGGCTTGGGAAGACGTGGCAAACAAACTGGACAACAGTCCGACGTTCACGAAGGACAGCATCCAAGGCCGAATTGTGCGCTATCGCTTTGAAAACTTAGTGACCAAGTACCGTGAACGCGTCAAACGCAACAACGGACGCGTTGTGGGACCGAAGGGTAATCCAGCAGGTCAACTTGAAGTACTGATGACAGAATTAGTTACTTTAATGGACGGTGGAGACCCTATCAGCGCTGCTTTGCTTGCGCAGAATGTAGCGATCGCCGCCACTGATGCCGTCACTACAGTGGCTACACGAGAGCTTCCTCGAACGTCAACGGGTCAGGATGAAGGTTCAACCATCACTACTAGCGAGCCATCGTCACCGGCCTCCAGTGGGTCTGAAGGCGCCCCAGGTGCTAACCGGAGCTTCACTACTCCTACGCCTCGAGACGAGCCGACAGTGGTGCCAAACGTAAGTACAGTGTCAGCTGTGCTGAATGCCGCTGACCCCACAAGCATTGCTGAGCTTAAGGCCCTGCTTCAGAAAATGGTGGAGGAACAGACTCGGTCCGCCGCGCAAATGCTATTGCTCCAGCGCGAAGAACGCCATCTGGAGGCGGAGCGGCGAGAGCGAGAGTATGAAATTCAGCGTAAGGAGCGCGAGAAGGATCACGAGGCGTTAACTGCCATGGTGATGTCGGCCCTAACGACGTTCTTCGAGCAGGTTGACCGCAAAACAAGTATTGGACAATGATGTAGTCGTACAAGGAGCGCTATTATCGTAGCAATATTTCTTACAGGGAGCACATACATGTATACGTACTGAACTGGTATTGCCTCGTCCATTCAAATGACCGTTTCATTTTTTGCACGCACGTCTGCATATGGGCGTTAACTTGTAAGTATGTTTTGTATGTCGACAAATGGATGTCAGTGGCATCTTCAGGTCGGTTAGGAGTTGAATTAGCAAGCAAAATGGAAGGGGAGATTGTCGTAGGTACGAGACTCCATTGGCCCAGCCACTTGCAGTATGAGCGTATCAATGTGGACAAGGTGCTGGATCAAGTGCGTACTTTTTGCACTCGTGCAGCTACGTACTCCAATGGTGGAGTTCTGATTGCTGTGGGACTGCCTGAAGCCATCCCTGGATCCATTCCAGCCGCTCGTATATCGAGTGGAAACGCATCAACGACCAGTGCCTTCACTGACTCCTTGCATGAGTTTATGGTCCAGTTGCAGAGCGAGGTAAATGCAAAAACTCTTGCTGGCAAGGTAGATATTATCCCTATGCTGCATTGGGGAAAGTTTGTTCCGGCCCTGAATGCGTTGATCGGAACCGCGGCTAACCGCTTTCCAAAGGCCAGCACCCTCCTCTTACAGTCCCTTGAAATTAACGTCGATGCAGCTAGTGTAGCGTCACTGCGTTCTCACTTTGACCTCGCACGTGACCTTGTGGTGGGAGCAGCACTACCTGGCCACGACTTTCAACCGAATCCGGTGAACCAACCGGTTGAGCTGAGCGGTTTAACGTCGCCGTGGAATACACTCGCACTGTGGAACCTGGAGCAACTAATGAAAGTTGGTTTTGCACTGATGGGAGACGCGTTGCGCCTTGAGGTCGACGGGATCGGCTCAGCCGCAGGCATCGAAGAAGTGGCCACCATTGCGATGTATCAGCAACTATACGTGGGCACGACGTCGCCTACGACGGCTAAGCTGGTGCGCGTGCCTAGTATCACGTGGCAAGTGAATGAATTGAAGGACTCAAAGTGCCTCGCGTGGCATGAGAAGAAGATGGCGACCAAGCAACAGCGCGCAGCTGCCCAGATCGCTCACTTTGGTGGCGTTGCCCCTGGCCGCGTGTATCACTTGGACGCCTGAGAGAATTGACGGTAGTAGTGAACTTCAGTACAACAAACAAGCTCTTCATTGCGATAGCGAGCCACGTCAGATCTCTGCAGGTCCATTCTATTCTATAATCAAATATTGTATCGGCGTCACGGAGCGCATTTCCACGCAGCATTCGAGCAACGCATGAGAAAGCGTGAGCAAGACTTGAGTTGGGGAGACAAGGTCGCATTAGCAGAGCCGTACACGGCACAAGCGGATTAATGTAAAGAGGTTGCATAAGTTGTGCGCCCGTGTAGGCATCCTTGTAGCTATTCAACTTCCAGCTGCGACTACTGCAGCGATCACAAGAGCGACCTAGGATCTGATACAATACATGTAGAGCCGATCTTTAACAAATACTTATAAGACGTCGAGTGTATTCGTTGATTAGTGCAGGAACTTGAGCTCCAGAACAAAGTGATCACACAATCAATTGCGCATCAAATGGAAACTACATCAATCTATGCTAGAGACAGCTTCAATATGACCTTGGCCGGCCATTATTAATGCCCTTTTGGCACTCTGAACTTGCAACAATTGACTTCTTAAAGTACGCACCAAGTTGAAGTCGAACTTATTCGATGTCTCCTTTGCTGTCGCTTTTTTGTTGACCGCTGTAAAAACACACAATCTGTGACACTAAGGCGCATTATTCCGGTATTTACGGTACCATCGTCGTCGTCTTGAAGCTGAAGTAGACAAGATGATTTCGGGCGATACCATCCAAGCACGTGCAGCTTTTCTGCGCAAAGAAGCGACTCGGCGATGGCTCGTAAAGGATGAATTACTTTTTCTGCTACTTCACTACAAACTGGTGAGCGTGCCGATACTTCAGTCGCTCCAGCTGCGGCCACCAAGTACGTTCTTTCATTGAAAGAGTTTCTTGTGACTGTGGTGATGGCTCCTTTGCTGTTGCTGCTTGACAGGTGGTACGCTAATGTTTTACAATACACTGGATGTCTCGGGGTACAAGAAAGATGGCTGGCAATGGCAAAAGAGAAAGGACAAGAGCGGACGGGTGCGACGACAGTTCTTGGAGTGTCTTAACTTATGTCATATACTGAACTTGACGGTAATGACTGAGTACAGGTTCGTGAGGACCGTGCGAAGCTTGTAATTAATCGAGAAGTCATTATCTTGGGAACTTATGTCCATTCTGCTGATACTTCTGTAAGTTGGCTTCGTGGACGTGTTTTTTTGTGTGTATATGAATTTGCTAACGAGTTGATTTGTAGACTTTTCATCGAAGGATTTATTCCGTGCGAGATTCAAAGGAGACTATTGTTCTCGTTCACTACTTTGATGAGGTGAACAAGGAAGGAACGGGACGTCCATTTTTGACGGGTGGCAACAAGCCGAGCGAAGGAGTACAACGGTCATTACCCGTTATTACAGCATCAATGTCGCTTTGTCAGCAATTAAATCCATCTAACTCTACATCATCAGAAGAAGAAGCTGAATGCATCATGAATGGTATGTACGTGGTGTATTCATTTTCCAAGTTTTAGGTTTCTGACCGTCGATCATCCGATGCAATATCTTATTAGGGTGCTTCGATATGGACTTTGAGCCACAACCGATATCGTGTCATCCTTCGTCGATTCGCTCCTCTGACTCGAGTTTGCTGCTACTAAAGGGTAGTAGTATGGACGGGATTACGACAGACTTTGGTGTCTACGACCTACTTAATGACCTGGATTGTGAAACCTCTTCAGAAAAGAATATTTATGGCTTGGGAGGCCAGCAAACTTTTGAGCTGGCTGAAATCTCAGACTTTTCACCAGATTGGGACTTTGGAGATGGTGGGGCTAAGATCTTAATCTGCCTAGCAGCAAAACTCCCAACGAGTCTGTCTCAAGATCCAATGAAACTGTTCGTGCAGTTTGGTGCGAAGCGAGTGCGTGCGGAAAAAGTCTCGGATACAGTACTGCGTTGCTCGGGTAAGTCTACCTCCTCAACCCTGCGCGTTTCCTGCGAAATAGTGTTTTGCTTACTACTAAGAAAGTATCTGATAAAATGTTGGTATTGAATTGATGCAGCTCCAAGTTCCCGAGATCTTGGCAGCGTTGACATATACGTCTGTCATTGGAATGAAACTTCGCAGCATGAGATTGTTCAGCTGTCGCACAAAAGAAAGTTCACGTATCGAAGTCATTATGAATTGTATCCGGCACTTGTGGGCGAAATTGAAACAGACAAACGCGTCTCCGAAGCAAGAGCTATTGATTCACTTGAACTTACAGCACCATATCCGGTGCATAACTTTGGCACGGGCAAGCGAGGCCGATCACCGGCTGTTCGATTTCATGCTGTTGGTGGCAGCAAATGGTCAGAGGATAAGTCTTCTGGGTTCAACAGGAATTTGTCGACATACGTCGAGTCGGATTGTAAGTTGTCAATCTTTATTTTTCTGTTTGGCTTTGGTGTTTGTGTTTGTGTTTCACTGTTTGATATGTTGTGCTTAGTGGACGAGCGACAGTGCAAGATTCGCGTTGTCGAGCGATTATCCGAATTTCATCAAGCAATACGCACAAAGTCCGCGGAGCCTGGCATTTATGATGCATTTGTAAATAGTGATGATGAGAGGAACATACCTTCAGAAAAAGATGAAAAACCAATTGTGCCGGATGTGCTGCCACCTTTGGGCTCATCAAATAGCCAAGAGGAGTACGCTGTATCTCAACCGAGCGTACCCGTTGAGCCTTCGGCCACGACAACTTCCTTCAGCGAGACGTGGACTTTGTTGGAAGATTGTACAATCGAAGCACTGAGTGACAAAGAGTTGGAGCAGCTTTCCGAAAAACTACTCGAGCGTGTCGTGCGTCAGCTTGTAAAGGTCGCGTACACAAACGAAGAGCTACTTGAGGAGCTCAACTCGCTGGATGAAGCCGGTTTAAGCTTGCTACACTACGTGAGCTTCTACAACTATTCTCAGTTGGTGCCTGTACTCGTTGCTCACGGTGCACATATTAACCAGCAAAGTACTCAAGGACAAACAGCGCTTCACTTGGCAGCAGGATGTGGCCACGATGAAGTAGTCGACGTGCTGTTGCAGTCTGGAGTAGATTTACAAGCTCAAGACTTTGATGGTCTTACTGCTGCGGATCGTGCTGAAAAGTCGGGCCACGCGGACGTTGCTACCAAGCTGCGGCGCCACATGGGGCACGACATTTCGATCGACTTGAGTGTCGTCGATGGACTATTCGGAGGATCGCCGATGGATATTGATGATGCCCCGACGCCTTATATGGATGTTGGCGACATGGGTCTTTTGGAAAGCAATGACAATTATGTACGACCGCCTTATTCTTACTTAAATGGTTGTGAGGATCCTTCTGAGGGTCTTTGTGAGGCAAGCCTATCGTCGAAAGCGACCTCGTATGTAAGTGTTAAAAATCACGGATTGGATCTGCATTGTGGTGCTCATGAGAATTCATCAACTTTGTATTGCTACCTTGCAGGTGGGAGAAAATCAGGAGCACAACCGAAAACTCTTGCTTGGGGCCTTTTCCACGATGAGCTTGCACGACAAATGCGCACTATCGTTAAGTATATCACGAGACTCGGCGGGCCACCCTGCCTGGCGCCATGAAAGCATTATTGGAGAAGATATTGTAACCTCTCCTAGTACTAGTAGCACGGGGACACCGGCAGGCTTTGGTTCATCCCCGGCAAGCATTGGCATGGAAGCTCACCTGGTCGGTGCGCGACTAGTACTGTCTGGGGCCGAAAACGATTCGGATGTTCAGAGTGTCATTGCCGAAGACGAGGAAGGTTTAAACAAACTTCAAGCAGCCATGGAACTCATGGGCTCGGAAGAGAGACAGTCGTTGGAAGACGAGGTGATAGTGCTGCAGCATGGTATACGCGCATGGTTGCTCAAGCGGAATTGCAAGAACATGCGTGAGGCAACGAAGCAGCTTCGTGAAGCCGCACAAAGTATCGAGCAGCAAGAAGCCAAGGAGCACTTTTCCCTGGTGGCAAACGAACAATCAGAGCGAGAGCGTGCCGCTGTGACTGTCCAGGCCGCGACGCGGAGTATGCTTGCTCGACGAACTTTCCTGCAGACCAAGCATGTAGCAATCAAGTTCCAAGCTGCTACACGCGGAGTGCTTTGTCGCAAGAAATTTGCTCGCATGAAGGCACATGCTCTAGCATCACTGGTTATCCAGCGCAATGTTCGTGAGTGGTGGAATAAGCAGCCGACTGCATCACGACCAGGAAACCTTGGCAACGACTTCGACAACGAAGAAGAAAAAACTAGACACGGAAGAAGAGAAAACGTCGATCTCGCTTGACGCAGTTCCACACATGTTGCGCAAAGAAGTACATCACAGCTTGTAAATCACAAAAGTATCATAGCTCTCCCAACACCCAACCACTCCTGTACGGTCTATATGTCGCTCTATCTGCCTGCATGTCGACGGCTGGAACACCAACGAAACTTGTTTAGTCCAATGTCTGATCTCCTTCGTCCGTGTATCGTCGAAAGCCCGGAATGGGCGGCGTCCAAGTGGCTATGCCACGCTCCTCCGGTTCTGGAGCATCGTCAATCTCCAATGCTTCAGCCTGCAGCTCAGCAGGTAGCGCATTAATGGCCTCCCACTTGAGGTCAATCTTGTTCTGCACGTCGCGCATAAAGTGATTGTGCTCGATTGTGCTCATCATATTGTAGCGACGGCCAATCTCTTGGTGGCGCTGCTTTTCCTCCTCTGTCCACTCTTCGCTGCAGCAATTATACAATTCAATTACAGGCAGAATGTCAATATATTGTTACAATATATTGGTGCAATAATTGCAGTATCAAATAAAATTATTGCAGCGACGTACGCGTCCGGATACTGGCCCTTAATGGCACGCAGCATCTGCTCAAAGTTGGCGTCTTCACCACCCTTTTTACCCTTCTTCTTCTTGTCCTTCTTGACTGCAAAGCCACGCACGCTCCCACAAGATACAGCAAAGTCTACTAGTGCAAAGACAGTCGTCCGCTTGGCGGCTACTGATGTCACGCTACGTAGCAACAGAGCCATTGCTGTCAACTTGGTGCTCTTGAGCTCTGGACCACAAAGTGCCTGCGATAAAGTACACTAAGTACGAACATTATTGAAGCAAAAGTTATTGCGTCTTAAATACAATACAATAAATTACTACATACAATAATTGTCACCATCCGTGTGCAGCACTTTAGACGTCGACCTGTTCGTCATGATAGCTCGGATGATACTGCGCGTTGAAAAAATCTGGCGATGATACGACCATGGATGGTTGAAAACCAAAGCTTTCATCAAGAGGTGATTCTATCCCTGGAATATACAACAATGGAGAGCCAAACGACATTGGCGGCCCTGGCTTGAAATAGTATCTCGATGGTACAGGCGATAGGAAGTGAGACGCGTGGAATCGAGAGCATTCGTCGCCGTTTCTAGGTGAAAAGTACCGCACCACTTCTTTAGGTGCAGTTCTCCATAGCATCGACTCACTCCAGGGAAGATTGGTACGACCATCGGGAAGCTTGCATTGTTGCAAAAAATCCCAGCCAAAAAGACATGACGTAGTCGCGTAAACCTGTTGCAGCTGCCTCTCCAGCTCGGCGTCTTCTTCACTACGACGTTGCTTCCTTCTCCACCGCTGGCAAATACTTTTGTCGTCGATTTCTTCTTCTTCGCCTGATAAATCTCGATCAATACTTTGGTTGTCGAAGGCACTACTCACATCACTATCCACGTCCTCCCATGGAACGTTGATGATGTACTCGTCTAACTTCCGCTTGCCGACAGATAGAGTTCGTGCGTCATAATCTTCAGTAGCTGGTTGGGGCTGGAATACAAGCGCATTGGGATTGAGGCTCGACAACTTCCTCGTAGAGGTTCTGACTTCTGAAATCGCTTCGTTTACATCCCATTTGATTTCATTGATAGATTCCGTCGGCACCATTAACCCGCAATCGCTGTCTGCAGAGATCAACTTAGCCTCAGGCATTGATTCACCGACTGACTCCACCACCAGAACCTCGTCTCTGCTCGATGGCACAGTTGAATCATCACCTTCCATTCGAACTCCGCCAGGATTTTCATCCTCCTTGCTTTGGAGCATTGCAGTATTTGGCGTGTCAGTCTGCTGTATAAGTGGATCTCCATGTCTTGTTGATTTTCTCTTCTTTTTCTTCTTGACCTTCTTCTTGCCGTAGGAGGTTAGCTTGCTTGTTGACATATTTTTATCTTCTAATGACACTTCTAGCAATAGTTGCTCCATTTGCTGTGCAGCTTTTCGTTCCAAGTGACTGACATAACTTCGTAAGATGAGCTAAACACCGAACGATGTCAGTCTACCGTTACACGCAGGGTCGTACGCCAAAGTCAGCAGGTGAATATGTTTAATCTTACCTGTTCCACCAGCATCGCGATCAGGCGCTGGTACTTTGCCCACGTGTTGATAGTCTCACTTTCCGCCACAAAGAGTTTGTGGAAGTTGTTCTCCGTGAGAACATGGATCGAAGTCAGAAATCCTTCCAACACGTCTCCTACTAGCGTAAATAGCCGATCCGTGTCTTCAGCCAGCTCTGTTTTCACCGTCAAAATGCCTGGATCACACCAAATGAGTGATCAAAGAACTACCAACAGGACTAAGTATCCTGTACCTGTGCTTATATCCATGAACTCCATCGCTTCAAGCAGCTCGTACGTCTTCTCTGACAAACTATCGGATACTTCACGTGTTGGCGGCAGCGTCGCTGCTCGCTCTTGGACTGTCGGTGCGGTAGTTACAGCTATCGTATTCGTTGTCATCGACGCAGACACCGTTGCGCTTCTCTTGTCTGTACTAGCTACGCCTATTCGATTCGATGTCATGAGGTGGCGCTGCATCAGCCCAACGCAGAGCAAGCTCAGGTTTAGCTTGTACAGCTGCTTCACTTGTTCCGGCTCGTCCAGGAACAAGATCTGCTGTCGTTCATTGACGCTGAGTTGTTCCCAATAGTGACGGATGTTTCTCAGCACTGCATCGCCATCTTCTTTATTGCTTTGTCGCGTCGTCAGTGGCGAAACCAACGTCATCCAAATGCTAGCTCCTTGTGGTGCACCTCGACCAGTCGACGGCTTTGCTCTCTTCCGTCCACAGTAATGTCCATTGACACAGCATCTAGTTACCAGATCTGCGGTATTGCTGGCACTGACAACGTCACTGGAACTCGACGAACGTAGGGCCAAGTACGATTTCCAAATTGGAGCTACATCAATCCCAGCGCAAAGAGACATAACAGTTAGTATTGCATCCATGACTGTCAGGCTTATCCATTTATAGTTATACACCCACCTTCCGAGATCGATACGGCCTTCTTTACGGCAGGAATACCACCTCGCGTCATCTTTATAGCAATTCACCGGCTGCCAACAGTTTTAGCAATAAACAATGGACCATCGTTTATGCGTTTTTATTCGTTTTTATCCGTTTTTTCAACGTATTTGTACTATTTTACCTATTAGTCCATGGCAGATATCCAACAGAAGCGAGTGGCGCTTAAGCTCAAGCAGGCGTGTGAGGAGACAGCGGCGCAGGCCATCGCAGCGACCATTGCCAGTGGACAAGCAAGTCGTATCCACGGCAAGAACCAAAAGTTTGACAGCCGGAAAGAGGCCATGGCAGCCAAGGCAAGCGGCTAGATAGAACCTGATAACTACTATTGCGCTATTTAAAATGACTAACATCGTCGACGTTGGTTCATTCAGATTGCAGCAGCAAAGGCTAAACGTGAAGCAAAAGAGGCAGCAGATGGAGTTAGTGACTGACAGATAACAATCATAAGAACAGGGGCAGCTTTGACGTCCAAGTGCTTGTTTCATTGAAACTATCTTTTCTTACACCTCAACTCCTGGGTGTGGGTGGATCTATTTGAAACCTAGGGAAAAACATGGATAAGGTCTGCGTTACACGATGACTAAATTTGTGCTGGCTTTGCTGTCCAGTATAAGCGACATTTGCTGTAGACGTTCCTGGAATCCGACAAATTGGCCAAGTTGGAAGAAGTTGCGCTATGGACTGTGCTCTGAAGTTTCTACTGCTTGGTCGTACTCGAGCAGATCGTACCACCTATCATGTCCTCAATACCCGTAACAGCAATTTCCTGAGAGAAAGGCAGACAAGTCTATTTAACCGTTCAGCGGGTCGCAGGATGTCTGATTGTTCCTAAGCCTGGTTAACAACGCCGGTGCTCGATCGAGTCCGTTGATTGTACGAGGCTAGTCACCCTCTCGGTATTGTCTGCTATACTAATGCAGCATAGCAACAGACCGTTGTTTATGTCCTTCTAGGCCGCTCGAGCGGCCCGTTTGTCAAAAATGCGCGGCGACGGATCGACGGCGCGTGTCGTGGGACATTGCCCCCTTTATGACCGCTTGCGCGGTCTGTCGAGCTGACCTGTGCGATTGCCGAAACATTGACGCATGGCGCGAGGACGCCGTCCGTTGTAGTATCTTCCCCTTAACGACCACTTTGCGCGGCCCTGTGCGCGATCACCAAAACATGATTGGTCGCCGCGTGAGATACATGCCCGAAACATGACCCCACTTTCTTCTGCTTCCGCGAGGGAGGGGGCTAAGGCTTGATCTTGACCGCGAAGATTTGGGAATGCCGTAAGAGCAATGTTTGTGCATATCTAGGTTGCTATCGCACCAGAATTGCCTTGCACGCGGAAACATCTTTCGCATTCGACCTTGGTACTGAGCATTGTCGAAAGCCGCCCGTGCAAGAGGTTCCGCGTCGACAATTCTAAGCTATGCTGACCTCATCTGAAAGCAAGATAAATGGCTCTAGTATCTAGCAAATGGAACGGCATGGACATCCTGCACTTAAAAGTCCACACAGCCATTGCTTTAGACGTGGTATCCGCAACATGTTTCTACACTGGCAAGTCACCTATCGTGGTAAACACTCTGACCTATCTGCACGAAGCAGAAGTAATGCGAATACCGGCTCAGCCAACGCTACTACGGACATGAGGTACTGAACACGTACACCTGAACATTTGTAAGCAAGAAGGTTACATGCGAGCACAATGAAGCAAAAGCCAGCGGCATCCTCGCCCTTATCGTCCTCCATCAAGCCAACAACAAAAAGTTCACTGGATCATTGCTCACATGCCCGAATCTAATCAATCAGGAGCTGGTGAATTTACAACAGCAAACAGGTCTCGCTTTTCCAGGCTTGGAGCAGCAGATACTCCTGGGTGATGTAATTATAATTGGCTAAACATTGAGATCGATCTGGTGGCAACGATATGTGTCACTAGGCGCTTCAGAAATCCTGTGCATATTACGACGTCGATGGAGACGAGCCCTATCTCGTCCGCCGTCCGCACCCCTTGGCGTGGGTCAACACGTCTGTATGAATGCATCGACAATACCCCAGTTTATGAGGCATCGTATGATTTGCTTGCACCGACATTAGTGGCTATCGTTAAAGATGAGTTATCAAAGCGTTTGACGTGTCGGAAGTTCGCTCTCGTGTTATCGACATTCGTGTATTCGTCGGGCAACGCAACTCTTTTCTACCGTTTGTTTGCGTGGACAGACGACGATCTGAAGGTATTCAGATCGTCCATCGCAATGTCGATGAATTGTCAAAAAGGACGAAGAGGAGGGGCAGGCAGCCTATGAATTCAAGAGCAATGGGGAGATCCATTAGCGTCATCAGCAGACCACATTACTGTATACATATGGCGTATTCTGGATCAGAAAGACACCGTTTCCCGTAAAACACGTTGGACGTAATGGTGCTTAGAATCTTGTGGTCAGCGGCGATGGTGTCCGCCGTCTTGTACTTGGTAGGGTCCCAGTCCGGACCCTGACGCAGAGCATAGTTGAATCCGTAGAATTTTTAGTCCAGCGTCCGACGTAGCGTGTCCACAGTAGAGAGGGCGAACACGCAACCATTTAACTTTTGCTAGAAAAACGGTGAAGAGCTCGGACTGTGACGTGTCTGGCGTGCTCATTGCTGCCAAGAAGTTGTCTCGACCGTCTAGGTCGGTGTCTAAGTATCTGAGGACCCAAAGGTGTTTGACACAGAGGTAAAAGCTTCAAGAAGCTCATCAGTGCCAGCTCATCGACAGCCATATCGTGGGTAGCAATGTCGATAGCGAGGCTATGTACCATAAGGACATCATGGCAAAAGCAGGTCAGCAAGTACATAACTGACTCAAGAAGGTTATGACGGATGACGACGTTAGCGTGCCCATCGGCATCACGAACATCGACCGACACCTCGACCGACAACTCGACCGACAACTCGACCGACAACTCGACCGACAATCTGCCGTCTTTGTTCAACATAGCCACTGACCACGATAGTGGATCGTCGCAGTTCGTGACAGCCAGCCTCGTAGTCTGGTATATACTGTACCATGTTCTCGAGCCTGTAGCATCTAAAAAATGTCTAAATTATCGATTTATCGTATCCACTTATCTGAAAAATAGAGTATTTTTTCCATTTCTTAGTGATTCGAGTATGAAATCCGGTACTACGCCGGCGAATGGAGCAGAGGCGTCTGTCGAAGGGCTATTGGTACTGGTGATCGATACTAACCCTACGCACTGGTTCGCACAGGGAAATGAAGCAGACGACCGTGGTAATTTTCAGCAGCTAATCTCCAGCACCCTAGTGTTTGTAAACTCGTATCTGCTTCTCCACCGCAGCAATCGCATCGTGATCATCGCCGCCCATGCCGGTAAAAGCGCCATGTTGTATCCAAATCCAGCGCACGACGATACTTCTGGAAGTGCGGAGCAGGCTGCCAAGGTTAATGCAGTTGTCATGCAGCGTTTGCAGGAGCTGAGTGACACTCCGATGGACTGTGCCAAGCCCAACCGAACGGCTATTGCTGCGTCACTATCACGGGCCCTATGCTGTAAGCTACTGCAGTATTTAGCTGCGCTACATCGAGTTACTGATCTTGTGGTTTTCTTGTTGGTGTATGTATCTAGTCATTAATCGTGCTATGAATGAGGAGCCGGATCTACGACCACGTATCTTGGTCGTTCAAAAGTCCCCTGATGTGTCGGAGCACTACATTGCTATCATGAATGGTATCTTCTCGGCCCAGAAGAAGAACGTTGCAGTGGACGCATGTATTCTCGCGTCGGAGCAGTCCTCGTTCATGCAGCAGGCTGCGTATCTGACGGGTGGTATCTACTACAAACCCAACGACCACAGTGGCTTGCTACAGTATCTGATCTCAATCTACTTGCCCGATCCGTCCATGCGTAAATTGCTGAAGCTTCCATCGCAAGACTCCGTTGATTTTCGTGCAATGTGTTTTTGCCATCGAGAAGTGATTTCAACAGCGTTTGTCTGCCCAGTGTGTCTGTCATTATTTTGCAAATTCCGACCCATTTGCTCGACTTGTGGCATCCGAAGTCACATCGAGCCGATGGGGACGAAAAAAGGCAAAAAACACTCGCGTATGGAATAATAAAAAGGACGGACGTTGAAATACTGATTTAGTAGAAAACAGCTTGTTGCATAAGACGGAGAGACGACGCCTTTTTTATAAACATTACCAGCGTCAACGCCAGATCGATTGGCTCACTGGCTCTTAGATGGCAAAATCAAGATTATGCGCACTTATTTGTTCTTTTCGACCAGTTAAGTTGAACGGACGCACCGAGTCTGCATCTCGTGGGACTGCAGAGAGCGTCATAGTCAGAATCGCCACGTAAGCCAACAAACAGCATGACCCGGTAGGTGTCCATTGCATTCCAAAAATGCTCTATAGTGAATCTCTAACTAATTGCATTGTCATGATCCTTGCAGACCCACGATCGCACAAGTTTTCGCCGAGTGCAAGGCTAAGAATAAAGCAGTCTTTATCACCTTTGTGCCCTGCGGCTTCAAGACCAGGGCCGACACAGTAGGCATTTTGCTGGGACTTCAGCGTGGAGGCGCTAACCTCATTGAGGTGGGCGTCCCATACTCGGACCCGCAAGCTGATGGTCCAACTATCCAACGTGCCCATCAGGTGGGTGTGAACCAGGGCATCACGTTGTATGATGTTCTGGCCACAGTGCGCGAGGCGCGTGCCCAGGGCCTCACCATTCCAGTGGTGCTTATGGGTTACTACAACAATATTTTGCAGTATGATGAGACAAGGGTGTGCCTTGATTCTCAAAAAGGTACGAACGTTATTGAGGTAGTTGTCGTGCTTTGTGTGAACCTTATCTCATTGGCTTGTCTTGTTTGCATACGGCAGCTGGTGTGGACGGATTTATTATTGTGGATCTGCCGCCTGAGGAAGCCAAATCGTTCAGTGACGATGCCGCAAAGCATGGTCTTGCTTTTATCCCGCTGGTGTCTCCTACGACGACGGACGAGCGCATGAGGCTCATTAGTTCAATCGCACATGGCTTTGTGTACTGTGTGAGTCATACGGGCGTAACTGGCGCTCGAAGTGCACTGCCATCGTACATAGACTCTTTCATGGCGAGGAGTAAGTTGCCATTTGTCTGACTTTGCTGCGAAGTGTTGTTTGTACTGACTACATATGTTTTGCTTTGCTGCAGTCCGTGCAAATGTGAAGCATCCGTTGGCGCTGGGCTTTGGTATTTCCACCCGCCAGCACTTTATGCAAGCCAGTGCACTTGCAGATGGTGTCGTGATCGGGTCTAAGATTGTCGAAGTCATTGAGAATTCTCCAACCAAAGCCTCTCGTGCCACTGATGCCGAAGCGTTCGCTAAGAGCATTGTGAATCCGTAGACCAGTGAGATGTGTTCAAGAGGGCATTGTGTGCTCCATTCCTGCAAGAAATAAATTTAAATGGTCAGTGCAAAGTGGCAACGTTTGCTAGATAGTCAAAATCTGCCAAATAATTGATGAGTTTAAAGCTTAAGCGTTTGTGTACATATGCATATCCGTACTGCTTAAACGGCGTGAGTTCGAGTCCCCGTACCAGCGAAAAACAACATATTTCGTACCTAGAAATAGCACACTTCGAAGCCCGATGTGTCTGTACCATTAGACTAAGGATCGGGTCAATCTGTGTGCGATAATATTACAAAGCATGTCCGGGTGTCAGAACTGAGTACTTGTCCAAAAGGGTAAAAGAGGTCTCAGCATCTGCCAATCGACGTGCGTACATTCTTTCTTGGTACAGAGATATCAGTTTATTTTACATATATGCACTCGTGCATGGGCGTGGGACCAGTTGACCACACAGTCGAAAAACGACACAGCAAAACATCTGTGAAAAAGTATCCATCGTCAGAGCTGACACAAGAGCATAGAGACCAATAGTAGCCGCACGCATACGTGCTGTTGGATACAAAATACAGTCACAAGAAGATTGTTACATTCAGCATGTTCTTGAGTGAAGAAAAGTGATCTTGATATTACGCAATGGAGTTCTGCCAGCTAAAAATTCTTGATGCCAACCAAGCTGTGATTGCTACATTACATGCATGTTCATTACTCTACTTTACTTCTACCAGTCAAAGTCATCGTCTCCCAAGTCAATAATTTGAGGACGAGATCGTCGATATCGAAAACCACAACTTGAACAGTTGAGACTAGTTGCCGGGTTGATTAGCGTGCATCGTGAACAGCTCCACGCAGACTGAGCCTCGTTCTCTTTATGTTTTTCCTTTGTATCGACGGCTTGATCCCTCACTGGGCGCTCGTCACTCAGGATAGTCTCAACAAAGGCATCTTCGTCATCCGAATCCGAAAACTCACTCGCCTTCAGCTTCTTCGGTGACCAGGAACCCGCGTCAACCTCTGGCACAAAAGTTACCCTTCTCTTTAATTTTAAAGGCGCCGAAGTTGATTCCAATGGCACGGAAGTCAGTGACGTGGGCAGTGATGTGGGTCGCCGGATGGATGGTTTTAAGTAACTTCAGATTCTAATGTGCTGCATCTCGAAACTGAACGAGACGCGTCACCGTCGCTTTCTGATTCACTCTCATCAAGATCTTCGCTACCTTCATCACCTTCATCGCTCTGACTTGAACAATCATCCTCCGATTCATCCATAACCGGTGTTTTCTTCCGTGTAGAGCGTTTGGGTTTCCTGCCGTCCGTAGCATGCTGTGTATTTGTGGCTTCAATAATTTCCAGACGTTTACGTTTGCGCTCCTCATCACGCTGAATTTCCTTTTCTTCATTTTCAGCTTGATGCTCCCGAAGCAACTCCCAATCAATGCGGCAACTGAATGCAAAACTCACTAAGTCAGCTTTCGCCTGCTGGAGAGCTGCTTGCATTACTTCGTCATCGACAGAAGCGTAGGAACGATGGTGACCCCAACTATTCAGATTCTCTTCCGTTGGCATGCCAATTTGCGGATGATAGTCCTTGACCGTGTCATCGGTAGTTCCCTCATCGCTTGTTGTGTCTCTTATCGGTAAAACATCGCTTATTGTCTCCTTTCCGCTTCCACTATCATCATCAATCGCAATTACAGAAGAAGTGTCAATACCATCATTGCCATCATCTCGCCACTGGCAACGATCGCATTTTAGCTGATCATGAGTATCCGACATGGTGCCCTTCCGGAACACAAATAGCCGTTTTAAATCTTTCGAAGACAACGAGTTGACCTCCTCTTTATCGTCAACAATATTCTGAAGACCTTCTTTAGACAGCTGCCGTTGGAAAATCTTCTCTTCAAGCGTCCCTGTCGCAAGAAAGCGGTACACATAGCACATCTTTTTTTGCCCCTCACGCCACACACGAGCAGCGGCTTGTTTGTCGGTCGCAGGATTCCAATCAGGGTCGAACAGTACCAACCGGTTCGCACCAATCAAATTCAAACCACACCCGCCAGCTTTACTTGACAGTAGGAAGGCAAACGAGTTCGTTGTCGGATCATTAAAGGTGTCGACGAGATTCTTGCGTTTCTTGGCAGACGTAGTTCCATCCAGACGAACAAACGGCAGATGTCGTTCCTGGCATAGAGTCGTTACAACATCCAAAGTCTGCGTGTAGTTGGACACGATCACGATACGGTCTGTTGTCGTCTTCCTCATAGAAATCATTAAACGATCGAGTAACAGCATCTTTCCAGACCATTCTGGATAGCACGTGCGTCCACCAAAGCTTCCTCGTCGGTGTCGACCATCATCGCCTCCATTGTTTCTGCATTCCTTTGCCCCTGCGAAGTATTGCGCGCAGTTACTAAATCCAGGAAGTTTAGTGTTGGCTTTTCCCGTTTCATCGAAAATGAGCAGAGGGTGGTTGCACAACTTTTTCAATGCGGTAATAGACGACAGGACGTTGACACTCTTATGTTTCATCATATCACGACAGGCGCTGGAAGACAGAAAATGCATGTAAAGCTGTTCCTGTAAACGGGACAGTGGGCAGCAAATCACCTGCATTAACTTTGGCGGTAGATGTTTTGCGTTAAGGATGTTGCCTCGACGCAAAATAAACTGATTTACAATTTCACAAAGCACCGCCGAGCATGACTGCGCCACATCTCGCTCACGATCCGTAGAGTCCGGTTCTCTCCCAATCAATATCGGCCCCAAATACTTTTTACGAAACTCGCTTGGCGTACCGAGTATGTTCGGGTTCGTAAAATCCACCATCGCAAAAAACTCCTCCAGATCATTTTGCATCGGTGTGCCAGACAAAAGTACGCGCTTGCGACATGCCAACGAAGATAACGCTTTGTTAATCTGTGAGTTGGCATTCTTCAGTCGATGTGCTTCATCACATATCAGCAGTTCGCAGCAAGCTGGTGTATCGGCAAACTTTTGAGCGTGCATACGAAAGGTCTCGTACGATATGATCAGCACCTGTGCAGAAAATCCGGGTCGTGGTCTCTTGCTTCCCTCAATAAACTGGCTAATCCCTTTAATCACTGTCTCACGTTTTGCTTCAAACAAAGCCACTGTCTTCACACGCCCGTGCAGCCACTTAATAATCTCATCATCCCAATTCTTTACTAATGACGTTGGACAGACCACAATCGCTCGATTTACCGTTGGTTGCATACTCATGCCTGTCTTAAACAGCGTATACATCAACGCGATACTCTGAAGAGTCTTGCCGAGACCCATGTCGTCAGCTAAGATACATCCTTGCCCGTCAAACCCTCTCACTTGACACACACATTCAAACATAAACTGCACACCTTCTCGTTGATGAGGTCGTAAGAAATTGCCCACAATCTCAGGTACCACCACTTTGACATCAGGATCTATGTCGCTCTGCCACAACACAAGAGGCGGTGGAGCATCAGGCACAGAAACTGCCGTAGCAACTTCCTCTATTGCTATCGATTCAGGCTCTACAAGCGTTTCAATGTCCTCAACGTCGACTTCCACAGGCAGCAGGTCGTGACGCACCATCGGCTTGAGGACGGCAGAACCCCAGCGACGTCGCATACCCAGTGTCTTGACATGCAAAAGGCGATTACTCTCTTGCGATCGCCCTCCTTCTCCACATGGAGATTTGAATGGACGTCGTATCTGCTGTGCACGACGTTCTGGTTCCATTACTAAAAATGACAGGAACGGAAGACGCTTGACGGACAGCGACGCGCCACTGAGAAGCGCCTGGTGGTTTCTAATTGCATGTTCGTTTTCTAATGCCTCTTGGTCACTATCTTGTGGCTGAACACGTCCAGACTTTGCCTTTACAGGCAGAACAAACGGCTTGAACTGCGCACCGCCACTGCCATTACATCGACGCATCATGTTGATAAGTGAAAGGCAGTGCTTACATTTCATTGGTCAAAAGTATTAAATGACCATCACTCAGCTTACGGTATACGATATACAACGTTTTGATTGGTTAGTAGTATACTAGTCTGTTTTTCAACCAATGAAAAGGCAAGAAATGGGTCCTGGCACTTCCGAACGCATTAATGGTCACTAGGGTGCAGCGAACGGGGTTCCGGCGTGCGTTATTTCGATGGCTACAACCCACGCCACTCATCTACAAAAATATTGCTACTTCTATAGACCGTTCGTACCCAGTTCTCGGCTTTTGTGCTCGCCAGGTCACAGTATTAACGTCAAATGGAGACCAAGTATCTGCATTACAGCGACTCGCTGATGCTTCCAGGAATTCGTGGCGATTACGCGCGATTGTGAATGATGTAGAGCAATCACTACCTGTGGACAAAGGCAGACGATTCTACAACCGCCGAGTGGTGGAAACGCTGGAACAGAGCGACTACAATCGTGCTTGGGCCATCGTGGAGACACTGCATCGACGTTATCCGAACAAGGCCGTTCTCTGGCCGTACACGTACAACCTGATGCTGCGTCATTATTGCAAGCAGCAGAAGACGCTGATGAACTCGAATCTAAGACGTATCTTGGCGTTGCTGGACGTGATGGTGGCTCAAGGCTGCGCAGACCAGACGAGCATTGAAATAGCAATGGCTGCGTGCAGTCGTGCACGGCATTTACGAAGTGCGAGGCATGTGCTGGAGAAGATGCAAGAGGCTGGAATAGAACCGGACGAAAGGATATTTGGCTTTGTAATCAATTGCTGTGCGAGGAAGCAAGGACTGGTTAAGATGGCGGAACGGTGTTTTGATGAAATGCTAATTGCAGGAGTGAAGCCAACAGGGCTGGTTATTAAGGCCTTGCTGCGGGTGTACTCGCGTGATTGTGGACGATCGGAGGTAATGCGGAAGCTTGTAAAGCGAGCGAGCGATGAGTTTGAGTTGGTTCCCGACACTGGCATAACCCGAACGATGGTGTATTATCTTCTGTGTGAAGGTGACGTCGATGGTGCTGTGCATTTTATGCGAAAGGTTGAGAGTATTTTCCCGTTTGCGGAATCTATAAAGCTGCCTGTAAAGCGCCAAGTAGTGAATGCGCTAGTTGATGCTTGTCGTCAACGTGGTGAGTGGGATTTGACTGAATACGCGCTTACGCTTGTGGACAAGACCGATGACGAGGACGTTTTAGCTGTCGATTATGACCAAGATGTGCAACATTCGATTGAGCTAAAGCAGTTGGTTGCGAAACGTGATGCTTTATCTGCGGCGGTAGTCTGGGCGCTGGATGATCAAGATTGGTCTCGAATGACACGACTGGAACAGAAAGCATTTTTTGTGAATCGAAATCAGAAAGAGAGTTTTGAGCGCGCGTTGGAGCATATGCGTTCACGCACGAAAAAGTGGTCAATTCAACGACTGTCCTTAAAGCTAGAGGGCAAGTTGAGGGTATTGGATGAACTGATTCGCACCAGAAGTGCAACTGCAGACGACTTCAATGCTGTGTTAGGTATTTGCGGGAGACAAGGACAGTCGGTAGATGCAGTGTCCGTTTTGACAAAGATGAAAAAATACGCAGAAGTTTTGCCAGAATGCACGCCGACGACTTGGAGTTATAACGCGTTGCTAAATGGATATGCAGTTCGTGGTGATGTTGAACACATAGAATCGATCGTGAATGAGGTGATCGACAGCGGTTTACAGCTTGATCAAGTGACTATGAACACAGTGATCAAGGCCTATATCGCCAATGTAAAAGATAGCATTAGTCAGGCGCGTCTCAACACTATGATGCAAGCGCTATCATTTTTTGAGTGGTGTACTAACGACCAGAAACTCAATCCAGGGACAGCAACTTATTACTTGCTATTTCGGTTATTTGCAACGTACTTGGAGTCACCTTGTGACGAAGAGTTGATATATAGCCACGGCGGCTATAGTGAAGAAGTCATGGATGGCCAAGGCGGAGAACTCATGGCATGGATGGGAGAGTTCATATCCAGCACCTGCCACGACGCACCTCTTGGGTCACTGGATACTGGTGTGTTCAATAATGCGTTTGACTATTACTACCGCCTCGGTGACGTGGATGAATCGTTTGCACTATACAATTTGATGAAGAAGCGCGGATTTCAGCCAGATGACACAACCCTCGGACTGATGTTTGCTACATGCGCGAGCCAGCAGCAGTTTGAGGTGGGCTTAAACTTTCTAGACCATTTAATGACCACCGACAGTTATAAGCCGACGCTGAAGGTACTCAGTGGTGCCATGCAGCTATGTGCAAACTCAAAGAACCCGGACGGAGCACTGGAGCTCTTCCGAGCTATTGAATCGTCAGGCACATTTGCGCTTACTGTAGAAACGTACGAGCCTGTGGTGTTTGCATATGCTCGGGTTGGTAATGTGGCTAGTGCCTGGGAGATCGCAAGCGAGATGGAAGAGAAACTTGGGAGAGTATCGATTAGCATCTACAACCGCATTTTGTTGGCGTGCGTAGAAGCTGCTCTTCCTGGACATGCCCTGGAAGTGCTAGATGTGATTCGGCTTAAAGAAGGAGTAACTCCCGACATTATTTCTTACAATACGGCATTGGAGGCTTTCGTGAGAGCTGGAGAGCGAGCGGCATGGTGGAGAAAGAACAAAAGCAATGTGGCGAAGGAAGATGATTGCAGAGTTGATGAAGATGGCAGGAATGACGAAGACTATTGTGACAGTGATCATGTGAAGGAAGAGGAGCCTGGTATAGAGGATTCTACTTCAGGCAACAGCAGTGTTGTGAAGACGGCGCGATGCAAAGATTATGAGCTTGAACAGCGTGAGAGAGCTGCATGGGTTCGTGCTGCTGTTCTAGGTCTACTCGACGAAATGCAGGAAGGCCGAGTGAGACCGGACATGACTACTTATGAACGTGCGATAGCTGCGTGCAGTGTGAACGAGGATTTTGAAGGTGTGATCACCATATTCGACCGACTCATTGCCCGTAAGCGAGGTAAGGATGCTGGTAAGCTGAAAAGCGATCTCGTGACAGAATCCTCTTTTTCAGCCTACCTTGTGGCGTGCACATCATTGCAAGACAAAGACCGCGTGATTGAAGCTTCGACACTTCTCCACAAATGGCACGCCGCAACGGGCCAAGTCCCGCCAGCGTTTGTCGTGGCGCAATTGTTGGACTCCTTGGAAAGTCTTGGTGAATGGCGCCGAGCTGTTCGGATGCTTCCTAATTGGCGGACATTGTTTGGCGTTTCGCCTAGCGTTGCTGTACTCAATCGTGTCATGCAAATGTGTAACCATGCAGAAGAATACCACCTTGTGGCTCCAATATTCGCTACTATGCAGGATGCTGCAGCTTCCCGCGTTTACCCCGACGCAGAGAGTTATATTCAACGAATTTATGCCGAAGAGCAGCGTGAGAATTGGGTAGCAGCCACGAATCTGTTCGTAGAGATGCAGAAAACGTGCCCAAGCGATGAGATTCCACATCAACAGCTTCAGAAGATTGCATTAGGTCGCAACAGGTTGCGTCAAAGAGAGCGTTAACGTAAAAGGCTCGTGCTACTTACTACCTGGGCTTTATCCAGGTGTTCTCAACAAAGAGAAGAACACTTTTACATTTGGTTTTCGAGCAGACTCTCTTCATCGTCATGAAGATCGGGGTGTGTGGACAAGCTGTGTTTGGGGCTATCTGGGAAGTTATTTGAAGTAATGCTGGTGCTGCAGTAATCTTCTCCGTGGCTAGACCGCGCGTAGATAGACTCATCCGAGGCGTTGCAATGAAAAAACGCCGCACCAAAGATGAGGACAAGTGCAGCGATCCCAAACACGAGGTCCCACGAGCCCGTAGCTTGCAGAATTGCGCCTGTGACCACATTGCCAATGATGCCCGGGATGGTGCCAAAGGTGTTGGAGACGCCCATAACATGTGCAGCGTGGTTAGACGCAACATCGATCATGTTGACCCAATATCCAGCCATAGCGGCGCGACTGGTGAACAGTGTCATACACAGCAATGCCACTGCCATGGGAGCTGACTTTGCGAAGCGTAGCGAGAAGAGAAAGAAGGCGCATCCGATGAACGAAAAAGCGTTCATGATCTGGCGCACATGCAGTTCACGGTAGCCGCGAATGACCAGATGATCTCCCAGTCGCCCAAACAGCAGAGTGCCGATGTAGCCGCACATGTAGGGTAACGCGGCGGCAAACCCGCCTTCTTTGGCCAGATCGAGGTCCAGAACTTGTTTAAAATACTGCGGGATCCAGCCCAGCAGGATGTACCAGCTGTAGTTGTAACACATGTGCGCAACGTAGATCGCCCACGCAGGCCGTGAGGTCAGCAGCACACGCCAATTAATCGCATGGGTGTCAAGCTCGGCGCGAGAGCGCTGACGTTGGTGAGTGTCTGAGTCGACTGAGCGGTTGCGAACGATGAAATTGCGTTCCTCAAGCGATATGTAGGGGTCATCTTCTGGTCGGCTAACTCCCATGAAGACGTATGTTATGACCCAGATGAAGCTGAGCACACCGAACGCAACAAAAATGTATTGCCAACCGCTAGCTGCCATAATAGTAGGCGATATGATCAGTGCAGTGATGGTGCCTAGGTCTGAACCACTTGCCACTAGCGAGACAAGACGACTCCGTTCCTGTATCGGGTACCACGCACCAGCAATTTGATGCATGCAAGGGAACAAGATGCCCTCCCCAAGCCCCATACCCGCTCTTGTGAAGAACAGACACGTAAGGCATTTAGCCACGAGCACCGTCGACAGATCCTGCAATGTCAGTAACGTATGAAGAAGAGTCAGCAAATGAGAAGTCTCTTCAACGAATTAGCCAACTCAGTAACCACGTACGAAAAGTGTCCAGACGACAACTCCAGTAAGCAAGACAATTTTAGCGCCAAACCTAGCAGCAAAATACCCTCCTGGGATCTACAAAGCAGCCAGCTACACATTAGGAGCAGCCCTTTTGTGTTTGACAACTCTATGGACGTACTTGAGTGCACATGTAACCGTAAAAGAATGCAGACAAAACTTCGCCTTGTTCCTTCTTATTCGTCACGAATACCGGCAATGCGATGCCCATGTTGGTTCCTGTTTTCCACAACAAAGCCATCATCAGATTCCGTGACTCTCGCATCCAAAGGCTGATTGATATCTTGCAATAGAACGTACGATCGGCGTAGCAAATGGTAGAGACACAGAGACACAGGAATGCCGTCACATAGCGTCGCTTCCCTCGTGACAGCTCCCGCGAAACGTCTCCCATAGCGACAATATCGGCCTTCCTCCACATTTCTTTGTTTGCTTTTGCCATGTGTTGTTGCGTAGTGGTCCATTGATGGCGATCGTTACAGTCCATCATGGCTTTCTACCAATCATAGTACGACAGATCGTGCGTAGCACCTCAATGGACATCAAGAACCGGTAAGATTGACAGAGTGGATAAGCAAGCAAGCTTACATGATGAACTAGTAAAAGTTCGTAGCCTCTTCTAGGTGCGGTGTCGTTTCGGGACGGCAGAGGCTGACGTTTTATTGGCCTTGCGAGCTCCTGTTCCTGCACTTGGCACCTTCATGCTCCGAGCGGCCACGGGCTTCTTTCTGTGCAGTCCAGACAGTCCTGCTTTCTGTATCTTGGACGGAGTGACGGGCTTGATCTCGGTTTGTAATTCCAGACTTTGTTCTGCTTCGGATGCAATGCCAGGATGTAGAGTATCTTGATGATTGCTGCTCGTAGATGTGTTGCCAATGGCAGTATTGGCGGTAGCGATGCTGGTAGGAGTGTTGCTTTGAGATTCCATGGCGGAGTCTGCGACGGTAAGCGAGATGTCATCGGAGTTACTTGGGCTGACATCGCTTAACCTCCTTCTCTTGTAACCAGGCTCACTACTTGACAAATTGGTGTAGCTAGATGTATGTACCGCGGCGTTTAGCTGCTCAGCTGAGACTTTCGTTGACTCGAAGGACGGAAACGGTCGGTCATCCGTCTTGACTGGGGTGGCTCCAGTTCTTGCATTGATCTAGGTAAGAATCAACAAGTAGAAGCGAACAAGTTAGAACTACAATCGCGAGATGCAATATCCAAGAGCATGAAAACCTACCTTTCGTTTCTTCATGTATGTTTCCATATCGTACAGTTGCTGGGAGGAGGCTGCAGTAGCTTTGGCAACAATGTCTTTACCAAGCGTTGCTACTGACTCAATCTTGTCCTTTGTGTGCGAGATTTGAGTTTGTAGCACTTTTTCCAGTGTCTTGGACCCTCCATTCAGAAGTTGTCGGAGCTCTTCGTGCTCACCAAAGAACTGCATTGCTTGATCTCGCCTCTGTGTCGACGTTGCTGCATTATCCTGTGAGTGCTTCTCCGATACAGACAGCGTTTTTTCCGAGTGTTTTTTTGCAAGCTCTGTTGTCTCGTTTTTCCATGTCGTTTGCAGTCGTTCGTGTGCCCGAACCAGCTCCGTTTGTCGTGCGTTTGCATCACAGAGTTGGTCTTGCATGCCAGACAAACGTTCACGAAGCCCCGCTGTCTCGCCCTCGTGTTTTGCGCTCTGATTGCCCATCGCCTGCACGAATCCCTTCACTTCTTGCTCCGTTATGGTCTGCACGTATGAAAGTTGTTTCTGTTGCTTCTTCGTGTTCTCTTCAATTAGCAGCGTCTGCTCGTCGAGCTTCTGTGTTTGGTTTTGAATACACTTCTCGATATACTGCGCCAAGTGTGCCTTCATGCTGTTTAGTTCCTCCTGTTGCTGGGCGTGACTGTCTTTTAGTGCATCCACAAGTGCTGCCTTGCTTTCCTTGAGCTCCTTGCTTTGTTTTGCGACTGATACGTCAATTGCCACCTGTAACTCTAGCAACTTATCGCTTTGCTCCGTAAGAAAACTGGCCAACTCATCGCGAGAGCCCTCTAATGCCGAATGCATGCTTTTTAAGAATGACACATTTTGCGATTCTGACGTGGACAAGTCTTCCATAATGACCGTTGCGTGACACTTGGACACTTCGATAAGTTTTTCCAGCTGCTTCTCCATAGCTTCCTGCTCCTCTTTCATCGACGTTGCCATTTCTTCACGCTGTCCTGACCTTCGGGTATCATCTTCAGTGTGCGATTCAGTAGTATGCAATTTATGCGCTTCGACAAGGCCTTGCATTGCATTCAGACTAGTGATCAACCCATTCAAATCTGTTGAATGAGCCGATTGCAGTTCATGCAGTGCGGTTGAGACGTCATGAAACATGCTTTCTTGACTTTCCTTGTCTTTTGCAAGTCGCTTCATAAGCGCATTGATTCGAGATTGCGAGTCACTACGATACGATGATGCCAGCTCTGTGTTGGCCTCTTCTACGCGCTGGGTGTCCTCTACAATACCGAAACAGATAGCAAATATTAGCAAGCCTGCTTCTGATGCAGTAAAGGACTATGTATAATGTAGCGTACCAATTTTCGCCAAAAGCTGAACGGCCTTCTTTTCACTGGCATTGTACATCTTTGCAGCGGTAGCTCCGTTTGCAAGTAGAACTTGCTCATTGTCTTGGAATTCTTTCAGCACACCCTGTACTTGCTGTAACTCCTGGGTCGTCTTCTCCAAGATTTGCTTTGTCGAAGCAAGTTCCTCTTCTGTTATAGCTAGTTTGTCGCTCACCTCTTGCTTTGCAAGTGTTAGTGCCACCACCTTGCTCGCATGCTTTTCAGCAACTTCCTCAAACTCTTTACACGACGCGTTCCTTGCCGTTAGAATATCTTCCAGCTCCGTTAATTGAACAGCCTGACCGGCCAGCCGCTCTTGCATATCAGTAAATTGCTCTAGCGGGAGGTACACGCCGTCTTTCATTCTCGCAGCACGCAGGGCCGCTCGGAGTGTCTCGATCTCGCTTCCAAAATCATTCAGCAATCCTGCCTTGGTCATTTTCTGGTTCAATTCCGGTTTGTTTTTGATATTCTTGGCGCGAAATGCGTATTCCAGCGTGCTAAGCGTCTCATCAAGGCTATCTGCACAAGGAGCTAGTGTTGCAATAATCGTCGTTTTCGCTCGTCCTCCAAGTGACTCTTGTAACAAGCGCGTAAGCTTACTATCACGATATGGAACGTGTGGGAGATTGTCAACTAGTGCCGTAATGACACGTCCTAAAGTGAGCAAACTCTGGTTGATCGTGCCTGCTTCACGTGCTCTAGCATTCCGTGCTCCAGATCGACCAACACATTCCGATCCAGCAAGATCCACAAGATTTAATTGTCCAATACGTAACAGATCTTCACCAGCGGCATTGTGCTCTTTACTGTGAATTCTCACAGTAAAAATACTATGAGAACGACTCGAATTTTCGTTCATTAATGTCTCTGAGGTGACACGATTCTTGACACCAGTATTCACGAGCTCATACACGTGTTTAGCTGTCGTTGCCGTGACTTCCAGTAAATTGACACAATAAATTCCTCCTCCTCTTTTGGCATCTTCCATCAGTCTCAGCTTCTTGTCAGTATCAGGGTCCAATAAATCCTTCAGCTCTTCATTGTAGAGCTGTAAAAAGGACACACGGACACTAAACTCTTCTTCGCTAGCTTCCAAGGCGTCAAAAATACAGTGAACACTTCGTGGAATAATTCCAGCCATATCACTGTCTGGAGAGAGGTCTCCCTGCATTGTAAATGTCTTGCCTGTACCTGTCTGACCATAGGCAAATACTGTACAATTATAACCAGCCAATGCCTCGTCTACGGCCGGTCGTACAACGGCATCAAAAACGTCCTTTTGTGTCGAATATTGACCAAAAACACGGTCAAATGTGTACGTCTTGCGCTTGACAACAGCCACTTCACTGGAATTCGGTTTGCATTGTACGACCGCGCCACGTCCGGCAGATTTTTCACGACTGTTTAAAGGACGACAACGTACAGCTACTTGCACGTTCGTTGGTGTTGAAAAGGAAGGAGAAGGCGTGTCATGTTGCATGGGAGAAGAGGACGACGACATGCCAGTAGTGGACTCGGTCATGACCTTCTTTTGGCTTGACCTTTTTTCAAATAATGAGGGTTTTGTCCAATCATGCAGAGACACGGTTTTAATGGTACGAATTAGCATGAATTCATCGAGGATGTCAAAAAGACATGTCAAAATCAATATAATACCTGTCAAAATCACGTGTCAAAAATGATTTGATCTGCCGACCAACCAACACTTGGGCAGTTGATTCTTTGACAATTATGACGCACCCCAAGGTACGGGAGACTTTTTTGGACGGACAAAAGCCCTTTGCTGCATGTGAGTTTGGTCTAGATCGTCGGTTGTCCAAGGCCGTAGCCAAGATGCACTTTGTACATGCGACACTAGTGCAAGTTCACTGCATTCCATTGGCGTTACTGGGCAAAGATCTGCTCGTACGCGCTCGGACGGGCTCCGGCAAGACGGCAGCCTTTGCGCTGCCGTTATTGCACAAGATTTTGCAGCATAAACAGGACGTACCTGCTAGTGACTCAGCCGTGCGTGCGCTCGTGTTGGTGCCTACGAAAGAGTTAGTGGAACAGACACGGCGTCATATGATTGAGCTCATGTATTACTGCCAAGACACGGTGAGTCTACTGGCACTAGGCAGCCAGAGCATGAACGCACAACAAGCACTGTTACGTGATGCACCGGACGTGCTTGTGGCCACGCCGGGTCGCCTTGTAGCACACCTGGAAGCTGGCAACTTGACGCTCAAGGACTCGGTGCAGACGGTCGTTATTGATGAAGCTGATCTTGTGCTGTCTTTTGGATATGGAGAAGACATTCGTACCATTTTTAATGCACTGCCAAAGGCGTGTCAGACATTCTGCATGTCGGCAACATTGAGTCCCGAGCTAGAGAAACTCAAACGCTCGGTGCTGCATAACCCTGCGGTCGTGAAGCTCGAGGAGGGCGCTACAGACGGAAAACTCCAGCAGTTTTACTTGCCGGTGAAGGCTGTTGACAAAGATCTGCTGCTGTACGCGTTGCTGCGACTTGGCGTGGTGAGCGGCAAGGTGATTTTCTTTGTCAACACGACGGATGCGGCGTACCGACTCAAGCTTTTCTTTGAACAATTCGTGATCAAGAGTGCAGTGCTAAATGCCAAGTTGCCTCACAATTCACGCCAGCATATTATTGAGGAGTTCAATCGTGGCCTCTTCGACTATCTAATCGCTACAGACGATAGCGTGGATCGCGACGAAGTTGGTGATGAAGACGAGGACGATGGTGACGAAGAAGAGGATGAGGTTTTGAAGCAGAACGAAGAAGAGGAAAACGCAGATAACTCGGACACGGATTCAGACGCTGTGAAAGAGGACGTAGAAGAAGTAGAGAATGATGGGAGAGACAGCGACAAGGAAGAGAATGCTGATAGCGAGGAAGATGACGAGGTCGTGGAAAGTGACAAGGGAGAGGCAGTTGAAAACGACAATGCTGCTGACGACGACGATGAGCAGCAGGAGAAAACGACGGTGAGCGCTAAGCGTGGACGAGCTGATGACGAAGGTTACGGAGTGTCGCGCGGTGTTGACTTCCGTGGTGTTCAATTTGTTATCAACGTGGACCTTCCTAAAAGCGTGCGCGCGTACACCCACCGCATCGGACGTACTGCTCGTGGGGGTGCCTCTGGTACGGCGCTGTCTCTTGTGTGCAAAGAAGACCCCAAAGAGGAGCGCGCGCTGAAGCGTGTGCAGGCAAAGCAGCAAGCTGTTCGCTCCGAGGCAAATGACGTTATTGCTCAGCCCGCTGAGCTAGCCTTTGATCTGAAAGAAATTGATTGTTTTCGCTATCGTGTGGAAGATGTCCGTCGTGCTGTTACACGTGTGGCCGTGCGCGAGGCTCAGCTGGCTGATATCAAAAAGGAAATGCTCAATTCAGAGCGTCTGGCGGCATATTTTGAGGCAAACCCGCGTGATTTGAATGTGCTCGAGCACGACAAGGTGGTCGGCTCAGCACCAGTACAGCCTCACCTGGCGACTATCCCGGACTACCTTGTTCCTCTCGAGTTGCAACCACCGGCACCAGCACGTACCAAGAAGAAATCCAACAAGCGGCAGCGTCTCGCTGACGGCAAGCGCCGTACCGATAACGACCCATTGCACACGTTCGTGGCTCGTGATGCTAGCGACGACAAGAAACAGACAGCGGAAGATCGTATCAGCTATGGCAACATCGGTGTGGGGAAGAGCACTGCTGGTCGTCAGAAGTGGAAAAAGCAGCACCGTAAGGGCCATTTCAATCCCAAAACGATCGCGAAGAAGAAGTTCAGGATGAGCAAGGGTGCCACTCATTAAGGAGTCTGAACTTTGAACCATGGTTGCCTACAGTGGAAGCCTTGTACCAGGTATCGTGGATCTTTGTTCTTGCATATCTTGCCGAATAGATGCATGTACACGTGTTTGCCTCGTTTATGGTGTTCTTGTCTTGTGTTCGTATATGATCGATTGTCGAAGCGAAAGCGCGTATGGAATGGGTCGACTATTACCAAGTAACGAGAGCTGCAAACAGCAACACAAATAAAGCAAAACTGTGTCTTCTTCGTGCTGCTATTCGACAAGTTGATGCCAAAGATCGTCACCCGTAAGCTGCATCACGGTCAGCTGAGATACGCTAGTCGGACACGTCCACTTTGATCAGGACGAATCAGCTATAAAGCGAAGAAGAAGAAAGCCTTCTGCTTCTTCTGAGAAACCCCAAGTGCAGTATTGGCTTCTTATGATCGAGATGCAGCTAGATGAATATCGTTCTGTATTCTTGCCATGCGCGTGGTGCGCGGTCTAGTCTAACAGCGTCACGTATTCAAATTAGCGGGCGTAAAAGGTCTGAATCCGCTAGCACGCTGTGGCGAATTCCGTAGCACAAGTACAAAGTCAGCCCGACACTCAACCAGATGAGCACACCGATCCTGCAACCCAAAGTTAGTATCAAGAACGCACTTGAGGCAAACAAAACATACGTACCAGCCCTCGATGGGGATACTCGCCATCATGTATACATTAGCCAGAATCCCGATGCATGGTATCAGTGGAACTAATGGGCACTGAAATGATGTCGGAAGGTCACTGTGATCACATGGGTAAACGTGCACGACACGACGATTAGATCAGCACGACAGTCACACCAATGGTATTGAGCTGCGCACCTGAATTTTCCCAATCGATGAATGAACACGAATGAAGCGATCACCAGCAAAGCGAGCGCGCCTTGAATCGTCCAGGGAAGGTCGAACACGAAAGATAGCGACAAAGCGAAACATGATATCACGTATATGAGAACACGACGAACAACGCCACCACCGCTGAAAGTCGGGCGCATACGCAGAAGTAGGACACCAGCATTCACAAAAGTAAAGACTTGTAGTGTTCCGCACGAAATCACGTTGGCTAGGAAATCAAGCTCGAAGACAAACGCGATGATCGCAACAATGGTACCAGTTAAGATTGTACTGGCAACAGGTACGTGCGTCCTGCGGTGAAGCGAGGCAAAGCGTGACGGCAGCAAACCATCCTTTGCCATCTGGTAGAAAATGCGAGGTTGACCCATAAGACAGGTAAATGCAGCCGTAGTTAGTCCGAAAATCGAACCAAACGATACTATACGGCCGGCCCAGGGTACGTCATGAAACATGAAGGCATTCACAAGCGGAACTTCGTCCCCCAGGATATTTACAGGTGCCATTCCAGTCACAACGAGCGACACTCCAACGTAAATAGTCATGGAGATCAACAGTGAGCCAATGATTCCCTTGGGTAGAGTGCGTTGCGGATCATGTACCTCTTCGGCTAGACAAGCCACCATGTCAAACCCCAAGTACGCAAAAAAGACCACGCCAGCACCCGTCATGACACCGTGAAAGCCGGCGGGCATAAACGGTTCCCAGTATGTCGTATCTACTTCTGTGCTTCCATACACCACGACAAAAAGTAGTACCGAAATGTTCAACAGTGTCACAAATGCATTAAACTTGGCAGATTCCTGTAAAAAATGGCACACTCGCCATATTAGCAACATCATCCACGAAAATTGTTCGTCGATAGTTAGACTACAGATAAAAGTACGTACGTGAACGCCAGCAAGTAAGATGAAAGTACAGCAAATCACAAGAAATGCTGCTAGGATACTACACGAAATGCCAAAAATCTCGGCACGTACGAGCCACATTGGGATATGAAGACCCAAATGTTGCAAAAACAAGTGTGCATACGATGCCCAACTCCGTGCAATTCCAGCTACACAAACCGCATCCAAAGTTACGTCAACACCCCGATTACAGTAGCTCCATAATCACCCCATTCTTCTCCACTCATTCCCACCTGCAGAGATACCGTATCCCAATGTCAAATTCCAGCCAATAAGCCACGCCGATAATTCACCAAACGTGATATACACAAATGTGTACGCAGAGCCCGTGACCTTCAGTCCACATCAAGTTCAGTATCCTACAGTTACACCTTCAGTTACAAATTACGTACAGGTACACGAGCTGCAAACTCAGAATATGTGAGCGATGTAAAGATACAAGCAATGCCGCTAATTAGGAACGCCAACGAAATGCTTGGCCCTGCAATCTGTGCACCTACACCCACGAGCGAATAGACACCAGCACCTACTGAACATCCTACACCATAAGCTACAAGATCTAATAGTGTTAAACACTTCTTTAATGAACTAGATCCTTGCTCGCAACGAGATAATGGCTTCACGCGACAAGCAGCCTCAAGGAAGCGGTCCATGCCTTGTGTCTTTCCTTTGAAGGTAAAAAGGAAATGTGCTTTTTATCCAATAAAATAATTGATTGAATCTGTAAATGGGATTGGCTAAAATCAAGACAGATCCAAAAAGGGGGTGTTCAAGATAATAAAAAACACGGACGAAAATGGCGTCGGTCTCGACAGAAGATGAACGTACACAGGTGCTCAATGCGTACAAAGCGAAAGTAATGGAACATCGTGAAATGGAAAGCAGGTGCGTGTCTTTCCTGTGGTATGAAAATGATCGTCTCAAACGCTCTACACGTTGCGTTATCTTGCTGCAATCGTTGAAACACTTTGGATCAGTTTCTAACTGCTTTTTACGTCATTTTTGGCTGTTAATTAGAGTGAAAAGCATGCGTGAGAACGCTAAAACGCTTGTAAAGGAGTTTAATAAGACAGAGAATGATCTAAAGGCTCTACAGGTGAGGATAAATTAGCCGAAATGGAACTAATTTTTACTTACATTGTACTAGATTTTACTTACATTGCACTAATTTTTACCTTTATTTGACGACCTTTTGCTGTGTAGAGTGTAGGCCAAATCATTGGGGAAGTATTGCGTCAGCTGGATGACGATCGCTTTATTGTAAAGGCATCAAGTGGTCCGCGTTACGTCGTAGGATGTCGTGCGAAGGTGGACAAGAGTAAACTCAAGTCAGGCACGCGCGTAGCGTTGGACATGACCACACTCACTATTATGCGTTACCTACCGCGTGAAGTGGACCCTACGGTGTACCACATGTTGCACGAAGACGCTGGTAATGTGTCTTTTTCGAGTATTGGCGGTCTGAATGACCAGATCCGAGAACTTCGTGAAGTCATTGAGCTGCCACTCACGAATCCAGAATTGTTTCTCCGTGTCGGCATCAAGCCACCAAAAGGTGTTCTACTGTATGGACCGCCTGGTACGGGTAAGACATTGTTGGCACGTGCACTCGCGTGCAACATAAATGCTACCTTTTTGAAGGTTGTAGCGAGTGCCATTGTGGACAAATATATTGGTGAAAGTGCTCGTGTGATCCGTGAAATGTTCGGATACGCTCGTGATCATCAGCCGTGTGTCATCTTTATGGATGAGATTGATGCAATTGGTGGAAGTCGCTACTCAGAGGGGACGTCTGCTGATCGTGAAATTCAGCGTACGTTGATGGAATTGCTAAACCAACTTGATGGGTTTGACGCTTTGGGACAAGTAAAGATGGTCATGGCGACAAACCGACCTGACATTTTGGATCCTGCACTGCTGCGTCCTGGTCGTCTTGATCGTAAGATTGAAATTCCGCTGCCTAACGAGGCCTCACGCATGGACATTCTCAAAATTCACTCGGGCCCCATCACGAAGAAAGGCGAGATTGACTACGAGTCGATTGTCAAGCTCACAGATGGTTTCAACGGTGCCGATATGCGCAACGTGTGTACCGAAGCAGGTATGTTCGCGATCCGTGCTGACCGCGAGTACGTTGTAGAGGAAGACTTTATGAAAGCAGCGCGAAAACTGGCCGAGACTAAGAAGCTCGAATCCAAGATGGACTACAGCAAGGTTTAACTTTGTTACAGTAGCGCACGTCCATTTTTGGCGTGGATATTTGTTTGACTACTTCGCCTTCAGAATGTTTTCAGAGTTTGGATCAAATCCCAATGGCTGACCAAGTCCAGCATATACGAGAGAATGGAAAATGAACACTGCGTGATGGGCTGTATCTGGTGTTGATGTTGCTGTGTGATTGCCCGTTTTAGGCGTGATTGCTCATGTTTTCGTTTAGGTTGATGCCGCAAATAAGTTCACTAAGGTGCCACATAGATGGCATTCATTTTGCATTCGCCTCAGCCGCCTTCGCGTAGAGGATGACGATGGCTTTGAGAGTTATGCTAACTCGGGCTGGTGATGAATTGGCTAGAACAAATCAATAGAGTGAATAAATTATATGCGTATGCTAATTTGCTACGCAAATACGATGCAAGGTGGCGGTCATCGTCTAGACTGTCGTAGTTTGGCCGACTGGAGAGGAAGCAACAGGCATCTGCGTTGTTACAGCAGCAGGAGTGTCAACCGCCGTCACAGAAGATGACACGCCGATACTGTTGACTTGAGCAAGCTGTAGATCATATCGCAGTCGCTTGAGGTCCACAAGTGATCGAATTTTGTGGAACTCCAGACCCAAAGCAAGACTTACATGCTCTTCCTCAAGTCCATCACCAATAGCGACAAATTCCACGTCTGGTGCGTCGTACTTCTCCAAGATGGTTTCAAAACACCGATACTTGCGTACTTTCGCCGAGGAATACACGCGATCAATCGGGAAGAATGAGTCCAGTTGATAAATGAGGCACTTGCACAAAGCTGGCACCAGCTGCGTGTTTGTGACCAGCACATTGACGTTCTCCACCTCTTCTTGTTTCTTCTCATTTCTGTCGTAATTGGTTACTGTGTCAGGACCGGAGTTAGGCTGAGTGGATCCTGCTGCAGACTCGCAAATGAGCTCCAATACCTGCCGTGCTTCGTTCAACCAGCCCGTTGAAAAGTTGTCGATAGCAGCAATGAGCGCACCACGAATGGCAAACCACTCACTGTTTGCATCGTGGAGGAAGTCCACGTGTCCGCGACGTTCATATATCTCACGGATACGCTCATATCGCTCTTGTACACTTAGTTGATGCTCAGGCACCTCATTCAAACACGAAGTTTCATTCTCCGTCATTGCTGTCGAAGCTACGTGTGCGATATGGTCCACATCTATATCATGCAAGTCACTGAAGTAAAAGTGTCTCTCCAACATGGTCAGCAACAAGGTCATCATCTGTTCACCTAGTGCTATACCCGAAGCCACCTCTTTGCCGTGTGTCTGAGCAAACGTTCCCGTATACAGCGAGGCAAAGAGCACCAGTGTTTCATCTAGGTCCCAGATAAACACGCGCCTTCGCGGCTTCATCGAGCTTCTCGTCTCCAGTATATCACCTGTTGTCTCCTCATTATCATCTTCTTCATCTTCTTCATCCTCTTCGTCCCCACCTTGTTCTTCTTCTTCCTGATCGTCATCCTGTCTCGCCTCGAGCCCAGCAGAGTCAGTCTGCTCGCTTCCTCCAGTCCCCGCTTTTTGTCGTTTCAAGGGCCGTGCGTCATAGCTTTCGTCTTTTCCATCGTCCTCTTCATCATGGGCGTCTCTCTTGTTTCCACCATCGAAAAACTCACTTCTGCCTTTCTCCACTTGAAGGCTTGAACGTAAACTCTTCTCAGCTGATGCCACGACTGTCTCCAGTCGCTTAAACGGCAGAAATGTCGGCAGCAGTGTCAAAAGTGTCGTCCACATACGTGAACGCCACTTGAGTGTCTGGTCCAGCGTACTTGCCACAGCACCGCACAGGCTAATGCCTACCTCTGGCAACAGCACCAGCTTGGCCGCAGCGTCTCGTAGACGTGCACTCAATGTCGATATCATTAGCTCTAATGCCTTGTGTCTCGTCGCAAGCTTCAGCATCTGCACGTCGGGCCTCATCTCAAGTTTCGAATGCCACGCTGACAACGCAAGCGTCACTCACTCACTATCCATGCCGTCAAAAAAGCTTCAGCCACCGGACCACTCGGAAACAAGCAAACAAGGCCAGGACAAGATAAAAGTTGATGGCGATGTTTGTACATTTGGTGGCGTGGACGTTTTTGATCGTTAAGGGTGTCTGCATATACCTCAGTTATCATTGCTGCTACATGTAATCGTGTCTCAGCTATGTGTCGTGAATCTACAAGACATTGCATGAAACAAGGATGAGCATCTACAACGACAAGTGCCAAAAAATCATTGAAAAGACCTGCAAGATTAATTTGCTGGTAGCCCACTTACTGCAGACGAAAGGTCGTGCCATTGCTGCAACACCAAGGGCAGTTGTTGCATCTCACTTGTCGTATGATTCGGCACGTCCCTGGACATATAGCAACATTTCATGGCAGTGGATGTGAAGTGCCAATGACTTTTAGTCCCAATAGTATTTTACGTCTTACCACCACGTGAGCTCATTGAAATGATCGGCAACCTCCCAAATGCGACCGTCATCATCCGAGTGGTGCATACCACTGTCTTCCAAGACGAGGCCTGGAATATTCCACACAATACGGTCAGATGACAGTGACCATGTACGTAGATACCATAATCACGCACCCGTGAAGCTCATGGGTCCCAAGCGCAACGTTTCACCCTGCAATTGAATGCCACGGAGCTCTGCATGCATCCGATTATCACTGTCTTTGCCGTCCTTTTGCACTTGAACGTCCTGTTCCTCCGCATTCGATCCGCCATGATCGATGCTATTGCTGTTGCGATCACTGCTCTGCGGTCGAAAAAAACGGTTGACAGCTGCTGATCCATTAAAGTGGATACGACATGGCAACGAATGCACTCGCGCTTCGGTCGGTGGCAGTGGACAGCGGGTCAGACATACACGCACGGTGCTCGAGGTCTTGTCTGTCATGTTTGATGTACTTGTAAGATCTAATAGTTTTAGCTAAGAAACACCTTCCCGCCATAAAAGTATTAAAAGATACAGTGCGCACTTAACACGTACCACATTGATATAATGGATGAAGTACGTGGCATCTTGGATAATTCATTCTCTCTCTGTCACTCTGAATCGCTCCTATCGTCTCCCATCTATAATGTAGCAGGTTAAAATACCTGTAAAGCGCTCGCGTGATGAAGCTAGCAAGTTGTTGGGTGAGAAAATGCTTCAGGTTGGTGGACAATTGAGGAGGAGCTCCTTATTTCTTGCAATTTGCTAAGTGAGAGAACTGTAGGGATGGATATTGCTGGGTGCAAGCTGTCCCGTTGACGACTGCTACACGCCTCTAATGCGCAACAAGCAAGCAAAGGTGTGGGGAAGGGTGATTTTGGATGCATTTTTATGACATTCTGCAACTTACAAGTACGAAATATGTCGTGGTGGTGGAAGATGTTTTGTGTGAGGTGTGCTCAATATGTTATCACTGAGGAGGATGCTAAGAAACAACAAGCAGAGAAAGAGGCGGAGAAGATTGTAGCTGTGGAAAAGGAGGAAGCCGAGGCTGGAGCTCGATTGGAGGAAGAACGCAGACGTCACATTGCGCAACAATTTCGCTTGGAAGAGCAAGCCAAGCAGGCGAGAAAAATGCAGGAGCTCGAACAGAAAAAAACGCAGCATGTGGCGACTGTACAAGGAACTGGTACTGTGTGGTGTACTATGATCGTGCTTTTGCTTGATCATGCCTAACATCCCACGTCACTTCATGTGAAACAGCAAAGCGCAAGATTGACGATTTGTTGAGCCGAAGCAGCTCCAAGAGCGATGCGGACGTGAATGTTGTTCGTCGCCAGACACTTGCTGCGCTATATCAGGTGGAACATCTGCATTTATTCTAGGCTGGCTGGTATTCTCTTAGGACAATGGGCTTTCGTGGCACGATGTCTGTGAATCCAACTTAACAGCCTCGGTTTTCGGAAAAAGTAGCTGGTTTATTAATGATTTACCGTGGCTCTCTTCTCGACTTTCTTTACAGAAAATGGAAGCTTTGACGGACTCGCTATCGCCCAACGACCACAGCGAACGTCTCATCTCCGTCGCCAAAGCTGTGCGAGAGATTGCTGAAGCCGCGCAGCTTTTAAAGTAGTAGCTGCTGTTACACAACGGCATCGAAGAGAGAGTGGCGTTGGAGTAATAGAGGACCCATGGAACTAATTTTGAAGCAGTTTTACTACTTACATCGCCTTGCCTTTCAGTTGTTTCTGCCTGGATATTGCCACGAGGTTACGCTTTAGAAAGCTTTCCAAATGCTGTACGATACGTCCAATAACAACATCTCTACAGATCAGTTGTCTGGTGAATCTCTTCCTCAAATGCCACTTTCTCCTCATCAGATAAGAGGGGCTCCTGGTCATCCGTGATTTTCGTTGGTGCCATTTTGATATGCGAGGTCTCTCCCACAAAGTAATAAATATAAGCAAGGCACACGATAGCAACGCCACTGGAACACAAAACACCAACAAACAAAGGTCAGCAACAATCGTCCTCCTCATCACTAATATTTCTGTCACCTACCTGAGGATCAAATAGAGCTTGGCAATTCCATTCTTCTCGGGATTGGAGCCACGGCCCAAAAAGTCGATGGCAGATAACGTGCCAACAGCAATCACGATGTTACACATGTAGCTGACGGCCATGTAGAACGCGAACGCTCGTGTGCGGATATGCACAGGCGTAATGTCTCCTAATATGACCCTGTGCAATTACCAATACATATATACTGACGTGAGTTTATTCAGTTGACGATCAATGATCAACAATCACATGCGTACCACACGACAGCGCCAAGGCCAACAGCGAACCCGCCAACAAACATGAGCACGGAACTCACAGCTACCATACCCTGTAGCCTAAGATTGTCGTTGAGATAAAGAAGCGACCAGCTGACTACTCCTATCGCAATGATCATGATGGTGGTCCCCACAATCAAAAGTGATCGCCGACCATACGAGTCGACGAAGCGCACCGATATGACCGTGACGCCCACATTCATAACACAAACGACAGCGGTGGCGAAGAACGGGTTGGTCACTCCTGCAATATGAAAAATCTTTGCCGAGTAGAGCATCACCGTATTTATACCTGTCATAGCTTGGAAAAACACAAGGATCGTACCCTTCACCATGACTTTCTTGTGCGCCAATAGACTCCACCAATTTACGTGAGGCTCATGCTTCCGGTGCTCCATCACGTGCGCGATTTTCTGCAATTCCGTTTCAATTGCACCCTTCGAAGCACTCGGACGTAAAAATACCAGCGTTGCTCGGCACTCATCACGACCACGGTTCTTCATAAGCCACCATAGACTCTCCGGCATGAAAGACATGCTCAGACACTGCACTAACGGAGGCAGGACCATAAACCCATTGACGTATCTCCATCCCGAAGGTACATTAGAGATAACACAGTACCCCAGCACAGCAGACACTAGCATGCCAATCGTGAGACTGAGCTGATGTAAAGCTGTGATCTCGCCACGCAAGGCAGCGGGCGAAATTTCTGTCAGCAAGACGGGGACCGTGTTGGTGACGACTCCCGATGCTATTCCAAGGAGCAGCCGCCCAGCATAAAGCACATGTTTGGATGTGGCAAGTGCACAAACAATGCTTCCAATTATATACAGCAAGTTGTTACCCAAGATTGTCTTCTTCAGTCCCAGACGAGCGCCTAAACCGCCTGTGGTAAGCGCAGCAAACAAGCAGCCCACCACTACGAGTGCTGTGGCGAGCTCTTGCTCTTCCATAGTGAGATTAATCTCCACAAGCAAAGATCCCATAGCATCCGGTACAATGCATACATTCAGCACAGTGGCGCTAAAGCCCCACATAAAGGAGGAGATGGAGATAATCCATGCTGCCAGCCGCAATTGTCCCGTCCAACCATAGCCCATCACGGGGCTGCTGTTAGTACCACTGTCTCCATGAAGCTTTGCCGAGGTAGACAACTGACCACTCATCTTGTGATGCTGGTGCTGAGGAGACATGGGCTCAATCTTAGGCAGCAGCTTCTCTTTCATGTCGGTGAGGTCCTCCATTACTCAGATAAAGAAGAAAATGATGAGAGCAGTGATCTAAATGACACACCAAATGCACATACACTAGTGTACAACACACCAAGGGGTCCGCTATCCTTTCCCGCATCGTCAGCATACGACTTTGTGGATAAAAAGGACTTTGGAAGAACAGAAAGGCACGAAATGCTGACTCATCATTATGAAGAGCTGCTGGGGGCGACGGCCCGTTTATGTCCTTTTTGTTGCTTCGTAGGAAGAATCATGTATGGACTTGCCTTGCAACTATTCGATGATCGTAATGTCCAAACACGAAAGCGATTCCGATCGATAGTCAAGCAAACCTTGTGAATGAATACACCAGCAAGGTACCTACGATACATTAGTGGCTAGTTTTTGCCGATACGTACCACGCGTACGCTCGCCAAATGTAACGAACGAGGATCCAATTAGACCGTGATGTATCGCAGATGTGCAAGTGTATCTAGGCTAGCAGATGGTATTCGTAATGTTCGTCAGGAGACTCCACCTCCAGAATTTTTCTCCGGCTTGAAAGTGTTATTTTGACCTACGCACGTCCCCGCATGCATGTTTCAACGCAGTCTCCCGTTGAAGCTTGGTGGTGATGGGCGACTGTCGACCGACAAATGCATTCCAGAACGTACACAATTGTTCCTGTCTACTCAACGTCTCAGGTGCCAGACTCCCACTGGCTTGTATTCTTCCGCTAATGATTCGTCGAAAACGGCTGTGGCGATATGCACCAATCCACACGTAGCAGCACCGCAGGAGCTAAGCAGGTTGCTAGAACGCAAAGTGCAAAGAAGAAAAAAGTCAAACAGAAAACACCGTCAATAGGACCTGAAGAATGTGTCGACCGATTGAATCTCGTAAATCGTTGGATGCCATGGGCATGGCCGCCGCCGCAATGTTTGTGGGCCCTCAGCCTGCAGCAAACAACAATCAAGCTTTGGCGAGCCAGAACGTCAAGGCCACCACCGAGCACGCGCCTGTATGGTTCACTGCCAATGACATGGGCTTTAACGTGGACGGCATGAACATGCTGAGCATGGCGGCGCCGCCCCCGGCTCTGCCCTTCGTGTCATTTTCGGAGAACAACAGCCTACCGGCAATGCCGTGGGGCGCTGTTATCCCCATGGTCGATCTGATGAGCATGGGCTTGCCTAGCAACCAATATGCGTCCGTCCCGACCCCCTTGGAACCTAAGCCCGACATGATGCAACTTAGCTTTGAATCCCAGAAACTGGAGAAGCTGCTTAAATTCTCAATGCCCGGTGACTTGGCGAACGTCGGGGGTAAGGATAAGCCCGATCTCTTGAACATCGACGACGACTTTGATGGAACGGAAATGTCCATTCTGTACAGCTTTCTGGTGGACAACCCCAAGGATAAGTACAAGAAGACTACTGAGGTCGATGATGGCATTTTAAACATCAACATGTTACCGGGATCTCCTATCGAGGGGCATGTGGATCCGTGCGGGACCGACTATACGGACCTGGAGCTCATGATGATCCTGCGTCGTCCGGAGCCCTGTATGGCGGCCCCACAAGCTTTGAGTAGCCCTAGTGAAGTCAAGAACCGTCGACTTTGCAAGAGCGAAGGCTGCTATAAGCGGTCACGTTCGAATGGTCTGTGCATTTCGCACGGCGGCGGTCGTCGCTGTGCTGTGGACCGCTGTGACAAGAGCTCACAGGGCGGCAACCTTTGCATCCGTCATGGCGGTGGGAAGCGGTGCTGTCACGAGGGCTGCCACAAGGCGGCGCAGTCAAATTTCTTGTGCAAGGCGCACGGTGGCGGCCCGCGTTGCCAGTTTGATGGTTGTTCGCGCAGCTCGCAAGGCGGTGGCTTCTGTCGCTCGCACGGTGGAGGTAAGCGCTGCATGTCCGATGGCTGTGAGAAGGGTACGCAGCGCGGCGACTACTGCGCGCTTCACGGTGGATCCCGTCTGTGCGAGGCGCCGGACTGCATGCGGAACGACCGTGGTGGAGGCCTGTGCGCTACCCACGGTGGAGGCAAACGCTGCACTATGGCCGTGTGCAATAGGCCGTGCCGACGCAAAGGCCTGTGCTCTGCACACCTGCGCCAGGTGGAGGGTATAAAGAGATAACTGGACGAGACGATGCGACAGTGATGGTGGAGCGATGTCAGGGAGAGGAGAGGAAGAAAGCGGGGGGCAGAGGCGAAGTGAAAATAGGTGGGCTTGTGGTGCTGAAATATGTCGTTGCTACTTGGCTGCCGGGACTCAATTCGAGTATGACACGCGCGGCTCCTTCGCCTGGTGCGAGAGATGACGTTTTGACTATTGGGGTGAAGCGTTGCGATGGATGGTTGTGTTGGTGGCCTGGAATAGCCAAAGTTCTAGTCGTGCGACTCGCTTTCGGTCTTGTGACAAAGAGCGTCTTTGGTCGAAGCAGCAGAGGATGGATCTGTATTATTCTGTACTATTTTTTTGGCGACGGGTGTGTCGCCGTGGGGCGGAGATGAGTCCTATTTCAAGGTCGGATACTGGTGACTAAGGAGGAAGAAGGTTTGAGACCTCGATGTATGTCAAGGCTAATCGAGCAATATTTTATTCTCAATTGTCGATGTGCCTGCCATTTTGATCTTTTGTCTAAGTCGAGTAGTATTCGTAGCAATTTTTATTTAACTTGATATTGCAATACCAATTGTTAAGTGTCATAGCGTAACATTTGCAATTCCAAACACTTTATTTGGGTCTATTGTGTTTTTTTTCGACAATATGGCGGGCGCCGACGAAGCGATACCTCGCGCCAAGCGGCTGAAGCTTTTGCGCGAGGCGAAGGCTCGTAAGGAACGTGGTGAGGTAGAAAATGATGCAGCAGTCGATCCGGATGCTGCAGCGCCGGATGTAGTGGACGCGTCGATTGAGGTGGAAGCGGAGAAGCCGAATGACCAGCAGGACACGGACATGACTGACGAAAAGACAAAAGACCTCGTAGAGAGAGTGGACCAGGTGCAGGAGGAGAATGCAAAGACTGAAGATGAGAGCGAAGATGAGCTGCTGAATCTCGCACCCAAACGCGCTAATTGGGACATGGAGCGCGACATAGCGCCCATGCTACGCAAGCTGGAGAGGCGCACCCAACACGCGATTGTCGAGATTTTGCGTACGTTATAGCAATGCTTAGCATTTTGTACTGCAATCTGAGCAATGAAGTGAGATTGAATTTTCGGTGACTTTTATGACAAATGCAGGCGAGAAGCTTGCAGCAGAGCAGCAGGAAGAAGATAGCGACAATGACGAGGAACATGAGGAGGAGGCCGAGGAGGAGGTCGAGGAGGAGGAGGAGGTAGATGCATAGCACCCTTTGCCAAGCGCAACTCTATGTAATTAGCGCTGCAGTGCATTATTAACGCTCTTTGAGGCTTACGTCGTTAGGGAACTATCGGGCTTTCATTAAGTAAGTATTTAAGCCTTCTCCGACTTTTGTTTTTTAACCTTCATCTTGTTGTCCTTAGATCCGTCCTTGCGTTTCTTGTCCTTCTTCTTACCGTCGCTCTTTTTCTTTTTGTCTTTCTTCTCCTCCTTGTGGAACTGCTTGAGCTTCTTGTAAATGAGTTTGACCTGCTTTGCACGAGAAGCAGCCACTTTCTCACCTCCCTTCTCGGATTTCAGCAAGTGGAACGCCTCAGTAATCTCATTCAGTCGACCAGGCACTTCGTGAAGCGGTTGGTTTTTGGAGAACTTGCTGTGTTTAACGTACTTCAGGACGTCCTCGTTCGTGAGTCCGCAAACCTTCTCATCGCTGCTTGCTGCAACCTCGCCCGTTACATGCCACAGCGCCGCCAGAGCCAAGTACGACGGGTAGTGGAGCAATGGTAGATCCGTCAACAACATGTCATTAAGCAATGCGGTTGAATTGGCGTGAAGTTTTTGCAGAACCGTCGCAGGTAAGTCCTTACTCAGCACCTGTTTGGCGAAGGCACGAAAATCATCCAAAAAGCCCAGCAGTGCGCGAAATGGATGATACATGATAAGTTGGAAGCGCACGCCCTCTAGCAGGATCATTTCATGGCCTATGATAAATTTGTGGTCTACGTGGAGCTGATCAGCAACAGTATCAACCGATATATACTGCTCCTCAACCTTTCCAGCCACGTAGATAGCAGTTGGGACAAGATACTTTGGGTGAAACTCCATCACACTGTTGCTAAGGTAAAACCTCTTGTACAGCATCATAGCACAGCACTTGACCTTGTCTGATGTGCGCAGGAACTGGGCACTGCAGCTTTCCTGTATCTTTTCCTCGTAAAACGATCGGAGCAGCGTCTCTTGCTGTGGGCTCAGAAACTCCAATAGTGGTGTTAGCTGTATGTTGGCCTTCTCTTCTGCTTCCTCTTCTACCGATAGATCCACATCGACATTATCGTTCCAATCGAAAGCGTCTCGCACAGCAGTAGACGAGCGCGGGATCAGCGCCGCAAACGACCGAGCTTTACGGCTACTAGCAGCAGTTGTTTCTGGCTTTTGAGCCTCCTCACGCTCTAAACGCAGTGCACGCTTGGCCTTCACATGCTGCAAACGACGTACACGCGTGAGATCCTCCGTCGAAAAGACCCAGTTGTTAAAATGCGTCGATGTCGAGAGGTACGACATGGTCTGGAGCTAATGAGCTTTCGATAATTATGAATTTCGAAAGGATTCATGTATGCCATACGAAGGGCTCTCATGTGTACCACTTTTCTATGTTGTACTCGAAGAATTTTATTGTTTTGAAATCCTTTTCCAGCAACGTTCCACACGACACGATCGGTCGATTATGATGATAGATACGGAAACTTATAAGTGACTAAACATAATACCGTATGACTATCAAATGATTGAGAGCGATACTGTAGCCCATAAAAAGCTGTGAAAGCTGTCGTTCCTTCTATTTTCGCAGCGCTGCAAACTCTTGAAACATCTTTTTCGCGTCAGCGTTACCCATGAGATCATCTCGCGTAGGTTTACGTTCGTATGTGGCCTCAAAGTCAATGCGCCACTGCGCAAGAGCCTGTTCTACCCGCTTTAACTTTTTAGCGCGTGTCTCGTAGACAGTTTCCACGGGCACGCTGTCTAAGATGGGCTGGCAAAGAACGCTCATAATGTCTTGTTTGTCTACAGTCCCATCAGCAAGTTTCGTCATCTGCAGACATACCCTTAGCATACTACTAGCAGCTCTTCATCCCTTTACGTTGTGTACTTCTTACCTTAACTAGCTTTTGCTCAGTACCCGCTCCGCCAAGCGGAATCAATAGTCCTCCACCAGGTCTAACGTACTCCAAAAACCTATCTGCTTCAGCTTTGGTCTCGACAGCAACACCGACATGGACGCAATTGTACGGGTGATCAGACGGCAGACCAAGGTCCTTTTTACCAGTACTCAGCAGGATCTTGGTCTGCTTGTCGGCTACCTCTTTGCCTAGACTGCGTTGTAAGTTCTCTTTTGAGAACGCCACAAGTTCCGGGACAATATCTACCCCTGTAACGTGACCCAATGGACCCACCAAATGCACCATAGCAGCCACGAGGATCCCCGAGCCGGAACCCACGTCCACCGCTGTCATTCCTGGCTGAAGGTGCGGCTCCAGCAGCCTCAGTACCTGTGCGTGTTGCTGAGGAGTGGAAATGGTAGCTACAGTACCAATCTTTAATGGACGATTAGCATATCGATCACTTGAGTCTCGAACTGCCGGCATCACGAAATCTCCACGGTCCACCTGTCTTAGCACAGCCTCAAGTCGTGAGCCAGCAGCCACCAGATTCGTCCGGACCAAACTGTCTATCAACGCAGTGTGTGAATCACCCCCAATTTGATGCCCGATACTTGTACTCACTAGCAGATCGTCAGAAATGCCATTTAATACGCTGAAAAGACGACATTTGACGCTTGCACGCAACGAGCTCCAAGACCGGAGTAACAACCATGTCATTTTGATACAATAATGCTCAAAAATTGTGATGATGCTATATTAATTGATACGAAATTTGGGAAATAGTCAGTCACACTTTAAGATGGACACTTAAAATGGCCATGCACACGTGAGTTTGTCGTTTGTTCGGACGTTCTGAGTTTGCGATAACCTCTCTCTTATTTTCATTATACCCATATCTGATTCAACATGCGGTAACGCTAACGTCAGTAGATTTCAATACGCGAGACAGGACACAAAGGGCGTAGCCCCACACCTTTCTCATCGCGGCACATACCACCAGCATGTTCAGCGTCATGGGAGTAACAAAAGAGTGCGTAATTGATTTTTGTCATTCTCGAATTCGTATCTAAATTGGGAGTATTTCAGAGACATTTTCATTGCTACAATCAAAATGATAGGAACATGTTATTGACTGCAGCCGCTGCGTTAATCTCTGGCTGCGCTTTAGTAGCAACTAGAGGCCTCAGAAGCTCTCGCACTATTCCACATCGACGCATTGTCGCTGGCAATTCGGAGCTAAACGAGTTCATGGCGCGTGTAAGTAAAAAATGGGTTCAAAAAGGACACGTATCTTATGGTATCCTTACTTGTTATTCTTGACGTTATTAGGCTCTACAACCCTTGCTGGATCAATATACTCCAACGTGGTGGACCAATTCGCACATTCAGTGTTTTCTGACCTTTTTAGTACGTCAATTTCCCATCAAGTATCAGAGAGATGTACTTATTCTCAAAGACGGAGGACAAGCATCTCTGGACTGGGCCTTAGAGTCTTCTGTGGTCATGAACGTGCCATTGGATCACGACTCACCCATTGTAATTATCATGCACGGACTTGTGGGTTGCAGTGAGAGCATGCGTTCCTTATGTGCCGAAGCTCTGGCACATGGATATCGCCCCGTGGTGTTTAATAAACGAGGTCATGGAGGGCTGAAACTATCTACGCCAAAGCTGCAACAGTTTGGCTGTGTACAGGATCTGATAGAGGCCATTGCTCACGTGGAGAGACATTTCCCTGACAGTGAACTATTCGGCATTGGCTGCTCAGCTGGAGCGGGTCTGCTGTGCAGTTACTTGTGTGAGCTTGGTGACAAGTCGCGCCTTCGTGCTGGAGTGCTGATTTCGCCGGGTTACAACGCCTTTGAACTGTTTTGTCATGGCAAGATCCACCCCGTCTACGATTTTCTCATGACTTTCACGCTCAAGTCGTTCCTGTGGCGTCATAGAAGTGAACTGAGTGACGTTATTGACGTGGCAGGCGCTCTGCGAGCTACCAGTATTCGGGAATTTGATCAGCACGTGTACATGAAGATGCACGGATATGGTGACCTAGAGTCGTACTGGAGAGTAAACAACCCCATGCGAGATGTGGACAACCTCAAGATGCCACTACTCTGCATTAACGCACTGGACGATCCTGTGTGCACCAAGGAGACGATTCCATACGACGTGTTCGGTACGAAGCCCAAAGCCATGCTGTTGACCACAGGGGAGGGAAGTCACTGCGCTTTCTTTGAGGGCAATTTCCAACTCAAGTCATGGTGTGATACTGCTGCTATGGTGTACCTCGACCGCCTTCGGGAGTTTGAAAACATTTCAGAGACAAGCGTGGACATTCTTAGTGCTGTTGCTACAGCTTAGAAAAGCAGAAGGTCGCGTCATTATATCGTGTTGACCTCAATTCTGATACAGACCCGTGTTGACCTTAATTTTGATACATTTTCATATCAACGGTGCTAGTTGTTACTACTGCCAACAACTGCTCACTTGGCTGACAAGCTCAGGGCGTAAATGGTGTCGAAGACGAGCAACTCACCCAACTGAAGACGACTGAAACCTTGAGCATTATCGGCGATCCGTTGTTATCGGCACGTGAGGCGATCAATCTAAAGCTGCACAAGATAAAGACTGATGCTCAACACTTGTCGGCTATACACGGCGAGGCAATCAGAATGCTGTTGAGGATTCGAAGAACCGTAAATTGCAGCACACAATTTGGTCGTCTACTTTGCCGTCAACCTCTTCCATCGTGTTGAAGAATCACCACCGTGAATGATCGAGTATATGAGTGCGTGCGTAGATGATCAACAGGTAGTGATTGATAGACAGAAATTTGGATTCAGGAAGCTCACACTTGCGAGTTAGAACATGGAAACACCTTCAGCAAAAAGTTATGCCTTATTCGCACGCACACTAATCCTCGAAGTCGATACCGGGGCACATCTTTTGCTTCACTACTGCTCCTGGAATTGGCTTTATACCACCGATGAAGAACATTGGTGCTGCTTGTTTAGTTCGGGGAGAAACGATCGGCGTCCATGGACGACCAAAATGTTCTTCAGCATCTTTCAGTGAGGCCTGTATCTCTAGCGTCCATGGAATTTCACTCAATACTCCATGCAGCGGGTCATCCTCGCCATGTTTCATCGCGTGTTGACCCCATTCTTGCTCGTCGACAAAAGTCTGACTCGGAATATCCGCCCAAAATTCACTTCCAGGAGCCGAGAGGTAGTCAATTGTCTTTAGTAATTCAGAAATGCTCAAGCGCTCGATATACGGGAGCACTCCTTCCATGATCCAGAACGTAGGCATTGTTGGATTAAAGTCGTGACCCATTAGATTAGCCTCCAGTCCTGCCTCAGCCAAATTCAAGACGATGCAGTCAACACTATGAGCTACAAGTGGTGCATGCAATTCCTTCATCACCTCTGCCTTGTGTTCAAACACGGCACTACTTTGATCTACTTCTAAAACGTGACAACCGCGGAGTGATCCTAGACGGTAGGCTCGAGCATCGAGTCCTGCACCAAGAATCACAATTTGGAGGATGCGAGAGTCGCGATGATGAAGAGCTTCGTCAAGATAACGGGTGCGAATCGCAATCAAGTTTTCCGGGAACGCGTATAGTTTGCGAAGCACCTCGTTTACAAATGTTTCAATCTCCGGCTGCTTCTTTCGGGTAAGCGGTTCAGCAAAGGGGTCATGGATGATCCGATCATTTCGAGCACTTTCAACTGCCCGGAAGTAAGTCGTCACGAAACCCATCCACGCTGCAAAAGCATCGTCCGCAAGAGAAGACTCTTCTTGGACTAATGGCAGGGAAAACGTAGCAGGTTTCATTTCGTTTGGCATTCAGTCAGGAAAAACTGTAATGGAATCCATAACTACTTAAACGGCCGCACATTCCCATACTTTGTGAGATAAGCTGATGAATGTTGTTGGACGTACCACGTCGCAAGTAAGCCAGTACTTCAGGTCGGATTGCTCTGCTCTTCCATCCTCAAACAGTTTTTTTAAATGATGAACAATCGCATTTTGATGCATCTCGTTGTGGTGGTTTCAATGCTTCCTCGCCTTGTAGTCGCTCGTATTTTTAGCCTTACATGAGAAAATGGAGAAGAGTACTCAACGGTAAAACGAAACCACGACCGTACTTCATATCCGTCACAAGGTATCATTGTTTGATTCTCCAGGACAGCCTTTGTATCTGCAGTTAAAATGCTTGGTATGATTGGCGATGAGCAGCGGAAGTCCATCTCGCGTGAAGTTTGCATGCGAAGTGAGCTTATTCAACCGAAGGTAGGTTTTGATTTGAACCGACACGCATTTATTCGCGCTAACTACTATGTTTTTCATGTGATGGTAGACCATCAACGATGTTTCAACTGACATCAAAGAAGTAGCATCAGCATACACTGGCAATGAAGAAGCTGAAAAAAGAGGGGTCAAGCGAGATCACCCAGCGATTGCAGGAACTACCGATGTCAACACCGAACTTCATACGGTCGTTCAGTGCACGGACGGAAATCTTGAACAGGAAACGTCGATGGACTTGAAGGAAGATGAGGTTGTTGACGAGCGCACTGCAACAGACGATAAAAAGAATGAAGATAGAGACGAAGGACCGCCGCGAAAGCTATCACGTTTGGCAGAAGATGTTTGCAAGAAGCCAGCGGCTGTGCCTTCAAACCAAGTTGTTGTGGACGCATTTTTGGACTTTGGAGACCAGGAACTTCACCACGGACTAACAGGTCAAGGTGTCACTCATTTACGAGCAGCACGTTCAATTCGTGACCATCCTTGCGCCATTACTTCTGAGATCGACGCACGTGACGTTCCTTTGGTGGGAGCAAAAATGGCTACCCAAGTCGAACAGATTTTGAACTCGAACGGACTGGAGGATCAAGCAGTGTGTTCAGAGGTGAGCAAACTCGCGGTGACGAAGCACACGCCAGTACATGAGGAACTTGTGAAGCATGAACACTACCATACGGCTGCGAATGTCGAAAGCGATGGGATATGTGAGCAAGGAAGTGATAGCCATGAGTGCCCTGATACCCTGCCAAGTAAGAAAGCCCGTAGCAAGCTCGCTCAAGTTGATGAAAACCTTAATGACGCGCTTTCAGCGCATGTGGAAGTGGAACCTGCAAATGCCACTGGTGAAGAAACAGCTTTTGATCATGCTACTCATTGTCTTCATGATGCTGCCGAGTCAGTGGCAAGTGGCAGCGTCGGGAAAGCTATAGGTTGCATCGGAGAAATGGTATCGACCTTTGTCAACGATAAGGTAGGGCTCAAATTGGCGGACGACAATACTACGGATGATGACGAAGAGAACGACTGGCCGCTTAGGTTATAGCTAAACAAGCCTCAAAGAGCAATACATGACGAGTTGAAGCAACCTCAAGGCAGTTGGAACCTGCACGTCTCACAATTTGTCTCGTTTCTCAAAACCTTCTTTGTGTACTTGTCTCGATTGATGTAGGAGCTAACGGGAACATCTTGACGCCTACGTCTCAGTACATCGAACTGACAGTGTATTTCATTATTCGTTTTGCAGCAAGAAAGCCTTTGGTAGAGTCATCATGGCTGACGCAGAGACAGCAAACGCAGTGTACGCCCAAATTGGGAAGATGCGAGAGATTGCGAAGAAAAAACAAATCAATGTCCCCGAGGTTAGTTCCACCACATGCATGTAGTGTCAACCCAACGGGTATCTGAATATTATGTTGAATAGAACGCGTACATGGCTACGATCGATATTGCTACGGCACTTGTTGCATCAAACGGGGATGAAGAGGTACTTAGTACTGTCATCGTTGTAGCAAAAGCGGATGCTTCATTTGAAATTGTTTCGTAGTCTGCCTTGTTGAAGATACAGGCAAAACTTGGTCGCAACAAACGAGCTCTTCCACCGGAATCGAAGCAAAGTTTGAAGAAAATGAAAATGGGTGGTGAAAACGGTGGCAAGAACGTTGGACAGACTTCAGATTATGCAGGACTGAAGGATCAAGAAGAGTCGGTCGCTCCCCACAAGACGATTCGGCTGGTCGAAGAAGCTCGTGAGAAAAAAGCTGTAAATCCTGCGAACCAGAAGATCGTGGATGCCTTTGCCAATTATGGCGAGGAACAACTTGATCGCGGACATACTGGCAAAGGGGTGTCGCATTTGCGAGCTGCAATCCACATTCGTGACCATCCAGATGCCATTACGTCTGCTCGGCAGGCCCGTGCTGTTCCTATGGTAGGTGACAAACTAGCGTCTCAAATTGAAGAAGTACTTGCGACGGGGAAGTTTAAAGATGAGACTTCCGATCAAAATGTCGGCACGGATGTTGAAAACCACCAGCGACCCGAGTTGGTCGTTGAGATTTACAAAACTAAAGCCAAGTGTCCCGAGAACCAGGTGTTGGTGGATGAGTTGGCGAAATTTGGTGAGCATGAACTCTACTTTGGTAGTTCGGGCAAAGGAACGAGCCACCTTCGTGCAGCACGTGAGATTCAACTTAGCGATCAAGTTATCAAGTCGGGGTCAACAGCTCGAACGAGTATCCCGCTAGTTGGTGATGTGATAGCTGACAAAATTGACCAGATCTTGGAGCATGGACGTATCGTGAAGGACACCGGTGAAACTACAGGATCAAAAAGTTACTCGCGCGGTAGCGGTGGTGGTTACACGCAAGCTCCAATTGTGCACGACTTGCGCGAGAAACCTGCCGTATGCAAGGAAAACCAGCCCGTTGTCGATGCTTTGGTTGACTACGGTGAGAGTCATTTATACTCAGGACACAGAGGCAAAGGAATTTCGCACCTGCGAGCTGCTCAAAACATTCGAGATTCCGAGATAGTTGTGAAATCGGGACAGCAAGCCAGCAAGGAGATCGGTATGGTGGGAAGACGCATTGCTGCCAAGGTCGACCAGATCCTTGAGCAGGGTCATGCTGACAGCGATGAAGATTATGAGTACGACCCAGAAGATCAAGAGGAAGAAGGAACTGAATATGGTGAGGTTGAGCGAGACTCGGTGGTGCCGCCTATTGTGCAAGACGTTACCGGCAAGCCTGCTGAAGTTGAAAGTAATCAATATTTGGTGGACGCCCTTGTGGAATATGGTGAAGAGGAACTCTACAAACGCCACACTGGTCGAGGCACGGCTTTTTTGCGTGCTGCACGCCGTCTCCGCGATACCGATTTTGCGGTGAGTAACGGAGAAGAAGCAAAAGCGCTCGGACGCATTAGCGACAAGGTTGCGGATTACATTGACACCATTGTGCCGAATTAATTCTCTTGGGTGTGGCGTCTTGGACGCAGAAGTTGCTGTACCAGCATCAGCACCATGAAGACGCTAGTTGATTGTCAAGTATAGCTGAGAAGAACTTGGTGACTTCTACGTCATTAGCATTCGTATACCAGTTTTTTTGCAATGAATCACTGTATCTGTTGTATTGATTCGGATCTGCAATGCTTTGTTCTGGCTTGAGCTCTGTAGCGACAGCAGCTCACAAGTACATTAAAGACAGAAGATGAAATGAGCTGACCATGCAAAATAAATTGGCTTACGATATATACGGGAAAGTATCGGAGCCTCACAACAGTACCTACACCGTTGGCTCCAAAACTGTAGCGGACGACGGAACTGGATTCAGTGATCTTGTCTGCTGTGCAAGCGAGCGTTGCGCCTCTTCTTTCTCCTTGGATGAAGACCACTTCTCTTTCTTACTCACAAGCAATCCCGTTTTTTTTGCCTGGCGTGACGGGAGGTTGGCTGCTAGAAGCTACGTTAGTAGCTGTCTTTTCCTTTGTGTTCACACCACTGTTTTCCTTACCGGTCGTGCTTTGCAGCTGCATTTCCTTCACTGATGCAAGTCGAGGTTTGCGAGCACTTGCAGTCCCTTTTGTCTGAGCAGGAGGTGCCGACCATGCTCGACGGTCGGACATCTGTCCATTCTTGGGTGCAAAACTGGATTCAACAGTCAGTGGTGGCAATGGACCAGTGTACGGAGTATAGCTAAAGTGAGCACGCGATGCCTTGTCAGCAGCAGCAGCCGTTTCCGTCGGAGTCTTAAGGACCAGCGTCGATGCACATTGAGCTTTAGCAGGTGTCCGTTTCAGTTGCTGCAGCTTGAAAGATGGAGGTGTTGCCTTCATATTTTTTGTATGGTTCTCAGTAAGTGCAGCTGTACGTCTGGCAGAAGATTCCGTCGGTCGAGCAAAAGAAAATTCCCGCGTCTTGGTCGTGCTTTGATTGATCTTCTTGGTAGCTGATACCTTCATCAGCTTTACATTAGCCCCATCTTTCTTGGTCTTTTGATCCGAGATACGAGCGTCGAGAGCGTCAAATTTTCTCTTGGTACAAGATTGAGACGTCTCAGTTGACGTCTTCTGAGTTGCAGTATTTACCGGTATCTTTTCTTGTCCCTTGTGAGCAGTAACAACACCATTTTCCTCCGTTTGTTTCTCTTGAATTGTCTCCTCTTTCTCTTCCTTTGTCGTGGCTAATCCGTTCTTCTCTTTCTTCTGATTATCTGCCTCTATCTCAATATCTTGACTCTTCTTCTCTTGCTCTTGTTCTTGTTGATGAATATCTTGTGCGACGTCATCCTTTTGCATCGCTGTTGACATGATTATCTTGGCTTTGACTCACTTGATTAAAGAATGGAAGGACAGAGTTTGCCGCGGTTTTGAAAGTTCCGATTGTATGTTGCAGAAAGCCACCTTGAGTTGCTATAAAAGAACATGAGCATTTGACTTCCACAACTTGAGATATGGCTGCTTTTACACGTTTAAACGTATTTATTCTTGTCGAAAGTCTAGACTGTCCGGTTTTAATACCGATCTTATTATGCGTTTAAGAGATAACGGAGCAGCTCGTGTCGAACGAGTATGTCGATATATAATCAGAAAAAGCTATCGAAGACAAGGCCCTGAATCGTTTAAAGCTAATGCAGCAAATTAGTCAAGAATTGCGATATGTCTGAGGTGTTCCTGATGCTTTGTCTTTCATGTTAAGAAATTTATTTAAAATGGCAAAGAACTTGCAACTCGCAAACCGAAGCGACAGACAAGCCAACTTCAGACAACGACACGACCTACTTCTGTCTCAAGACCGGGCAACCACTGACGTATACTCCCGGCTCTGTGTTTGTTCGTCTGCCTAGCTCTAGTGCTTCATTGGTCGCAAGATTGAAGGTATGCGCTACTACCGCTGGCTTTCACTAGCTCCTCTTCTCTTCGAGGGATCAGCTGTCTCCTAAAGACGATCGCCATTTTGACTTCGTAGCTTCATTGTAGTCCACACGTCATTCCTTCTGCCTTCCTTCCTCACATCGTACATACTCAACTACCCAACAATTACCAACTCTGAACACCAGCCGTTCCCACTTTGCCTGATTCCAATTTCATTCGCGTAAGCAAAACTCGAAGTAGGGCAACGTTTTGTGCCGTCGCAGTCGAACAAAGCAGAAGATTTCTTTCATCTTCGATTGTTGCGATCCCCAAACAATTTGATTTCCTCAAAAATACGGGCTGCACATTTTAAAACAGTAGACTACGTCAGCTTTGTGTCCTCACAGATACACAAACTATGCAGACTTGACGTACCTTTCAGAGCATCCTTGTTCAGAGGAACGTTCTCAAACTCCATTCCAAACGGATTGGCCTCTACACTCTCGGACTGGGCCCTCCGTACTGACTCCAGGAATGGATGCGCCAGCGCTTTATCAACCTATGCAACAATAACTCAGTCATACCATACAGGGTGCAGTCATTTCAAAGTAGATTAACTTACCGAGATTCGACACTCGGGATTAAATGATAGCATTTGCTTTAGCAAATCAAGCGAATCAGCAGGGGCGCCCGGATACATCTAGAATAATACCATAGCGTAAGTCAGTGTTTGTAAGTTTTCATATAAAGCTCTTTTTCAACAGGGCACTGCATACCTCACGAAGATCTCTGGGCTCCTTCTTTGGCAGTTTTCGCAAGTATTGTTTGACTTCACCCAAGCTGCCAATGTCATCCTCGCCCGGTGTACCAATCACATTAAAGATCACGTTGAGCTGGTCCAGTTTGTCAGAGTAAGTCGTGGGCCGATCTGCGCTAAGAGGAAAACATGACCGTCCAGGAAAGAGCGGGACGCGCTCCTGGTACCGTGGGCAACTCTCAACTTGCATGCTCAACAGCTCCGCAAAAATGCACCCAATGCTCCACATATCGACAGAAAAATCGTAATCTTGAAGAAGAATGAGCTCTGGCGCACGGTACCACCGCGTGACAACGTGCTTCGTTAGTTGCCGCCGCATCTTGGGAAACTCTCCAGACGATGATGGTGTTGAAGAGGCACTGCCAGGGGACGGTGCCGACGTAGTTCCTCCATCGGACGTCGTAGGTGACTTGGATGACTTGGGCGAATACAAGTGCTTACTCAGTTCCTCCATCGACATGTCGCTCTCCATCACACGAGAGAGGCCAAAGTCGCAGATCTAATAAGGCAATGTCAAGGTTAGATACCGACATGCACAAGCGTTACCATCCTTGTTCGGAGCACGTACCATTAGGGTACAATCTTCATTTAAAAGAATGTTGGCGGGTTTCATGTCACGATGAATCACGTTGGCCGAGTGAATATACTTCAGACCGCATAGCAGCTGGTACAAAAAGACTTGGATATGGCGAATTGTCAAGTACTGTGGGCTCATGATCAGCTTGTGCAGATCAGTGTCCACAAAATCGAACACCAAATACAAATCCGTAAAAGTATCATAGTTTTCTGGTGGAATCACGTCAATCAGATTGATTACTTGCGAGTGGCTAATGAGAAACACACAAAACACATGTCAATCAGTAAAAGCCCAAACAGCAGCGCTCTTTACAAAAAGATGTAAAACCTGAGACGACGCAAGATGTAAATCTCGCGGTAAAGCCGCTTGCAGTCAATCTCCTGGTCAAAGACATTGATGATCTTCTTGATCGCCACCTTCTTTTGGCGTTCAGTATCAAAGGCCTCTGCGACCTACAGAAGGAACACAAAGAGCACGAAGATATCAGATATCTTACAATATCAACAACAAAAAGGTCTGTAAGAGACAGCTGTTCCAAGTTGTACCTGTCCATAAGACCCTTTTCCAAGCAGTCGCACGAGCGTGTAGCGATCGCCGACGTCCCAATTGGCAAAGTTACGGAGATTAAGCGGCGCCGCGCGGGGCACCGGGGACGGTGTGGGTGCGTGCGATGAGCGGCCAGTAGAGCCACCACCGGCCGCCAGGATATCGTCTGCGGGCGTCGTGGCCGACCCGGGCGTAGAGGAGAAGCCATCGGGCGTGTGACTAAAGCCGTTGCGGTTTACAAAGGCAGGCGTAGGTGGCATGTGCTCTACGGGCCCATGGGGTGTGGGGGCAGTGGCAGCGCTTAACATGGCACGCTGATGGTCGATAAACTGATCAGACGTGTGGATAGACCCCTGCGGTGTTACTACAGGTGGCGTCACGCCGTTCGATACACTGGACCTTAGGGCAGCAACAGGCCGAGACAATTTACTGCCGCGCTTGAGACCAGACGGAGGTGTAGTGGCCGTGATCTTACGCTTGCGATTACCCGCGTCCGTCACGTCATTAGTAGCAGTCTCCATGATGCGATGTACAGTAGGGACAAGAGTGATGGTCTCACGATAACGTTGTGTAAATAGTCGTTTATTTACAGGAAAGAGGGGGGGGGTAGAAGGATATAGGCGGTATTTACGTCAGGAATGATGATCAACGCTGGCTGTTCGCCGGGCTGTTTTGCGTTGTGTTTGTTTAGGGCGAGGGGCTAGTTTTGGCCTCGCTCTTCAGTATATTCTTTTTAACCAATAGAAAAGGCACGTAGCCTTATGTTTTTAAACCAATGATACGCCACTTCAAATTCAACGGAACTGACTCGGAACAAGACTGTGTGAAAGAGAAAAGACGGGAGCATGGCGCCTGTCTTGTATGGCCAACCTCACCGCAAACTGGCCTCAGGTTTCTTGTAATGGTATCTTCAGTGCAGCATCCATGGAAAGGCTGGACGAACGATCAATTTATGCTAATACTTTTTGGTTTTTTTGGGTCCTCTATCATGTTGAAGTCTGTCCGAGCGTTTTCCTTCCTGCCATCTGGTGCCACCGGGACAATTAGGTTATCCAATGTACGGCTGCAAGAGTTTTTTTCCGATAGTTTTACTACCGATCAATACACGTGCGCACAGCTTAGAAATTCGCTGCGTCCTCGGTCAGAAAGGTATCGAGATTCTCGATATCTCCATCCTGTGTCTCAATAGTGTGCTCTCGATTACGTCGAGCCTTTTCCGCTTTCACCTTCATTTCCTCCTCCTCGCGCTCGCACTTGGCTTGCACCGCTGCAAGTCGCTCTCGCTCTTTATCCTGCAGTTGTAGCATACGAGCAGTAGCAGCACCGGCGTCATGTCTATCGTACTGGCGTTGAAGACGTCGCTGTTGCTGCTCCAAATACTTGTGATCCTGTAGCAGCTGCTCAACACGTTGATGGATTTGTAACTTGAGCGTCTGTACCAGCTGAAGTTCCGACTCGAGATCGATCAGTAATTGCTCTTCCTCGTACTCCTCATTGGTCTGAAAACGGCGCTGAGGCGCTGACATTTTCTTGGTCAAGTGACAAGAGTTGATATTTCGTGTACCAGACACCACAATAGTGCGATACACGAAAGTAGTGTTTTGAACATAAAATCTCGAACTATAATGGCGCTCTCGACCTCGGCTCCTAGCGATGCCAATATGACGGCAGATCAGAAGCTTTATTGGCTTAACGCACTTCATGTGGCTGGTGATTGGTCGGTACATGACGATGGTGATGGACGATTGTTTTATTACGACTGCAGGACAGACTCGTCTCAATGGGAAGTACCGGAAAATCTCGTGTCGCTCGAGATCGAGTTTATGACGAAGCTCATGCTGCAGAACGCCGTGGCACGTTCCGGTGATTGGACAGCACATGATGCAGGCAATGGCACACTTTATTACTTTAATGCAAAGACTCGTGTCTCGGCGTGGGAACGTCCGAGTGAGTGGGGCGAGGCGGAGGCTGTTGCAGCTACAGCTGCAGCTGTAGAAGCTCGTGAAAAGGAAGTGTCTGAGGCAGAGAGGGAGAAGGAGAAGAAACAGGAGAAAGAGAAGGCGCTCCAAAAGGAGATGAAGAAACAGAGAAAGCACAAGAAACACCGGGAGAAACAGGCTGAGCTGAAGAAGGAAAAGGAGGAAATAGAGAAGAAACTTGTGCAGGAGGAGGAAGAGCCGCTGACAGCGGAGGAAGTACTGGCAGAACAGGAGCACAATGCACGGAAACAAAAGTGGATCGAGCAGTTTGTCGCCATGCTGCGTGACAAGAACATCATGCCTTTTTGCAAGTGGTCAGTAGCTCTACCACAGATCGCTGGAGATCCACGCTTTATGGGTGTACCGACGATGGACGAGAGACGCGCGATTTTTGAGCACTTCGTTGAACACCGTCGGGAAGATTTAAAGGTGGAAAAGAAGAGTAAGCTGAAGCATGCAAAGCAAGTGTTTACGCAACTTTTGCGCGAACAGTTTCAGTTGGACTCGTGGGAACCCAAGACTACGTTAAGCGTCTTTTTGTCGACACTTGAAGATACTCTTGAGCCTGAACGATACAAGCAGGTTCAAGACGATGCACTCGCCTTCTTGACCTTGTCTACTCAAGAGAAGATGTATTCAAAGGCAGTAGCAGAATATAAGTCGGAAGCGCTAAAGCGTGATGGGGAACAGCTGCGGCTTACAAAGTTTCTGGAAGATAAGCTGGTGATGGAGGATACATTGATACTGCAATGGGAGGGTGACGAGGTTCAAAAGCTGATTCATGAATTTTACAGCTCCGTATTTTCGAGTGGCATGCTACTGTCAGAGCAAAAGCAGAGGCAGGTGTTTGAAGAGTTAATAGCGCGAAAGGCTTGCGAGAAACGCGAGGGGGTAAGTGTCAAGCAATTAGAACGCTTACCGCTAAGGCGTCCTTCGCAGGACCATTCGACGGACAAGGGGAACGACTTGGGTCCACGGCGAGAGCGACATACTTCGAATTACGATCGTCATCGATCTCGTTCTCGTTCCCGTCGTAGGCGCTATCGCAGCGGCAGTCGGTCGCCTTCTCGTGAGCGTGAAAAGCGATATCGCAGCAGAAAAAGCAGTCGTCGACGCTCCCCAACATCTTCGTCGCGCTCGCGCTCCCGAGGGCGATCGTCTCGGAGATTTTCTAGACACAGTCGTCACTACTCATCTTCGCCCTCTAGGTCCCGCTCCAGGTCTTGCTCACGAACGCGCTGATGGCCAAGAGCGAGCAAAGCGACATAATTGGCAAACAAAGAATTTTCTGCGGTTGAAAGGGGTATTGAGATATTCAAAACTGATTGCAGCCCGCTGAAAAGTCTAAAAGATTTTCTTCAATGGCGCCGAGTCTGGCGACGGGGAGAAATCCACAGTGCGCAACACATATTTGGGTTCGTCGGTGATTTTCATTACCGCCTGAACGCCGTAATCTAATGGCACCGAGTAGATTCCATCTATGTTGACTTTCATATCCCATCCAAGAGATCGCATCGATACTCGGCGAGCTTTACCTCTGTAGTCAGCAATATAAGATGATCAGTTTGCACTCACGAGAGCCCATTCCATACAACATATAAGCTGCTTACCGTCTAAACCGGATATCACCAAACGTGGCATTAATAATCGGCTCGCGCACGACGTAGCCCATGTCACGCGAATCTTCGGGGAACACATTCTGCTTATTGATACTGTGACAAAGGCAACGTATCACAATGTTACCGCGTGGGCTTTCATACAATTCTGGCCAAACATGCACTTGAGAGAACTTACGATTCTGTCAGTTCTGTAACTGTCTCGTTTGTGTGTGTGTGGTTCATCGCATTGAGAACATTTGCGACTTGTTCTCGATAGATTTGGCACTAAAAGTACAAATACCAGTTAATTTGGTGAGGAGCGTACACGTTTGTTTACTCGAATATCTGACACGTACCGCGCTCGAGTACCACGCGCTGGAACCTGTCCCTGTACACATGAGAATACCACTGCTGCGGTGGGATTCTCGTTGATGCTGGTCGATGCCGATATTGTAGTGCGATGGTCGGGATGCGTCGCCTTCCGCGATGAACACTTCGTTCAGCGCGTAACGAGGCAACTCGAACCAATATCCATCCTGATTTACCATTCCAACACGGATTCGCTGGCGCAGCCGCCATTTGAAGTCTCCCTCCAACAAGCGGTCTAACGCTGTACTGAATCGATGAGTGACATTGTCAATCTTGTAGCAACACAAATTGCCTTCGCTCCGCTTCGGATCTGTGTTCAAGCCTGCTACAGGAATCGGAGTGTTTACGAAACTTGCCGTCTTTAGAAACGTCCCATCACCACCAGCGGAAAATATCATGTCAGTTCCCTCTACTGCCTCGTGGGTAAGTTGGTTTGCCGAAACGACTGTGACCTCAATGTTGCGGTCCTTAAAACTGTGTTATCAAGTGAATAGGCGAAGTCAGGCAAGTGGTCGCAAGATATTCTACAGATATATACTATACCTGTTGGTGATTTCGTCCACAGCTTCAATATGATGTTCATGGCTTGCCTTCAATCGATCATGAATAAATCCTCTCATCGACATCTGCTTCCTCAATGCTTCTCTAAGCATAAGAAGAACAACAGAACACCAAAGACACAGTACAAAACATTAGCGCCGCAAACGAAGATGCGAAGTGAAATCACAAAAGCTATGCCAATCATACCCTTCATTGCTGTACAACTCCGCTTCATGCTGGAACCGCGACATTTTTTTCACCACAACCACCTTCTTCAGGTTAAGCATCGGCTTTCCTTGAATCAAAAGTGGTGTTTGACCCGCTTCTTTCTTATCAAACGCCTTTATAGGGCTCGAAACGGAAGGCCCGCTGAAGCTTGTCGAACCAGCCGAAATGTCTGGAGCAACATCTCCCTTTGACAGCAACTTGGCGCCATTGTACGTCTTCTCAAGATACTCCTCCGAAATAATCATTCTTGGCACACGTTCGGCAGTAGCCAGAAGCAGCTCATTGTCGTACACAGGTCGACTAATCTTCGTCCATCCTTTAGGACTGAGTTTCTCGTTCCATGGACACACTGAGCGCACGTGTGTAAAGAACGGGGACATTTGTCCTGTCTGTGGGTCCTTCCTGGTATAATGCAGGACATGTCCATTATGGATCTGATCAACCATGCGTCCCGACTCTTGAAGTTCAATAAATGTCTCTTGTGACATTCTCTCGAGCCGTGTTCGCATGGCCCAGATCACTTCTCCATGAGCCACGACAATAGCATGTTTGTCATGACATTCCTGGTTTAAAATCCCCAGTAAACGATCTGCACGTTGTGCTACAGCTGCCAAGGATTCGCCTCCAGGAGGGGCGTAGTAGAATCGATTGAGATCCCGTCGTTTGAGTTCGTCCTGCATCTTGATAAAACGTTCTTGCTCACTCATGAGATCCATCGCGCCCCAATCACGTTCACGAATTAACATTTCTGCATACCAACGAGCATCTGGCAATCCCATACGACCGGCCGTTTCCATTGCGCGTAGATATTCCGACACGAGATAGCGGTCAAAGTGTGCCAAGTTATTACGTTTGAGCCAATCACCTGCAGCTGCTGCCTGTCGTCTACCACGATCCGTAAGTCGCCAGTTAGAGCTATGACGGTGTTTAAACTCGCCAGAAAAAAGACTGTGGTCTCCAGCCAGCGAGCGTTGGCGAGCAATGTTACCCTCGCTCTCGCCATGACGGATCAATACCAAGTCACTAAGACGAGGGAGACGATGGTCATTGATGCTACTCATACTACTGTTTTTTCTTGTGCTCTTACAGGCATCGAGTGCTGTCTGGAACAAGGGCAAGCGGCGTGCGCGTGTCGTCGTCGTCGTCAACATGACGCTTGGGGTGTTGCTGGTTGAGCAATGCTGGCTGAGATATAATGGGGACGTGATCGGTGTGAACCACATCGATCTATTCCACCAATCAACGTAGTTTGTGTAGTTGAAGTGGTCTTGTCGCAGAGTAGACGGTACATCGCAGCTGTCTCCGTTAGAAATATGTAGGTACAATACCAAGAAACGGATACGAAGAGTCGTGACCTCTCTTTTAGAAAAAGCGCCTGAAGTTGACAGCAGCACGTGATGTTAGAAAGACATTAACTTTGTTTTCTACTTTGTGTGTTTTACAAAATAAATTTAGTTTTGCTGCTGGATTTCAAGAAGGCTTATGATACCGTGGACCGGGACTTTCTGTACGCGACTCTACGTCAGTTCAGCTTTGACGAGCGATTCATCGACCTCATTCGACGTATTCACACCGGCACGACAGCCAGCTTCGTCGTAAATGGTTGTTATTCCACACCTCTACAGGTTCGGTCAGGGATTCGGCAAGGATGCCCGTTAGCACCTCTTCTATTTTTGCTAGCAGTTGAGGTTCTCGGCCTAGCACTTCTGCAAGACCCCAACCTTAAAGGGCTACAAGTGCCCGGCCAGCCCGGGCAGACCCACCTTTACTCAGCATTTGTGGATGACACCACCCTATTTCTCGAGACAGCGGAGCAAATACCCCACGCGTTACATGTTGTGCGAGCATTTGGCGCTCTTGCTGGTCTACAGGTTCAACCTGCAAAGAGTCAGCTGATATTTCTGAATAGATCTGTCATGCTGGAGAGGTACGAGGGAATGACGGTCGTCCCCGCGGGCGCAACAACTCGATACTTGGGCTATGAGGTTGGAACGGGGGAGTTAGTGAACAAGAACTGGGCCCAGCGGATCCGGAAAATTCAAAGGAGGCTTCTCACAGTGACACGAGTAGCAACGAGCGTGGAGAATCGTGTGTTAATCCTCAACTCCATCGTGCTTCCCTCATTATTATTTACCGCGATAGTTGTTGAATTACCTCGGTGGGCGGAAAAAGAACTGCACAATCTATACAAGCAATTCCTGTGGGCGCACGCGACGACGACAGAAAGCAGTCGCCACAAGGTTAATCCTGGACTACTTGTGACGCCAAAACAAGCGGGAGGCATCGGACTAGCGGCTGTTTCGGTAGCGGTTAAAACTCAACGCACAAAGCACGCGTTTGCTTGGCTTACTCAGAAGCCGGATAAATACTATACTGCATGGCGAATGTGGACTTTCCGGAACAATCAAGGACCGGCCGCGACAATAGTGACTCCGGCTCAGGCTAAACTACGGGCATCGTTTAACCGGGAAGGTTCGCCAGGCCATGAGCTGAGGCAGGAGCTGGGAGAACGGCTCTCCCCAACAACAGATCAACAGGACCAGGTGACCGCGTGGAGGCACGCCCACTCCTCGGCCTTACTTGACCGAGCCATTAGCTGGTGGGAGGGGGACGAATTGGTACTGTCGTTCATTGACCCTTTCCCCATACGGCTGCTGGGGTATGATGATATGCCGGAGGAAATTCAGCGATTCTGGGCCACTTTTAACTGGAGTGCGAACCCATGGATTCGGGACCAGGGAGGCAACATGCTGGCCAGGACTACTTATAACAGGATCGAGGACTGCACCCTCGAACAACTACACATCCGGCGTACGGGGCCAGCGGAATTCGTTTTACGAATACCAATCCCTCAGGACCAACCCGGCCCTCATTCCAACGCAAAACTCCGTCGGTGGGCAACAGCCATCTTGCTTTCATCCCCGGACTTACCTATCGGGTCAGAGTTGCACGCGGCACCGCCACTACGCCTACGACAGGCACCACCATGTCTCCGCAGTTTTCGCTGGAAGCTTCTCGGAGCAGGCCTTATCGAAGGTCACTCGACGGATATCAAGCACGGCCAAACTCGGCCTGTCACTCTGCACCAAGCTGATGATGGGTTACACTGGTTTTGTCACGGCTTCCTGCCGGAGCTCACTGTCGGTTCGCCATCGGAACGCCAGGCGGTCTGTCGTGAGATTAGAACTTGGGGTCTGGTATTCGAAGCGCACCCGCAGCTGCATCGGTTTCCTTGGTCTGTGCCGACCACAACGTCTAATCACTTCGTTACAAAGGCCTTAGGCAAGCAAGCTTTCCGGTTCCATAAAAAGGTTCTCGCTCGCCAACTTTCCGTTCTCATTGATCGACTGTCCAAATCTGCAACGACGGATGAATGGCAATGCGCAGCGCTCCGGCAAACGCCGAGGCAAGTGTGGGATCATAGTAATGGACTCACACCGTATCAAGTCTGGACAGGGTACAGGGTGGCGACCAGACAATTAAATCTGTATCACGCTACGAGGTACGAAAATAATAGTTGCAGAAAGGCACCGGCCTGCAGCGGCAGTGAGGAGACCATTGGTCATCTGTTTTGGGACTGTGCCTGCGCTGCAGCGCTATGGGGCAAACTTATTGGTCACTGGACTGGGCAACAAGTTACCCGCCAAGCGACCAAACACTTTGTGGTGGCCTGTGCAAGCCGAAGGGTTCACAGCATACCCGAGCACCGTATGCAAAGTCTAGCGGACCGATTTCAGGATGACACGGATGCAGCCGAACGTGTCTGGACGCGAATTTGGCACGTCTTGGCAACGATATGTCACACACGGCTATGGGTCGACAGAAATGCCGCTGTCTACAAGGCAGTCCCGCTCCACCTTCCCAGCAGCATAGCCAGTTTTTGGGCTTCGTGCCTTTGTCAGCTCCGAGCGATCGCGAAGAGAGAGCATCAAAAAGTTGCGTCCGCCACAACGGGTGCTTTGCTATATGCATGCATCGAGTTGCTCGAGCGCGAACCTAGAGGGCCACCGCTTTCAACGGTGACCAGCCATGATTTACAGTCGGGCCAACCGGCGTTGACATCCTGGCTCAGGACTTTCCAGAGATCTTGCACATAGTTAACACCATGTAAATAGACGATCTGAACAACCACCAAAATAAATTTAGTTGGTACTTTACTTAAAGCGCCAGAGCATGCGCACGAATCATATACTTTTGTAACGTCAAATTTCTTAGTTTTCATCAGTTAAATAATCTATAACTACAGCTAACAATATACTAGAAAGTCAATACCTCACAGCTGTGTAGAAAATCTAGTAGTAAAGAGTATCGAAACTGCTTCATTTTCGACGTGTGAAGTACAAGCCTTACTTTATTCAATGGAAAGTGGGATTTGAGGACAGTGTTTGTGCATTTCGCTCTGGGTGTGGGCGACCAGAAAGCAGTCGAAAGTTTGTGCAGAGGATATCAACAAGTAGCAGCGAGCTCAGTGCAATCTTGGCTATTATCTACGGATCTACGCCACCACTTCGTTATAAAAGTATAGTAGCGTCGACGGCCACAGAAGGAAAATACTGCCTGTTGCCGCTGTGGACGTCGATGTCAATTCATTTCAGAAAGCGGCAGCAGTGTATCAGGGTCATCCTGCAGTCTATGGGGAGCTCTAATGGAGAACTGCTCGGGTATACATGATCCAAGAGACTTATATGACGATTCAGCACGTCTGACACGGGACATTATCGCGCATTTGTACTTCTCAAGCTTCAATGTCATTTAGATTATAATATTGCGCAGTGGTATTGTGTAGACCCAAGAAGTTATGCCGTGCACGTTTTCCCTCGTCACATAGAAACAAAGCTTACAAGACCTATCGCCGCCGAGTCATTAGTCAATCGTATCCTTAGTCAGCAAATTTGACAGAATGGAAGACAGCTGCCTTTTCAGCTAACCAGAATTCGGAGCATGTGCTTTGCCAATGTCTTCGTCTTCGTCACTGCTCGTGTCATTGTCTCCTTCATTATCTTCGATTTCGTCCTCGTCCAAATCCTGCAGTAATTCAATCATATCCTGGTCAGGACTGCCAGGCAAAACGCTCTTGCCATGATTGTCCATAACAACATTTCCCTTTTCCTCTGCGTCGTCAGAAACCTCACGAACAATCACGTCCCGTGAGCTCTCGGTCTTCTTGGAAACTTTAATCGCGGCAGTCTCTTGTAAACTCGATTCCTCTCTCTTAGCTTGTTGCTTCAACCGAGTTACGGTGGCTGTTCTAGATGAATGGTACTGCACGGATTCTCCATCCGTGCCCTGGGTGAGCTTGACATCTTTCTTTTCGTGAATTGTCGCTCTTTTTTGGTCAGATTGACGGCGATGCAAGCGCTTGGGTTCTTCGTTTCCTAGATGCTGTCTCCACTCATCCTGGATCCCAAACTTTTGCTGGAGTTCATCTTGAGCATCTTTTAAGTTTGGCTACAAGGACGAAACGATGACAGTCAGAATATCACAACTTACTGCAACACGACAGGAAGATCATATAATACCTTTCCATCCATTAACGAGTGAATGATACTTTCCACAGCCTCAGCCCGTGCTTCCAAAGGATTCTTCCGTTAACAAATGCAGCAAGAGTGAGTTGAGCACCGAGTCAGATGAACATTTACTTTACAAACCTTGGGAAGCTCAATATGTGCGGCCTCGCACTTGGCGATAAGCTCAGAGAGCGTACGTTGTGCCTGTCGGAGATTCATCTTTTGAGTTCTTGGGTCGGTTGGAGAACGACTGGGACGTGGTCAACCGTCTTCAATGTCATCACTTAACTGCCGTCTTTGTTGCACCAAATTGCCAACTGTCAGCAAAAGCTGTTGATATTATTTCTGCATCAACATGAAAGCGGCTACTTTTTCTCGATGCTCTGAAATGGTCGGTCCTACGTAGCCGCCTCGTGTACTTCGAAACACGGTCTCGCGTCGCATCGCTCTCATCTTATGAAACTGCCTCTTCGTCCTTGTCATACTCGCTTAAAGCAGCTGTGAGTCCTTCGTTTAGAAGCTGGTCGATCTTCGTAGCAACAGCTGGACCTACATTATCTAGCTGCTTCGCTTGAGCACCTGACGTGATCACCATGTCAGTGGAGCAGATCGCCTTCGCCGCACGCATCCGCGAGATCCCTCGTTGCGAGTGTCCATGGTGCATCTCGTAATCACCCACTTGCACGAGCTTGTCCACAAGCGCTTGATTTTCATCTCGTGAGGCAGGTGTGGCCTCCACTTCTTCTTGAATGCGGCCCTTTCTCGCGTCTCTCTTCTTCTTCTTCTTCTTCTTACTCGCCACCGAACTCTCTGCAATGTTAGGCCCAGATTGGCCACTTAAACTTGCATTACGGCTGCTTCCCTCAGTGTTCACGTTGCGCCGTTTACTCTCCGTCATGTCTTGTATAAGCATCCGCTTCTGGCGTCGCATCACACGAGACAAAGGCGCCACTGGAGCTACCTCCTCATCTCTCGCACTATCACCAAATTTGCGTTTTTTTAGCTGTTCCAGAGCTTTTGGCATCTTCACATAACCCAAAGCGTCGTGCTGTGTGTTCCTTAACACTACAATAACCTCCCGCAGTGCTTCCCATGAGTTCTGTCGAATATCAGTGGTTAGAAATACTTTTGTCATTGCAAAAAGCGATGAAAGAATATGTAGACGACTCGTCTGACCTCTGGTAACGGAACATTCTTCTTGTCACACTCCAGTAGTAGCTCTGATATCTCTGCATCCGCCGTCATCATCGTCACTGGCAGGAAAAATCTCAAATGAACCGACAGATAGGACTTCAAGTTGCAATTGTGTATAGTACACCAAACGTATCTCACTTATAAAAATATTAAAAAGGTACTATCCAGCTACGATATCATCCTAGTAGAATATTCCCTTTTTAATATTTCGAGAAAATATCTATCCTAGATAGATTTTTCTATCCATTTTTAAACGTTTAAATCTCTCGAGGTGCTTTTTCTAACGCGCCATTTCTCAATTCTCCTTGCTTTGTCCTCGTCTAACTATGCAGGATGATAGGTCCTTTATGATGTCCCCCATGGACGCTGCTGGCGAAGAACGGCTACGTCAGCTTCGTGCACATATCCATAAGACTTTTGGACCAGATGGACGTGGTCGTCGCGCTAAACGAACGCTGGAAATGCCTACCGAGGCCCCCAAACCCGCCAAGACTCCGCGTACGAAGCTCCGACAGCGTATTGAACAGGCTTCGCAGCTAAGTGCCGACCAGATTTTCTGTCAGCAGTTTGGTAGCCGTGAGGAATTAATGAAGACGGAGTTTGACCTCGCACGACCAGCAGGACATCCCGTCTCGAAGGTCTATAGACGCTATGCAGCCGGCGCCGCACCTTCCGCCGCAGTCTCAAGTCTGTCGATAAAGACGGCAGGAGGACCAACCACTCATTACTTCTCTTCGTCTTCAACTTCAACCTTTACCAGCTCGCTGCCTGCACCATCTACTGCAAAACTGAGCCATTTGACACGTCACTTGACACGCTCGACACGGATCAAATCGCCTCGTAAAGCAGCCATCAAGCGTGGACGAGCTGGAGAGAGCAGTGCCGAGAAGACACTTGTGCTGAGAAAGCCTCGACTTGGTGGCGTAAGTGGGCAAAAACTCGACTACACAAGTACAACAGGCTCTCACTTTGGAGCACAGACAGCAGTACCTATGTCGTTCGACGCTCGGAAGCCGCTTGTCACTAGCGGCGACGACGTGCCGAATGTGTCAACCAGCTTCCTCTCGAGGACGTCACCAAGCAAGTTTCAATTCCCGTCGAACGCTACGCGGCTGTTCTCCCAGCGTCACGCACCATTGCGGTAATTTAATAACGCTAATTGGCTGCCTGACAGCGCAGGCGAGACATGACATGCAATGGAAGACAGAAAGAAAGAATGAAAGATGTAGTAGCCAGTTTAGACCAGCAAGACGAGAGAGATGGACAGTGTTTGTAGCTTAAGAAAAGTTTCATGTCGAACTACAAGCGCGTTCACGAAATTCTTTCTCCTGTACGTCATACATTGTGTGCTGGTCTCTCATTGCATCAGCTTTACTTCCGGCTGAATTCTAATAGATCATGGACTCCATGCGATTCAGGCGCTCGTTAGTTCCTGTCGGTAGACGGAATTTAATCATGCCCGCAAAAGTGACCAGGAGTTCGGCCTTTTCGCGCAGAGCAGCAACGCCAGTACGCCGGACTTCACCAGACAATTGAGTCTTTAGGCGGTCCGCATCCCGCACGAGGCACTCCATGTATCCGATCAACAGAATGTGAAAATTCCGTCGCACAGTTTCGTCAAAGGCGAGGAAGCGGTCAACGCAAAGACTAAGGTTATTCGAGTTCTGCGTCGGCACAGCCTCCAGCTCCACAACAAACGCGATAGCGTCTGCATACTGCTGCTTTTCAAAGATCTCGAGGAAAATACTGATGTTCAGAAGGGTCTGGAAAGCAATGGCAGCCTGACGCGCATGTCGGCTTGCAACTGTCTGGACCCAGGGGAAGCGCATCCACTTTTCGGCAAATTCCTTCGCCTCACGAAACCATTCCTCACGCTCTGGCCGTGTGGCCGATAAAGTCGAGCTGAGCTGCGAATTGAGCAGCACAATAACGCCTTCGATATCACCGGCACTTTTTAAAAGCTCAAACGCGTCGTGCGGTCGACCACGAGCTTCTGCTTTGCGTGCAGCGGTGAGAATGAGTTCTTTCACTTCATCTTCGGGCTCATCCCTAAGAAGGTGGTCGTACAGGCCACGAGTTCGCGAGCCGTTTGTGTTGTTTGTGAATCCAGCCAACACATCAAACTTGCGCGTGTCAAGCAGCAACTCCGCGAGAAGCTCTTTCTTCGCTGTCAAATCTGAAATACAGACCACGTAGTCTGCCGCTTCTGCGGCGTTGGCACGCTGGAAACCATGGATGTACTGGCGAACAAGACGCACCAGGTCGACTGTTGTCTCATCCTCTTCTCCCATGGAAAATGACGTGCACTCCAACAGTCCGTAGTGGTTTAGTGTGATCGCAAAATGCACAGCTTCCAGCAGAAAACCCTTTGACGCCAGATATTTAATTGCCTTTTCGAAATCCTGTGTGATAAGCAGGATCTCAAAGTACAGGAAGGCTGAAACGTTACTGCCACCAGGCTGTGCGCCACCTTCAAAGTGTGTCGGACCAAATCTCTGGATACTCTGAGATAACGTTGTGATCGTGTAAGTACTGTCCGTCGTCGATCTAGTAGACGCCACGCGCTGAATAAAGCAAAGACGCTGCCACAGGTAGTCCTCAACGGTTGTCATGATGCGCTGCTCGTTGGCGTTAACGTTGCCAAAGCACAACAAGTTCACAACGCAGCGCTCGTACGGATTCACGACCGATACTGCGTCGATTGAAGAGCTCACCAAGCGGTGGTAGCGGTCCACCAAGCGCTCAAACTCAGCTGGAAATTGCTTTGGAAAAGCATTTAGCGGGTTAGCGCTGCGGTCTGCATACAATGTCTTCTGTTGTGCACGGTATCGCAATGCACAGAGAATATCTGCGTCAATAGGAGAGTCATCACCACTTAACACACTCTTTGCAAAATTGACAGCCTCCTGATCGCCACCACAACGGAGACAGTAGTAGACAATTGCCCAAGTGTTATTCACGTCTATGCTACTACCACTGCCGTTGGCAGCATAACGCGAGCTATGCAGATGCTTCACGAACGCACGTATAGTGGAGACAAGGTCAGGAATCCCGCCAGTGGCAAGATTGTTCTTTTGCACAGTTTCCTGCACAAAATCACGAAACTGATTCTCAAGGAATACACGCGCGCCGAAAGCAAAGCGGTGCCGAAGAAGAGCGCGCTGAGTCTCGTCTTTTCCTTCTCTCACAGCTGTAAATTCACGTTCTCCCAGCTTGGGCGCACTTGACTTAGTAGCATCTCCGCCGACCAGTATGTCATTCACCAGTTGCCAGCACTTAAACACAGCTCCCCACTTTGATCCAATGACCGACACTGACACATTGTCCGCACAGACACGTTGGAAGTGACGTGCAAGCTCAAATTGACTGCGAGTGTTTGGGACACGACTACGGTTGAGTTCCTTAATGACCGAGTAGTACTGCTTCATCTCCTCCGTCATGGCATTCTCCACCTGTAACTGTGACATTTGCAGTGACGCTCCAACTCCAGAGCTCGTTGAGTCCTGGAAACGTGGTTGGCTCGAAAAAGATGCGCCACCAAGGCCCAAGCCCGTCACTGGCTCTAAAGCCTGGCGCTTCTCCTGTGCTGCAGAAGAAAAGATGCTGCCAGTAGCTTCATCCACGACACGAGGATAGTTCCGGATCCCGAGCTGTTTAGCACCTCCTAAATCTTCAAGCAGACGCTGCTTGGCATCCTCAAAATCATCAATCATTGCACGATTCATCCGATCGTGTGTAGCTTCCACCGTGCGACGATTAACGTCCTCAATAGCCGTGAGTACGATCATCTCGTGGTGATGAGCCAAATATCCCTCCAAATCCGTCTCCCCGAGCGGCGTCTCCGACTCAAATTCATGTGCAATTTCAAATTGTTGCAGCTCTTTGCTGAGCTTTTCCGCGTCAATTCCTTTCGATGCCAATAGAAAATTAGCTTTGTCAACGGCTGGACGCTTGCGACTTCCATTTGGGGCTTGATCATTGAGCCAACGGGATGCGGTCTCCAACTCTTCCAAGCGTTTTTCGAGACGAGGGATACCTAGATCACCTACGGATGTTGTTAGTTGAAGAGAACTCTGATATAGCGATTGAAAGTCCACGTCAGTTGAGGTCATTGTGAATGGGGGGTGAGCACAATAAGCAGTGGAATGCGATATAAGGGACGAGGGGGGATTAAGTTGCTGGTTATAGAGTACTGTATTCAAATAAAGTAATTTTTTACGGCAGGAACACTATTAACATCTCTATCGGTTACTAGGACGCAATATATGAATATTCTATGATGGGGTCAAACAAAGTCTTTGGGAGTATGGGATTCGATTCATTTATGCAGCGGTGAAAGTCTTGTAACTGTCATCGTAAAGTGGATCCCATCAAAGTTGCTACGCTAATCAAGAATTGAAGATGAAAGAGTTGTAATGGATGTGACGGCCATCCCTTTAGCCCGTGAAGATCACCGCAACGACCATAGACGTTCCTTGCTTCATGCTTGCAAGAACGAAAGCGCGGCTGACCATGGAAAGATACTCTGGCTATCGTTATTGCTTCTGCGATCACGCACTCCAAGTCCGACGGGTCGCGCAAGCGGTCATTAAAGGGAGGATACTACGACTGACGGCATCTTCGTGCCACACGTCAATGCTTCGGCAATCGCACAAGTCAGCTCGGAAAACCCGCGCATGCGGTCATTTTGGGCCACACCCCACGACACATTGCGGCGAATGCTCACTTCAAATTAACGGGTAATTCAACGTCCAGGACTGTTTTGCTTTGTCTTCAATCAAGAGCTTAAATCCATGGATCAACGAGACAACAAGTCGTCAATTTGTATTGCATTCAACGTGTGAACTCGAACATTTGAACAGACTTTGAACAGGTACGATAAGAAACTTGAACTAACTTGATTGTCGATGCCTTGCAGTCAATTTGTTACGCGCTACAAGCCACTACTTCGATATCCTAGTCGCCACATCGTTTGTAACAGTAGCCCATCGCAAGGCCGGACCAAAACACGACCATCCGACTGAACAATTATCAGAAATGGAAAATGCCCATTACCAACCACTTCTGTCCTCTTCGACCAATATAGAAACTCCACATCTTTTTCCTCTATACAGTACTATAACGTGGTTAAAGTAACTTTAAACAACACTGCAGCCAAGCGTCTATTTTCACTGGCTGGATACAGGGCACATTCAGCACACCACATCTTGTCTCTAAACAACTATAGACAGAACCCTACCCCTTCCCTTAAAAAAAAAGAGTGATGGTCACAAAATTTCGTCGATCGGCAAGCAGGAAAAAACAGGGCACGCGGTGGTCGACGCAGACTAAAGAAGCAGTTTGAAGACACGGAGCCTTCTCGTGGAGCAAAACCGCGTCCATAGCAGGAAGTGGCGCTGCTACTTTTTTCTGACGTATCAAGAGGCTAAGAGTATCCTCGCTATTCTCAGCGTTTAAGCGTGAATCTGTCTTGTAAGACCCATCCTCCCTTGTGTCATATCGATCTCTCTTACGAGTAATATTTGGTGTGTGGCACTTCATCGTTTATTGACCTTCACTCCTGCTCTCTGAGCACTTTATAATGACGTGGATCTGTACGGCGTGTGAGTTTGCAGCCAATGAGGATGGCCAAGAGATTTGTGTGGCTTGTGGCTCGGAGAAACCCGAGGAAGAAGAACAACAGGAAAATGTGACAGAGGAAGCAGCAGTTGGTGAAGACGACGCGACCCCTGAGGTTGTGGTGATTGAGCTGCCTGCTAAGGAAAAGCTCGGTGTAAAGCTCATGCCACCAAAGGACGGTGTGATTAATCATGGCTTAGCTATTGATAACATTAATAATCCACTGCTCGAGAACAAAGTGCAGGCAGGGGATCTGATAGTAGCTATTGGTGGCAAGAATGTAGACGGCATGGGGTTTTCGGATGCTATTGATTTGATCCGCAAATTGCCAAGACCTTTGGCCATTTCATTTGAAATTGATGAAGTTCGACGTCAAGAAGTTGTACGAGAAAAGTTCCAACTTAATAAGGACAATGATCTTGATACGCAGCTGACAACGTATGCTGTCGTGTTTGATAATGGTCCAATGGGATTGAATTTGGAAGAAGCAGTGCGATATGGTATTGATGGTGCGGTAGTACGCGCGTTGAAAGGACAAGCCAAGACGAGTGGAATGATTACAGTCGGTGATATCGTGTACAAGGTGAACGAGACGGATGTCTTGTGTATGCCGTATCTTGAGGTCATGAATGTTCTTCGTCACGCAACTGCCCCGAAGACTTTGCAGTTTGTACCTAAGGACAAACTGGCTGATGTGCAGCGTGTAAATTCTCGCCATTCTGAATCGTTCCGTCTTCGTGAGTCTACGTCGCACGTGAAGCAAAAACTCATGAACAATCCACGCATCGTGAAAGATGATGGGAATGACGGCGATGACAATCAATCGATTGCACAATTGATTCTGGATAATCAAGCAGCGACGATCAAGAAGGGGCGTATGTACAAACAGGGACGTGTGATGCGCAACTGGAAGTCGCGATACTTTGTGTTAAGTGTGTCGAAAGTAGAGTATTTCAAGAGCCCGAGCTCTACAACATCGCGCGGTGAAATGAGCTTTTTGAACCACCGTTGCACAATTCGCTCGCTACCGGGCACAGGCGACGTGGTGTGCCGATCTCCAAACGTGGCAGCAGAGTTTTTGCTGGAGCTTCGTGTAGATGACCGTCGTATGGTGATGGCCTGTACATCGGAATCAGACAAGAAGGGCTGGATGGATGCAGTCAAACTAGCTATTGATGCCTCCAAGACTGTCAACCGCACACAAAGTCCTGGGGAATCACTGCGGGAGGCAAAGGCGTTGCGAACACAGCGCACCGAGAGTCTTTCAATGGATGGGACATTTTTGGAGCGCAACGCTGGAGGACGTCTATCACAGTTTAATTACGAGGCTTTTTCAACACCTGTCGTCCACGTTGGTGTTCTATCTGCGACAAATTTGACAAAGTCTGGCAGTTCAGTGAACGCACTTTGTGAAGTCACAGTGGGCGCCGAGACTTTTAAAACCTCAGTGGTGAAGAACCAGCGTTCACCTGTGTGGAAACAAGATAACTCGGCTTCATTCGAGGCCCCCAGTGAGGAAACGGTGGTGGAGATCCGTATTTTTGACGAACACTTATTTCGCGCGACTGAGCTTATTGCGACGCTTTCGATTCCTTTGAAGTCACTGCCAAATATGCAAAAGTCAACGAAAAAGTACCCTCTTGCACTCGGAAGCCGTTCTGCAGGAGCTGTGCTGACACTGTCGTTGGAATACGTAAACAAACAAAAGGCTTTTGAGGAGGACCAGGAGCGTGGTCGCCTTGGTGATGACCTGAACAGCAACGGCATGATGAACGAACGCGATGAAATGGTTAAGATTAAGGCCGAGGCTCAGATGGCAGCCGATGAAGCCACACATCATGCTGCTCGTGCACAGGAAGAGGCACACATGTTGCTTGAGCAATCTCGACAGAAGGCAGAAGCAGCTATGGCTGCAGCTCGCGAAGAACAACGTGAAGGCAAGGCGGCTGTGGAGAAGGCGATGGCCGAAGCAGCCCGTTCAAAAGAAGAAGCAGAAAAGCAGCTTGCAGAAGCGAGACGGGCACAGGAAGAGGCTCAAAAGCTGATTGAGGCAAACCGTCGTATTCAAGAGTCTGATGTTCAGGGGCCATCGATTTATGCTGCGTACCGGCGTATGATTCAGGATGGGGCTTCCAACGACGATGTGAAGAAGAAAATGCAAGAGGATGGTGTTGAGGAGATGGGCATCCAGGCGTTCTTTGACGGAATTAACGCGTACGACGAGAAAATTCGTGCTCTGCAGGCAGAAGTTGAAAAACTTAAACGAAGCCGTTCCGTGCGGCATAAAGAGGAGCCAAGAGCACAGGACATGCTGGCCAACCTGGATATCTCAAGCGACCAAGTCAAGTTGCTTCGCCGTCTACTAAAACTCGAAAAACAGTTGCAACAGGCTGGTATTGCTGTGGCTGCAGACATTCCGTACGAAGAAGCTATGGCTAAGGTGCAAGAAATTTCTAAACGCATGCAAGAAATTGGTTCTGCTGATGTGACGCACCCGGACCCCAAGATCCAGAAGCAGCTTCGCGAAGAATACTACCGCTTGGAGCAGGATATGGAGAAGTACAACACTGCCCTTATGCTCACCGACGAGTACGCAGCAGAGGAAGCACGAAAGGAGCGCGAATGGGAGGAGGAGAATTACGAAGAAAACGTAAAGGCACTGAAGGCTATCCGCCGGATGATGCCGGTTGACGTGAAAAAGATGTCAGAAGCTGATCTGCAGACAATAAAGTCGCCAAACGGCAAGACACTTCCTCGTGATGTTGCTCGTAAGTTTAAGCGAACAAACGTCCTGGAATTGCTTCGTATGGACCCCGCAGATATTGCAAAGAACCACCCCTCGCTTTTGGAGAATCTTCGTGTAACGGGTCTCTCCGTGACAGAACGAAGGGCAATGCACATGCACTTGCGTGATGTAGCAGTGACTTGGAAGGCTCAACAAGGCGAAGAAATGACAAAGAAAAAGTACGAGTGGTTTAAGACTCTCAAGGAGACATTCAAGACTGTAGTGAACTCGTACAACAAACACGTGAAACAGTACGGACCGGAGGATAACCACCCGTATGCTACACGTGACGACCCGGACATCGGTTGTCCAATGATTGGTAAACAGTGTCCCATAAAGGCTAACAAAATTCCTTCATACGACCAAGACCTCGGGTATCCTGACGGGGATGTTTACATGGAGTCGTCGGTGCAGAAGGGTAACCCCGATGATGCTGGTGCACGAGCATTGGCAGAAGCACAAGAAATGGCTCGAGCGAAGCTTGCAAACTCTCGTGCAGACGCGTTGAAGAAGCACTACCGCAACGTCCGACTGGTTGCTGAAGCAAACGGCGCGTGTGAATTGATTGATACATCGATGGATCAAATTGAGAACCGACAGTTGCAATGGTTCCAGGCAAGACTTAAACGTCGCCTTGACCGAACGGAGACTGCTGCAACAATTAAGGTAGAGTTGGCAGAGTTTGGTGAGTTGGTGAACGAGACTCGTTTGGTAAGCTTGAAATTCGCTGAGCGATCAGGAATGAATCTGTCCGGCAAGCGGAACACAGCGTTGGACTCGAAGGATACGCGCTCGTCTATCGAATGTAACCTGATCCTGCTCTACTGCGATGCATTGACAGACTGCTTTGATGGTATTATCGAGCGCATGGATGAGGTGAAGGCAAGTGATAAGCGCTTGCGTTCGGCTATTCCTGTTATTCGAGGCATTATGAAGGACCTGGCCGATAAGAGCCGCGGCACCCTGGATTCGCTGAAGGACAAGGGCCCTCCGATGACCCGCCGTGTGAAAACTAGAACCGAAATCATGAAGGAAGCGAAGGAAAAGAACAAAAATGCTGCAGCACCAGCCGAGAGTGAAGCGGCAGTGGAAGCCCCTGGCCCTAGTCGAGCGCATCCGATGATGGCTGCACGAGGCAGAGGACGTAGTGGCCGCGGTGGTGGTCGCGATAATATGTTTGCAGCGATTAAAGGACGTGGTGGTGGCGACGATGCTGGACCCCCAGTCGATTTTCTGGCATCAATTCGCGGTCGTGGTTCGGGCAAGCCGGGCGGCCCAGGACGTGGTGATCTATTTTCTGCAATCAAGGCACGTAATGGTGATGACGGTGGTCGTGGTGGCCGCGGTGGTGATCTGATGTCTGCTATTCGTGGTCGAGGCCCACCAGGTGGACCAGGTGGTGGACGAGGTGACTTTTTGTCTGCTATTGCCATGCGGAAGAAGGAGTAAGCCACAAGTCGTCACTTGTGATAGAAAGGAATGACGAGAAAAGATGTTGGTCTTGGTGGTGGCTAGTAAGAAGAGAAGCGTCAAACAAGACGAGAAGAATACAGAAGGAGACGATAAACTCGGCACATGAGAGTAAGATTGAGTTGAGCTACAGCCTTCATCTTTTCTAGCTAGTCATTGCGAAATGTGGGCTCGGATTTGCTCATGACTGCACCGACGGCCTGCACCAAGTCGTCACTGTAGAGTACGGCAGCATTGTGGTATCGCACCTGCTGAAGCGAGTCCGTTGTCGAGTGGTCCCTTTGGTAGTGAATCGTTTGTTTTATGCCGCGTATCGTAAGAGGACTCTTCTTGGCAATAGCCTTGGCCACATCTCCCACGTGACCCATTAACGTCTCGTGATCAGGCAGGGCTTTCAAAACAAGTCCAAGCTTTTCCGCTTCTAGTCCGCCAACGTCACGTCCTGTAAAAGCTAATTCCTTTGTCTGACGCTCACCTATGAGCTTAGGCAGACGTTGTAATGTACCGAGATCAGCAATGATTGCTAGATCCACCTCCTTGATGGAGAAAATAGCACTCACATCCGAGTAGCACAAGTCACACGCCGTGATAAAGTCGACACCAGCTCCAATGCAAGGACCATGCACTGCTGCAATAACGGGCACTCGACACTTTTCCAGCGCCGAAATGACGTTCTGAAACTTGCCAATGACATGCATCAGGGACTCGCGTTTGCGTCCTTCACACGATTCTTCCATTGCAATGTTTTGCATCTGGACAAACACATCCAGGTCCATGCCACTGGTAAAGCCACGGCCTTTACCGGATACAATAACAGTCTTAATACGTGGATTTGATTCCACCATTTCAAAGGTTTGAGCCAAGTCGATCCACATTTGCATGTTCATGGCGTTCAAAACCTTTGGACGATTCAGTTTCAAGTGCAGGATTCCAGGCGCCGTGAATCCTAACGATAAAGTGTTAAATTTAGTGCAAGTCACGTCAAGTAACTGCGGTGGCTCCTTCATCCAAGCTGTAAGATGGTTGTAGTTGCTATTGGATGCATAAGAGCGGTGCAATGCAGCACACGGGCGAAGAAAGACACGTCGAGAGAACATCAAGTTCGAAAGTATCACGTGAGACCAAAGCGTATGATTGCGATGTGACGCAAATGTGATGTATAGTGCACCACAGCGACAGAATGTGATTAGCTAAGCATTAAGGAACTTGCTAGTCTTGTATCACGTTCTTGAGCAGTTCCGAGGACTTTTCATAGCCGTAAAATGTGACAGCGTTGCAGGGAAATGCTCGCACACAAGCAGTACCTAGACCGCTACAAAAGATGCGCCAGCCACCGAGTCGATAGAGTTGCCGCGCCTGGTACGCAATCTTGTGTTCACCCGGCTTGTGATTCACTGGAAGCGTCTGAATAGCAGATTTGATGACTGTGAAGACCACACAAAGCAGTGTGTGATCAGTATCGACCTCACTAGCCTTAAGTCTATCGATCAAAAGTAACGAGGTCTGAGCCACGAGAATACACGTACCGTCAAAAGGATACGAAACAACCCACGACGCAACACCAGCAGCTCCTCCAGCCGTCAGCATGGAAGTTGTCGAGTTGATACCATTCTCCATCATCATGCGCTTGGTGTATTCATATAGCCAAAAGTAGACAGCAAAAGACGGAACCTCCCGCCACAGTGTACACGTAAAGCCAAGGAAAAGTCCAGGTGTGCCTCTGGCTTTAATAATATGCCGAATACAATCCATCGGTCCTTGGTATTGACTACTTCGACGTCCATCTTGCACCTGAAGTCTGCACTTGATGAGCTCTGCAGGGGCCAATGGAACGGTCTGCCAAAAGCCACCAACTGCTCCAGCATAGAAAACAGACTTGAGCGTCGGGGTCTGCACATTATCATCGATCATCTTCAGTGTTCGCTCGTAAACTGCAAACATGATGGCATTTGTTGCTGCACTACCAACAACCGGTGACGTCATGCCCTTGAAAAACCCCGACACTCCTTCATGCTTAAGCTACATACAAGTACTCTTGAATCAGCCATTCACACGCTATCACGATCTCTTTGCAATTGCATCAACGTTGCAACGCACTGTTTCACGAGCACAATCAAAGGCTCCATTATAATACTTGTTGTATATCTGTAGCCGTACTTTAATCTAGGACAATGACAAAAATAACAACGCGAAGAATAAAATACATGTCGACTCATCAACATAGTCATATAAAGTACAGCGACGAACCGTATCAAACGGCTGTCCAACAACGACACCAGCAATCCCACCTACAGTACCGGCTGTCAAGTCTATTAGCACTGAGTACTTCTCCGCCATTGGCCTCAAAGATTACGAAAAGTACTGACGTACTGTATACATGTACTGTATACGTCGATATTGAACGCCAAGTGTTTCAAACCCTGTTTAATTGGCTCGAATCAAACCAGTCCGTAATTACGTACACGCCCTACTAATTACACCATCTTGTGTTCTGTACGTATTCTTGTGTCATGTACGTTATATTGTGTAACGGAATTAAAAGACAATTGGTTGGCTGGCTGTGATGAGCTCGGAGCCTTTCGAATGGCCGTATTCTGGTTTTCATCCAAACCTCGCCGTTGAGATTCCGTGAAGATCCGCACTCGCCGGCAAGCTTTTTAGACACTCGTCTATCATTATGTTGGTCCCCAAGACAAACCGTATTGCAGTGTACTCGTACCTCTTTAAAGAGGGCGTAATGGTCGCAAAGAAGGACTTTTCGCTGCCCAAGCACGAGGCTGTGGATGTGCCCAACCTCCAGGTCATCAAGCTCATGCAGTCGCTCAAGTCCCGTGGCTATGTCAAGGAGACGTTCAACTGGCAGTGGTTCTACTGGTACCTCACGAACGAGGGAATTGAGTACCTTCGCTCGTACTTGCACCTGCCTGCGGAGATTGTGCCGGCTACGCTCAAGAAGCAAGCTGCACGTCCGACGCGCCCACAGGCCCCGTCCGCTGGTGGTTTTGGCCGTGGCCGCTTTGACAAGGAGAAGGGTGTTGGTCCTTCGGGCGACTTTAACCCGGAATTCCGTCGTGGTGGCACGGATGGCTACCGTCGCGAGGGTTCTAATTAAGCGATCACTAACTTCGAGGAAAAGCGAGACGGGAGTATTTAAGCAATAAATCTCCTCCTGACTATTTTCTGTCGGCTTCACAAAGGCGAAAAGAATTCTTTGCGTGTTTCTTTCGTGTCTTTTAGACTTGTTATGGTAGACTTCATTGTGATTGTAATTGTTTGCTTGTGTAGGATACGTTTGATTCGATCCATTACTTTCGCTCTTCAATCACTGAACCCAGAGCACCTTTCTCTTAGATCATAACGATAGACAGCGATGAGCTTCTAGGAATCAAATACTTAAGGCTCCTTCTGTATCTATCAGAGACATGTGGCAGAACAGCCAGTCTCACGCATTCGTCTCTCGTCGATCGACAAGCATGTGGTGATAGAATCGTACAAACTCATCAATCATATGCTCGTGTCGCATTCACTCAACGCGTGGACCTCCTTACATCAGTGTCGAAAGAACGGGCATCAAGATGAGCTTCGTGCGAATTATAATGACAAGATCTTACAATATCCGACCAACAGGGCTATAAAGATGTCATGCGTTCAGTAATTTATCATGTATGTATGTACAGTCTACCATATTTATTTTCATGATGTCTGCTCCATGGTGAGTCTCCAGCATTATTGTCAAAGTGACTAGCAGAAAAGATTGGGAATATAGAGCCATCAATCGGTTGGAGCAAGTTTTCCAGCAGGGCAACCAAAGTCACCAAGCGGTCCAGATGCTCAACAACCAAGACTTTACTATTCAACTGTTTGCTTCGCTTGTCCCTTACAAAGGCATAGAGCTAGCGCACGAACTCCACCGTCTTGCGACAGCAAAATACACGCGTGCTCCACTTCGGGGCGAGTTGCTTGACCCTGGGACCTCTACTGTGAAAGAGAGGTCTCACCAAAAGTCCAGTTGAGACATATAGACATTGAATACAAGGGCGTAAATATATTTATAATTCACTTCTGCTATGGATGAAGGAGTGCCACTGTAATAGGAAAACTTGAACTGCTTTAGATATTGCGACTTAAGATTCGCTCAATGCCCTCCTCAACCAGTCGTTTTCGAGAGCCAACCAACGCAAAGCGTACTTAACTAGCGTGTCGTACTTAAGAAGTAGGTCATGTGTGGCTCAAAACTAATCGTTGAGGAAACATGAGTGAATGTAGTTTGTAATTAGGGTTTATCACACGGAACGACAACCTCCAACACATGGCTACAATAACGCATCTCACCATCTGATCATTTACAGCTGCATTGCTTTGTGAACGAAGCGTTCTCGTCGCATAGTTCTTTCCCGTCTATTTTGAGACAATAGAGCAGTCTTTTAGTGGCTGATGCTGGGCTGGCGCGAAGCACTTTCCCTAAAAGTCTTGTCTCGATGCTTTTTTCGCAAGCAAATAAAAAGCAGCGGTAAGCCAATCTTTAAAAAAGCGAGTGCTTTTCGCTTAAATTTTACAGAATGACGGTTTACGAGCATGTCATTCGTAAAAAAAAAATGGCAACAAAATCGTGGGTATGGTTTCAGGTTTGAACCCGTAGAAACCCACCCACGAAATAGCCATGTCCTCTCTCCCCCTCTTACAAGTGTTTGTGTAGGTCTGTAAATATTTTTTAGTATCAGACAAAAGACCTTTGTGTGAAGACGTCGCACAGCGCAATTTCCTCCATTTTCTATCGTACCAACTCGGCCTTTCTTCACTAGAATAAGATAGTCACCTTTTGTCAACCTCGCCGTAGGGGCACTAGATCTTCATGACGACCTCCAGTAGCGTCTCGGCGCTCAACTCACGCCAATTACAGGAGCCACGTCCGCGACGTTTAGACCCGCACCGTCATCAATCCTTGCCTAAAATCACCGGCCGTAAGCTTCGCACGCCGCGAAAATTTGTAGTGACGGACGTATCTGACGAAGAGCTGGATGCACTGAAGCCGAGTGCGTTACTTAGCGCCATGTCGGACGTAGCGGGACGGCAGCGAGACGACAACGAGAATGATCACAGTAACAGTGAAGACCTGTCTGCCTCAAGTTCTTTGGTTCGCAAGGGTAAGACGCAAATTAAAGGTCGCTTTACTATCACGGATCTATCTCCTGAGTCTCCAGAGATACCGTCAGGACGCGAGGACATGTCGGTTTCGATGGGACCGACACCCTCGCGAGTCCTCGAAGCTTCGCGACGTACGTCGAGAAAAATGGCCAGTCGACGACCATTCCAGTCGGCAGGCGACGCCCGTCCTTCAGTGGGTCTTACAAACGCGAGTATTTCTCAACCGCAGCAAGAAACGCCTTTGATTGCATCATTCCAATGTCCTGGGGTATCATTACCGTCGTCGCAATCTCTGCGCCCGTCCTTGCCAGCTCATGCAATGAACAAACAGGTCATCCAGTTTAATTATCCAACTCAGACAGTGTTTGACAACCATTTGGAGTTTCTGGCGAAAGAGACGTCCGAGATGAAGTTGGCTCTGGAAAAAATGGTGGCTACAAATGCTCATTGGATTGAAGCTCTTACTTCAGCTGGTCTGGCACAAGGTAGATTGTGGGAGGCTACTGTATCGGGGCCTGCTTCTGCTGCGAGGCCACCCTTTGAACAGATGTACCGTGGCTTGGAAAAGGCGTACATGGAGCTGCAGCCTAAATACGACGCAGTCTGTCAAAAGAGTGAGCGGATGGAAGTGAAGAATGCAATGCTGGAGATTCGTCTCCAGCAGCAGATCAACCGCTCATCGATGCTACGATCGCAGCTTGACAAGCTGACACAGTACACGGAGAAACTAATTTGCGAGTCATCGGAGCCTACGCTTCACGATTACAACTCGGATTTGAACTCAATCTTTGGCGAACACTCTGAAGCTCATTCTCCTACTGCTGAAATGACGAGTGGTGGTGAGTACGGTTTCAACGACAATGTACTCAAGTCTCGGCGGCAGCGCTGGCATGACTTGGATGAGGAGTGTATGTCAAACACGAATACTGAGGAAGAGCCATTGCGTAAGACGTCGTCGCCCCTACCAAATGAGAACAATCGGTACTGTAGCGATAAGGAGCGTAAGACTGTCGACTCCTCGTCCGCCAACGACCGTGGTAGCTCTGCCGCGGTGAGCTTGCTACTGGATGACCAGGTGAAAGAACTGCGCGAGTCTCTACAGCTAAAGAAGGAGGTCGCTGACGTATCCGTAATTGACTCGTCGGATTCTATGGCCGTGTGCCCCTCTGTCACAAATTTCGAGCCCAACGGCGACGATGACTGTGACGTGAACGACTCTATCCTGCTGCCAAATAAGTTGCACACTGACTTGCTCAAGCATAGCGATTCGGTGGTTTCGCTCAATGATTCGACAGTTTCATCGACTTCATCGTTGGCCGCTTATGGACTTCATCTGGCATCCATGGCGCAGTCAAAATCTGGCTACGTTTGTAGCATTGCTGCTACTAGCTTGTTTGGTCCGCATCCAGAGCCGTATCCAAATGCGTCTAGTCATCCGAATGGCTCTCAAGACGATGACACTATCTACAATGTGCTTAGTCCAGAGAATCTGCGTTTCCACGATTGCAGGTCCCTGCTTGAAGCTGCCGAAGAGAGAAATTTGCAGACGTCGAGCAGGCGACATAGTTTCTTCTTTACGACTGGTAGAAAAACATCTTCTTTACCGGAGGCAAGTGAAGCATCCGAACAGACCCAATCGACTGGTAGTTTGTTCCAGCGATTTGCAGTCCGGCGGCAAAAGCCTGTCGTCTAGCTGCAGTTGTCAGTCGACCATTTGTCTTCCAGTCCCCCTGTATTCGACCGCAGATGCAGGGTGCCCATTTGTCTCCATAGCACCCGGCAGAGTCAACTCCAAGTATACCGGCCTCATTGACTCTGATTTAGAGAAAGAACAAGTAGCAGCTCGATTGGGGTGATCGATTCCTTCCTTCTTGTCACTTTTTCTAGTGAAAGTAGCACGAGGTTGCACCAAAGTATCTAATGTGAACCTAATTGAATGAACAACTTTTAACATTTTTTTTATTTTTGCATCTCACTATTGGCGTTGAATTGAAAAATTTACATTTGAAATTTGAAATTTGAAAGTAATAGACGTCTGTCCATGCGGCGATGGCAGCGCGAATATGAGCGTGATTGGCGCGACTATACGCGACAAGTGATTAAAGATTGCTATGGGAAATATGCAATACAGTGTTTCTCATCTATTACTGAGGCCGATGAACATCAATTACGAAAAGTTTTGCAAGCAGAAGGTATTGCCCATGTGCCTCCAAACCACAGTCGATGGCATGCGCCTATCCCCTCGTCCCAGTCGTTTATGGCCGCTTCAGATGCTCAAGACTCGGTCATATCGGACGAATCGTATGTATATAGCACACCACCACCTCCAGACAGTCAGAGCATGTTCCCAGCCTTCAGTTTGCAGGATTTGGGGTCTCCATCAACGTCTGGACGTCGAGTAAGTGCTTCGCAACGATTAAAGCTGCGAACGACTGACATGTCGCCCATTTTAGATAGTCGACGTACTTCTATTGAATATACAGGGACTATTTCGCCGTCTTTGGGAGCGGCCAAGTCACCCTGGACACTAGGACAAAGATCGCCGAAACTGACTCAAAAGACTCGACGAACTCCACGGCGGTCACTTGATTCAAGTTTTAGAGGTGACAATGATAAAAAACAAGTGGATGAAGAGGAGATGGAGGATACGCAGATGATTCATGTGTCGGACGTTTATGAGGAAGAGAAGAAAGCTGCGGTCATGCAAGATGATTGTGGAAAAGATGCTGAACAAGAGCAGAATATTGACCGTGTAGAAGTGGCTGTCGACGAACAAGATACAGCTGAGTGTCCGATGGTGGAGCATCAAGATGAAGCTGAAGATATGAATGTGTCCAAGGAGTTGGACTTTCGCAGCGATATTGAGGACAAGGAAGAAGACAAAGAAGAAATGAAGGAACAGATCGATGGAGATGTTTTGGTGGAGCAAGAACAAGTAAATGCAGATACACCATTCAGTATTGATATTTGCGGTAAATCTGTGCATGGATCATTGCCAGCGGAAACCGAAAAACCTGTATGGGCTTCTGAACATGACTTTGAGTTTCTTGAAAGAGAAAATGAACGCGACAGCGTGAACCAACAACTTTCAATTGAAGAACAAGATGTTGAGATACACGAACTAGCACAGCCTGAACTGGAAAGTTTCCCTTGTTTTCCTGGTCCAATTCGGACCACTGAAGAACCAACTGTGGAAGGTGTCACTTGTCTTGCAAAGCAGCAAGAGATTCCTGCCGAGTCAACTGAAATGTCGATTGTCGCTGCAACTAAACGCAATAGTGTATCAAGACAAAAATACTCTGTGTCGACAAGACGGTCAACTATGTCCTCACCGGCACTATCCTCGTCTTCGAAGAGGAAATCCGATACATGTCCTACGGCCTCGTCAGAGCGACAAACATCTGACAGAACACCTGCAGATTCGTCGGCTAAGAGACGAACATCCGCCTTACCCACGGCATCATCATCTGCAAGAAGAACAACGTTCGATCCCCCAACAGCTCCATTAGCACGAAAAGCTTTGCATGCATCCCCCGCACCTCCACCCACAGCGCAAATCTACCCGACTGCCCCAGCATCTTCCAGGTCGGCGTTATCGCAAAAGCGCGCAAATCGAGGTGCGTTATTCCGCACAAAGCTGCCGCTTCAAATGGAGTATCGTTTTGCTAGCGACGAGCGTCGACGTCGCAGGCGCCGAAAGTCTCTAGCAGCGAAGCCAAGTGTATTTCCGTATATTGTTCCGGAACTTCTTGTTGAACTGCAACCATACCAAAAACAGGCACTGGATTGGATGCTGGAAAGAGAGAAGAAACCTCGTGATCCTATTGCGATGGATCAGCAATGCCGTGATGAAGCGACCGCTCTTGACGCTATAATTGCGAAGATTTGTGGCGGAGTGCTGGCCGATGAGATGGATCTTGGTACGACAGTATGCTGCCTTGCTCTCATATGTGAATCTCTGCGTCAGGCCCGAGCGTCAGATGCTCAGGCAAGAAGCGGGACTGGCTGTACTGTACCTCGGTTAACTCCTCCAACCCTTATCGTGGCACCGTTGTCTGTTCTATCGCAGTGGAAACAAGCGATTCAAGCAAAAACAAACTTGAGCGTGGTGACGTATCAAGGTGTTAAACGCAAGAACTTTCGCTCAGCCACGCAGTTCATGGGAGCTGACATTGTCCTTTCGACCTACGACACCCTTCGGCTTTTAGAGTGTAAGGTCCAAAACAAAGACAGTGACCATGATGGCGACAAAGAGAATGGCGATGGAACTGGTGCAGACGATGGGTGGCATCAAGCGCCACGGCTTACTCCACGTTCCAAGAAGTCTGTGGTAACATCAAAGCTGCACCAAGTGCAGTGGTTTCGAGTAATCCTAGATGAGAGCCATCTGATTGCAAACGCTACATGTGGACGAGCGCGAGCTGTGTTTACACTTAGCAGCAAACGTCGTTGGTGTGTAACCGGACCATCAATTCAAAATCGCACGGTGGACCTAGCAGCGCTGCTGCAATTTGTTGGACTTGGTGACCATGCTCATACTCTTTCAAAGCGAGAACTTGTACTAATGCTTCGCGTAGTGATGCATCGACTCAAATCCACGGTAGAGACGCGTGCAAGAGCCCCTATCTTGGAGCTCCCCGAAAAAAACTGACAAGAAATTTAGCACGAATTTGCTTCAGATGTCGAATGTGCTCGGTAGTTCATCGCTCTACTGACCTGTCAGTGCTTCGCTACTTGCAGTCCAAGAGCGGGTAATGCGCGAGTTTTTTATAGCATGAAAACACCCTTGACATGAGGCTAGTTGTTGATGAACATGCTGCCGCTTTCTTGGCGTACTGGTGGTCGCGAATTGAACCTCACAGCTGTGGTGCATGTTTTCATCATGGGATTCAGCTGGAATCCGATCCTTGAGCGCTAAGCAATGAAATGAGCTCACCGTTTTGGCCATACATGGAAGGAGCGCGTCGTTTGTTTATCGTGAAAGGAATCAACTAAGAAACGTATTGTGGCTTGGGAAAACAAGAAGCACCAGCGTACGGCTGTCTAATTGGAGCGATGATGATATCTTCTTCAGTGCCAAGAATAACAGATTATGCAAGACGAGATTGACAACTGGAGATCTGAGAAAACTGTTTTTCACGTAACAAGACATAGACATCACCAGGACGACGACATGAGTGATGCACGAGATCACAATTACGGAAACAGCGATGGTAGCATGGTCAACAAGAGTAAGTATTGGTCCAAAAAGATTGAGGCGTCGACTACCGTATGAATGTGCACCTGGAGCTCCTCGTCAGGTGGTCGTCATGCCGTATCGTTGAATCGTGGAGGGGTAGAGGAACTCGATCGTACTTACGCTTGAGCAGTGCCCTCTCGTTTGACTCTCAGACCTAAAACTTCGCTACTGTAGCTAACCTCATTGAGCAATTATTATTCTACTATGAGACGCATATCAGTGACAAACAAAACCCTCTTGAATACGGTCTTTTGCACCATTTTACGCCTTCGCTTTTTGGTCCACCTCAAAGTCTACAAATTACAAGTACTTTTTTTCTATAGAGTAATCTGATAATTATAGAGAAAGTGTAAATTACGGATAGGCGTTGAGTAATGGTTGGTGTAAAGTCTAGACCATCTATGCGATAAAGTGCTCGATAAAATTACAAGCTGTAATTGTTGCAAAGCGACACGCGATACATCCTCAAATTATCGAAATTGTCAAAAGGTATTTCTAAACTTCATCAAAGTATTGTATATGAGTCAGCTGTGCCTCAAATTTATGTGAGTACAGCTGTAAGAGGGACGATTAGCTTCGTTTCTCATTCAAAGTAGTGGCAGTGACTTGCCAGAATGTACCAGTAGCAAGTCCAGTATACGGTTATCTAGCATACGTTTCCTTTTACATCTGCTGGAGTTCTACTTCTTCTCTCTTGTCCAGACGTTATCACATGTGGCTAGAAGCACAGTTCAGCATTGCAATAAAAACTCACGTTATTTGGCTCTAGTTGATTCGCATGTGAGCTTTCCAGCTTTTAATATTAGTCGAAGCACTTCACTTCTCTCTCGCTCAAAGAGGCAGGCAGTGTACCCACTTATCAAGAACTGGAACGGCTTAGTATTTGTATTACCGAGTATGATGCTTGGGTCTGCTGCTGCAGCCCAACTGTCACAGATACCGGCAGTACCACAAATACAGATCGCACTACTGCCAGATGTATCAGATTGATGTACCGAATCTGCCAGACGTCAACCATCTATGCCTCGACAAGGTGGCACGGCGCGACCGTTTCACTCAATTATTCGTGCGTCGTTGCTTGCTATCTAGCGAAAATGACAATGCACCAAAGTCATATCAAGTGGAGCAGCGTTACCGTGCTTTTTTCACGTAACGGCTACATGTAGGAGCAAATTGCTAGTCTTGTTTTTTGTCTTGGACAATGCAACATTCGTCAACCATGTGCCGAACGGATAATGGTACGTGAGTGCTATTTTTGTGGCAAAGAGCCACCACAGACAGCTTGTAAACGCCCAAGTTATCGACTGCTGCATTATCGATATCTCTACATCCATATCCATATCCGATCGAAAAGCCGTTTTAAAACCGTATTTTTACTGCATAAAACGGTATCGTCAGGGTCTCGCATATATCGAATAATTTTCCATACCGTCGCTCACATTCCGCCTCTTAAGCATAAACAATTCATTTCTAAATCCTCAGCTGCGCCCGTCGTCGGCTGAGAGAATATTTCTTAACGGAATTTCTCACCTCAATTAGGGTAGCTAACCCTATTTACTGTCGTACCGTACGTACGTTGTCATGCTTTGGATTTTTCCATATGGTGTTCCATACCAATAACGGCACCTTTAGATTTTGCACGGAACAACGACTAGGTATTCGATATCACAGGGATTTGAAGCATACCCCACTGGCTATTTTGTTTACATTTTTTGCGACGACATTCAACAATTTCCACAACGTTTGACAAGCACATTGGGTCCACATTTCTAAAGCTCATTCTCGTCCACGTCTCTCAAGTGCCGTAAAAGAGATTGCTCGGTAGCTCTTCTTTCTCTTTTTCTCTCTCTCTCTCTCTCTCTCTGTCGTGCCTTTCTCTCTCTGTTTTTTATTTCTTTCCTTCTTACCATAGAAGTTTTTCTAGTAAGAGACCAAAAGCACAGAGAAAAAGCATGGGCGCTGTTGAATGGATTCGTGGAAATTTCGGCGCTTCAGAGACGGCAATGGACAATGCCGTTGGATGTCAACAAGTTTCGAGTCGCGTCAGTCGTCTACGACTGCATGGTTCGGCGATGCTGAATGCCAAGGGATTGTTACAGCAGACGGTGGTGATTAAACTCTACCCGATCATACAGCTTCGTCTATCACCGATCCGTTGCACGTCACCATTTAAGCGGGACAAGTCATTCTTTGGCGTTGCTGTGCAGCAGAAAAACAAGGCAAATGTTGAGTCGAGGATTGAGGGGCTGGATACTGCTCTGGAAGCTAAGTGGCTCACTACGGAAGCTTCCGAATGCTTTGTTGATGAGGTCAAGTCTTTGGTTGCGGATGCAAAATGCATATTTCAGATGACAAGTGACGGGTGTGGTGGAGCGTACTATTTGACGACGGAATCGACTAAGAAAATGGATCCGATCGGGATTTTTAAGCCCCGAGATGAAGAATATATGGCACCAAAAAACCCACGAGGGTATGTGAAGGAAAATGCAGTGGTGGGTGTGACGGAGAATCCGGTCAATAAGGGGTTTCGAATTGGCAACGGAGCTTTTCGTGAACGTGCTGCTTATTTGCTGGATAATGCTTATGGCAACTTTAGTGGAGTACCTGTGACAAATTTAATGGCTGTGAATGTAAATGGACAAGAAAAGGAGGGATCGATCCAGCGGTTTGTGACGTCGAAGTGCTCGGCGGAAGACATGGGCACGCTCAAGTTTGCGATCTCTGAGGTGCATAAGATTGGTATCTTGGATGTGCGGCTATTTAATACCGACCGTCATGCAGGAAACATTTTGCTACAGACGCGGCCGAATGATCAAACGTTTGAAATGACGCCGATTGATCACGGATTTTGTTTGCCGTCCTACAAGCAGCTGGATGGAGCCATGTTCGACTGGCTGCAGTGGCCTCAGGCTGAGTTCCCATTTACGTGTGCAGAGCTTGACCACATTGCTTCACTCGACGAAGAGCGCGATGCGGCCGTGCTGCGTGCTGTTGGAATCGAGGAGGAGTGTGTGACAACGATGCGTGTGTGTACAACGGTACTGAAGCGTGGAGCGGAAGCTGGATTCTCGCTGTTTGAGATTGGCAGTCTGCTCCAGCGCGACGGTGACTTCTCGTCACCCTCGCAGCTCGAGCTGGTTGTTGGCAAGGCGATGACGGTTGTGGAGAAGGATATGGGTCTGTCTGAGAAGAAGGACGGTGTCGCATTCTTCAATGCCATTGTGGCCGAGTCCACTCGTCAGGCCGAGAGCATGTTTGAGAGTCAAACGAGGAAAAAAGTGCGAAGTATCAGTTGTTTTAGCTAAGAAAGCGCATGGAGCTTGGAAGAGCTTGTTTGCGTGAGTGAGTGTTTTGATGGAAGAAACATGACAAGAAAAAAATAAACAAGAGAGGGAGGAAGGAAATCACGGTGCTGTGAGGTAGCGTGTGAGACTTGAAGGACGTGATGACTGCTCCTTATGTGTGAATTAGAAAAACGAATAGGATATAATGACAAGGATACAAACGAGTATCTCTGATGAAGTAGAAGAATCAAGTTCAAGAACGGTACGCCAAATGCTGGTCTTGTACGTGTAAACAATCCCAAAGAAAATTTACTGACCCGATCATGACTTTTTTCTCGATACGTGCACTGCATGCGTTACTGTGCACTTCAACTTGAACCGACTCGAAATGTATTGTAGTGTGTTGTTGAAGTCAGACAGCGATAGGCACTTTATGGACAATGACAAATGGTGTCGTGTTAGTATTGTCTCCAACAATTATAATAACTGCACTGAATCTTCGTCAGCAGAGGTAAATTTGTCGTGATGATGACAAACCATAACGCATTCGTTGACGACGTGGTGCATGACTCTAGGACGGATCACCATGTGCTCATTTCATTCCGTCCCTGGCTCACTAAATGCTGGTAGGATCAATATGACGTTCATGATAGTAGACGCCCCGTTCTGTAAAACTCAGCAAAGTACATCCACATACCACAGAAGCGTCCAATATGGCGAAACCAAGCATTTCAAAATGTTCGCAAAGATATGTATCCACTGGTAGCTCTAAGGCATATACGCGCAGACGCTCGTTCTCGGCTTTGCTTCTGCTGATGTAAGAATTGTCTGGGATCAATACTTGCTCGGGCGGTCAAGAATCGTAAATTTCATCGCCATCAAAGTCTTGAGGGTCTCTTTGGCGATGTTGATATCATATTCTTTTTCATCGTCCGTGAGGAACACATACGGAACGAGACACGGATGTTTCTTCGAGCTGTCATCACGCTGCGGGCCATACGTCCAGCCTTCATCCATACGACCCTTTGCCCAAACCTCGTGCGCGTTTTCGGCTAAAAGATCAACAAGACGCAACAGTCTTGGAGGCAACTCGACAGTTGTCGTATCAATAGGCAGAGGACGGTATACTTCTACATTTCCCTCTCCGTAGGTTGTAAAGTACGGAGAATCGCCCATAAGACTATTGCGCCGGAAACTCATTGCCTCGCGCAGCAATGACGGCACAGGCTTGGTTGGTGCTCCAGGATGAGAGGCAGTGCCCAACTCCTCGAATATAGCCAAACGATTAGCTCGAGGACTTGTCGAATCCGAGCCAGCACTAACAAGTGAACTATTACTTTCACCCAGGCCATCAGCGATATCCGACATCATGGAAGCTGACCGCGAAATAGCTTCATGGAACGAACCGCTGTGCGAGTGGCTTGTACGCGTGATCGCGTAGTTCATAAAGACAATCGTCTTGATCGTCTCAATAGACGACCGGTAGTCAAAAGCTTGCTCTTCCACGGATAACAACTTGTAGGGAACAAGGTTAGGATGTTTCTTGTTCTTGTCATCACGCTGGATGCCGTACAGCCATCCTTGTTTGAGACGTTCAAGTGCCCACATGTCATGACAGTTGCGAGCCAGGACATCACCTAGATGCTCAAGATGACCTAGTTCCACCTTGGACGTGTCGACAGGCTTTGGGCGGTAGTTGTGGCCTTCTTTTTCACGAGACGGCATGTCAATCAGGCATTTACGGAAACGGTACATTACCTGAAGGGCTTCGCGCTGCACTTCCGCTTGCGAGCACATTGCTTTGCGCTTATCCTTACGCAGGAACAGGTCCAACATGCGAGAAATCTCATCAAAGCGTAGACTCGTACGACCATCCGCGCGAACACTTTCAAATAGCAGTTCGAGATGATAATCGTCCACCATGTGGTCTTTGGAATAGTTCCACAACTTTGTTGCACGCATCAGACCCATTTTGAGCTCCTGCAACATGATACGGCACAAGTGCACCGCGAGTCTCCGTTTTGGAATTCGCAATTTCTCACCACCTATTAACTCCAAAACACGTTCTCGCGGTGTGCCATCGTCATAGTCAGAATCGTCCTCGAACGAACCCAACGAAGAGATAGAGCGAGGTGGCGCGAATGCAGTTGGTGCACACTTCAGCTTTCCAGTAAAGTTCATTCCAAAGCCAGCACTCTCCATTTCATTAGGACCTAAAACAATGCACTCCACGGATAGTTTGCTGTGATGGACAACTTTTAGCGCGAGGCCGTCACCGAGTATGGAATCTGTCTGTAGTCGAATTGTGATACCGATCGGTATCATTTCCTTGATGGTCTTGTGATCAAAGTTTTCAGATAATCGAATATGCGATACCAGTTCACGACTATCCTTGCCGGAGCCCCCGCCATTGCTATTGTGTGCACTTCCATCGTGTGTCTTGCGATCGCCAAATTGGATGCGGCGGTCAAACTTCATTCCAAAGCGCAATAAGGCAACAACGCGCCAAACCGCACCGCGAAATAGCTTCCTTACACGTTGGCGTGTCTCTTCTTGATCAACAAGGTTCGTTGAAATAAGGCGTACTTGTTGCCAGGGAATGAGACGAATAACGCCGTAATCCTTGGGCACAACGACTGTTGGCGAGCACGCACTTACAAAGCTACGGATACGCGCAAGCACATCGTACTCGACATCATCCCCGCTGGCACTCTCATCATTCGTTGCGACTTCGTAGTATTCGGACAAAATCGCAACAAACATGTTTACAAGGATCTGAAATACCAAGACCACAAAGGTGCCGATAAATATCGGTGCAATTCGAGGGTTTGCCTGACGCAGTCGCGTGTAGTCCATCTCACCAGCCAGCATCTGGAAACAAGTACCATATGACTTGCTGATCGTCGAGTATTCTTCAAGAGCATAGCCAAAGGCGTAACTGCCCATGGCTGAGTATCCCAAAAAGATAAGGTTAAAAATGACAAGAAAGCCCATAAGGTCGCTCATAGCCATACCCAACACACGCCAAAGCAAGTTCAGCGTCGCATTCATGCGTAAGAACTTAAATACCTTAAGCAAGCTAATTGCAGACCCCAGTGATGCAAGATCGGAGAGCTGTTGGAACCCGGTCAAAAGTCCCAGAGAACTTGAATGGCTAAGCTCTTCTACACCACGACCTCCTCTCAAGTCTCTTAAGTACTCTGCAAAGGTGCTGGATGCTATGCAGTAATGCACCATATAACTTAATATGGCGGCCAGCACCACCAAGTGCGTAAGCTCAAACAAATTCCACATGTCCGATCCAAGGTATGTTGCCACACCCATTGTACTCATCTCAGTTGCCTCACCAATACAGTATGTGATGAAGAATAAAACCAGTGCAATCCACAGCAAAACGCGCACATCAAATGCTTCGCGCAGCGACGACACTGAACTACCTATCGCGCTAAAAATTCTCTGGTGAAGCTGGAGCTGAGGAGGTTTTTTGTCACGGTCAGTGAATGCAAACTGCTCCGTCTTCTCGTGGCCAATCACTCGGACGTGGGAACTGTGCGCAAAGTGGTCGAGGTGGCCAGACGGATCAATTTTGATCACGTGCATTCCAATAGTGAAAACACGAGTGACCGGGTTCAGCAAAATGAAGTTAAACGCCACGGCCCGTGTATGTTCGGAGAGAAAGATGTCACGCTGGAGCTCACTTACGTCCTCCAACTCGCATAAATCCACTGCATAACCACCTGAGCCGTACGACTTAATGGGAGCAAAGAATAACCAGTCAATGAACGACCGCGAAATCTCTGGAGATAACTCGCCTAACCCATCTCTCCACTCATACACACGCCCAGTACCATTTTCTCCAAACAGAGTAGTTTTCTGCTCGACGTCGGTGCTGTAAAACGGGTAACACGGCGCCACCCATTCTTCGTAAACCCGGCAGCGTTGCTCCTTGACACGCACCTGTCTGAACCCTACTCCACCAATACGAACCCATTGCGCTGTAACATCTTGACGGTCACAAACCGTTTCTTTCAGTTTGCCAGCATAACTGTAGATATCGGCAAAGGTCTTGATTTCACACTCGCCTTCTTCTTTGCAAGTAAGAGCCCCCACCACATCGTTCTGATAGAAACTATCTTGCACTGGCAACCACGACAGCAACGAAAAGAGTAGTGTCAGGAACACAAAGTAGACCACGAGTTCTTGATAAAACTGTCTCCGCTTAATCTCTTTATACTCGGACGCCACACTCACCAAATCAAGCTTCATCTTTTCCATATGAATACCACGATAAACATGCACTGTGTCGGTAGAATCTCGAGCCCACATGGATAAAAATCCTTTTGCTGCGCGTCTGGACGTCACCAATTGCTGCGCAAGCCCCGCAAACGACGAGTTGCTGCGTTCCAGCACCGGTTTCTCATCAACATCAGCATCAGTATTTACAGCAGCTGCTGGATCATCTTTTGCCTCTCCATTTGCACTTTTATTCGTACAATCTGCAAGACTTTTGCTGCTACTGAGATGCGAGCGCACAAGCGACGCCATATTACGGAGACTCGTCTGTCTCTTACCACGTCTTAATGCCATGGTCGGTGTAGTTCGTAATGGCACATTCACTTTATCCTCATCTTCTTCGTCCGAGAGAGAGATTGTCCGTAAACTTAATCGATTCCTCCGTCTCATGGTTCCAACGACAATTCCCATGTTAATATTGGTCTTTCGAAGGCCATCAGACTCGCGTTTCTTGCCACTGGAGCTCGTGTTGCTACCACTGCCACTACCACTACGCATTCGTCGTGGTGGCGCTCGTAATTGCGGCTTTAAAGTCGGTTTATGTGATGATACAGCCTTTTTCCCGTCAATAGTGTTGGAGACGCCATTGTGAAGCTTCTTGAGACTTTCAGAGCGTGAAAAAGAAGGTGATGGTACAGGAGATAATGGAGATGAGGTTCCAGGTGTCGATGTATCTGGAGATGAAGTAGGAAACGCTCGAGACGCAGTACCATTTACGTCCATGAGAAGCGGACGGTCGCCTTTGTATCTCAATATAAAATCTAATCACCACAAAAATAATCCGTCGAAATGGATTTTTTTTTAAGGTGATTAGATTATTGGCTATTTTTGGTAAACATGGCGTAAACGAACTTAGGATGAACTTAGAAGAGGAGAAAACTAATGGTGCGTTAGCACATGTCACAGATCATCTTATCCCTGTGGGCTAGATAACCTCTAGTGCTCACAATTCGACGCAACGAGATGGCGATCATCATGGGCTTCTCTGTCCTACTCTTTACGTCGTCGGTCTTTGTACTGGTTAATACACTTGAATCTCATGTCTATGAAGAGCGTTTGACGAGTGCAACGTCTCCATTAGCACTAAATTCTGCTCTACCGTCGCAGATTCATGTCGCTTTCGCTGGTGAAGTGACTACGAAGAGCTACAAAGCCATTCGGACGTCAACTACTGCGACGATTGAGACGCGATTGGGTATGACAATCTCATGGCTGACAGACATGAAGACGACTACGTCTTTGGTGCGCTATGGACTGTCAATGAACAAGTTGACGACGATGCAAAAGGCCGAGAAACCTTGTGAGCAGTACTTCTTTTGCGCGTACAAGTCGCCTTGGTTACATCATGTGACTATCCCGGGTGACAAGCTCAAGCCATATACGACTTATTTCTGTACGAGATTATTATTGTGAGATGGGAAGAGTTTGTATAGCGGATTGACAATTCGTTTTCGGTGGTATAGATCAATGTGGAGACGAGATTGGTGGATGGAGTACGGTGTATTCGTTCAAGACAGCTGTAATTGTTGGAGACGAGAGACCACAGACATTTGGTGTCATTGGAGACCTCGGGTAAGTAAGAACATGCAGTGTTGAGCACGTTATATTGCAAGACTAAGTGCTATGTATTGCTGAAGCCAAACAGTGTACTCGAAACAGACGCTTCGTCATCTTGAAAGCTACCGCTTGAAGATGAGTGCTATCGTGTGTGCTGGTGATCTGTCGTATGCTGATGGTGAGCAGCATCGATGGGATCGATGGGGTAAAATCGTCGAACCGTTGACTGCTCGAATGCCCTGGATGATTTCACCTGGCAATCATGAAGTCGAGCGCCCTTGCCAGTTGGAAGTGAGTGAGTTTGTGGCCTACCAGTCTCGATTCCAAATGCCTTATGAGCAGAAGAATTCTTTGCAGCGTCGCAATTTGTACTACGGCTTTCGTGTTGGCCTCGTGCACTTTATCATCCTGACACCGTATGTCGAATTTACTTCGACGTCACTGCAGTACAAGTGGCTCCAGCAAGAGCTCTTACGCGTCGACCGCAGTGTTACTCCGTGGTTGGTGGTCATCATGCATGGTCCATGGTACAATAGCAACACAGCGCATCAGAGTATGGAGCCACACATGATGATGAAGAAGCACATGGAGGAGGTTCTCTACCGGAACAAGGTGGACGTGATCATTTCGGGGCACGTCCACGCCTACGAGCGTAGTTATCCCGTGTACAAGGAAAAGCTAGTAGTCGATGGTCCAATCTACGTTGTGCTAGGCGATGCTGGCAACCGTGAAGGTCTGGCACCCACATACATCGATCCACAGCCGAAATGGTCTGCCTTTCGTCAGGCTGACTATGGCTTCTCGCTGTTACATGTGGCTAACCGGACCCATGCAAGTATGCAATGGTTTGAAAATCAAGCAGAAGGTGAGGCTCTTGTACGTGATACAGTCACTTTGACGACATCCAAGTACCGATCAAGCTAGTAATCAGTGTAGCCATGTACTGCAAAAGTGTAGCCATGTAACATGCCCTACCGACCCGTTGAATATCGTCCAATCATCATTTACTTTTTCGAATCTCTGCGATCTATTACACCTGTCTCTCTCCTCATTCCCATACTAAAAAGAAGACAAAATGACCAAAGTAAGTGTCAAGTGGGGCAAGCAAGTATTCCAGGACGTCATTGTGAACAAAGAAGCTTCCGTTGCGGTACTTAAAGCACAGCTCTATGACCTCACATCTGTACCAGTGGATCGTCAAAAGCTCATGTCGAAAGCATGGAAAGGAATGCTTAAAGACGACGTCAATCTTTCGACATTGGAAAAATTTATCGATGGTACAAGTGTGATGCTCATGGGTTCAGCTGAAGTCGTACAAAAGCCTACAGAACCGGTTCTCTTTCTTGAAGACATGACGACTAAGGATATTGCTATGACGGGTACCGTGTACCCTGCAGGACTTGTCAATTTGGGCAATACATGTTATATGAATGCTACATTGCAGTGTTTACGTCCAGTGAAGGAATTACGTGACGCATTGACGTCACAATCTGGTCAAACCTCCGTGGACTTGACGAGTCATTTTTCTACTGCATTGAGGGACATGTATGGTCAATTGGATGGCAGTGTTGAGAGTATCACTCCTGCCATGTTTGTATCGGTACTGCGTCGTGCTTATCCGCAGTTTGCTCAGCAATCACCTCGTAGTGGAGGTTATATGCAACAAGATAGTGAAGAGTTTCTGTCAACACTGTTTTCGACGCTGCAGCAAACGTTGACGCAGCCAACAAGTGGACTCAAGTCACTTGGACCGACGTCCAATGTCGTGGATGCACTGTTTGGACTGGAAATGAACGAGAAAATTGAGTGTACGGAGAGTGAGATGGAAGAAGTTGTTGTGAAGAAGGAAAAGGCACTTAAACTGGTCTGCAACATTACTATTGAGACCAATCATTTGTCCGAAGGCATTAAGATTGTAAGTGATGTTGTGGCGTTATTGTAGGCGTGAAATGTGACTTTAATATGGATATGTTTTGGTGGTGTAGGGACTGGAAGGGACGATTGAGAAATACTCAGACGTGTTGGGACGTAATGCCGTATGGAAGAAGACGCTGCGGATAAACCGATTGCCCAAATACCTGTGTGTGCAGTTCATGCGCTTCTACTGGAAGGCAACGCCAGAGAGCCGTGACCACACTGGTGTTAAGTGTAAGATGCTGAGAGTGAGTAGTTTTGTTGTGTTTGTTGCATTGAAGAAGGAGCTTTTTGCTGATAGACCTGCGTTTCGATAACATCTTCAGCCTATCAGCTTCCCTATGACGCTAGACGTCTACGATTTCTGCTCCGATGATCTGAAGGCGACAATGAAGATTTCGCGTGACAGAAATGCTGAGAAGATTCTGAATGAATTCAAGGAGGTACTTACATTAGTGCTATATGCAGAATGCGTTGCTTATCGTGATACGAGAACTCATGCCTGATGTACCTGTCATTGCAGAAGGAGGGTGAAGCTGAGGAAAAAAAGGAGGCAGATGAAGACAACGTCATGGACGGTCTTTCTCAGGAAGATAAAGCTGCTCTTGAGACTGCATGCGCTCTTTCACTGGGTGCCAAGTCGCCTGGTATTGATCTTCCCGTCGATTTCCAAGTACGATGGGTGAATTACATTTTACGTGTCTGCTTTGGGTGGCTAAAGTTAGCGGTCAATTACCATTTGTCTGGTTATAGGGAAACTACGAGCTATACGCAATTCTGACGCACAAGGGCCGTTCTGCCGACTCCGGTCACTACATGGCTTGGGTGCGCCACGAAGGAGGTACGCTTCATTTGCTGTGCTTATGGAAAGATAAAACATAGGAAACTACTACTGCTAACGTATCCTGTGTCGTGACAGATGACTGGTATTGCTACGATGATGACGACGTGTCGCCGTGCAAGACAGAAGACATCATGAAGCTCAAAGGCGGAGGTGATTGGCACATGGCGTACCTTGCTTTCTACCGTGCCAAAAAGTAAGGTGCAAACCGTGTCGTCATGATAAGCAGCGCTCAAAGCCAAGCGAACAGGTTGTGCTGGAAAAAGGAGACTAACTGACGTGCCGTCTTTGCCGAGATCGAGTGATATGATAATCAACGCTTTTCCAGATATGTTTTCTCATCTTTCGAGTTGAAAATCCTAGAACAAATCGGTGTAATAAGGCAACCTCTTTTTACATTTCGAGCGCAAGCAAAATGAAAATAACAAAATGAAGGAAGTCCAAGACGGCCACGAACTGACCCGTCAAGATCTTAGCAACTGTGTCTAAAGCCACTAAGACCTACGGCAGTGTCGCTTTCGCCAGGCTTTCAATCTTCTCCTCGCTTCATCTTACATGTGAATGCCCTCCGATCGGTGACCAGAAAAAGGAGACAAACTGTCGACTTTCCGCGGTTCAATATCGCTCTTAACCGAGTCTGACATGTAATCTTCGTCATCCACGTAACTGTATTCAGCACTCTTGTCGGTGAGTGTCAGTGTGTCAAGACGCGGAGGAGAATTCTGTGGCGAATCCTCAGAAGTCATTGACGTTGCTCCAGTAGATTTGCGACGAGGAGACGGAGGTGGCGTAGCACATGGCGATTTCGACACCGGGCTGGCCGGGCCAGGCGAGCCAATGACGTCCCCACTGGCACTTGTTGGAGACATGTCCGAGTCCGTGTCTTCATCCTTCAGACTTTCATTCGTTGCAAAAGGCGACTTCTGGTCCTTGTCCGTTGCCACCCATATACGAATCGTTTCCATGCGACGCTGCACACCAGGCAAATCCATATTATCAGCGTCCTAATTCAGCAGCAAAACAACCACAAATCAGCAACACCATTCCCCACAAATCTCAAAGAAGGCTACAAAAGACCAGAGGGGACTCAACAAAAACTTACCGGACAAAACCACTCCATGCAAACTTCCAAGTCCGTTCGGTCTGCTAGTACCGGCGTAAGCAGCTGCACAAGTGTCCCCCGCGTTTCCAGATCAAGGTGTGGGATCTCAATACCCCGCACCTCAAGTGTATGAACAGGCTGGTCAAGCACGACAGCCGTAATCCATTTTGCAAGAAAGTTAAACTTGTCCACCTGTCCACGACACACCGTCTTGAGTAGGACCGTAAACACTTCCTCTGGCACTTTGTTCTTGGAAACTTCCATGACTTTACGTAGAGCAAAGTCTTCTCGCACATCAACCAATAGCTTGGATTCTTCAAAACCATGCATCCCCAATTGATAACAGCCTTCACACAAGTGATAGTTGACACACTTGGAGCAGGAATACATGTTGCCTACAATAGGATCCATTCCACATCCATCACAGAATGAATCTTCATTTACATGAGACGGTGAAAACTTCATTTGCGCCACTTTTTGTCCAATAAAACGTGTTGCAGCCGACATTTTACTCCCAAGACCACCGACGCGCGTCAGTGGTTCCGTTGGAAATCCAATGATTGACGTCGTGCTGTCACGTTCCATACTAAGTGGATCTGACATGAGCCAAAAACGTTTATTGTTCTTCTGTATCTTGCGTTCGCCATGGATCACACGCTGTCGTTCACCTTCAAATACCGACTGTTGTGGACCAAAAAAAAGATGTTGCTCCACGTGTTGAGCTTCTTGAAGGAGCTGAGCATTCAAATGATCCGTGCTTATTACAGAAGGACGTACAGCGGGTGCATTCTCACTACCATCGGAAGGCACACTACGTCGCAAGACATGAGGGAGTGAAAAGAGTGACATCGTGACGATAACCCCCAAAAACAAAAAGAGTCGGTTGTGTCCTCACGGTAAATGGCTTAATGCGAGCAAGGGAGAACAACAGGCACTGATTTGTGATTCTGGCTTAAACGACCTGTATATGATGATGTGATTAACTGAAAAGGATTAAATGATCGACATATACTTTGAGGTTAAAATGTCTTGTTAAGTAAGTATGACTCTCGTCACACGGATCCGAGTTGTATTTATTCTTGCAGGTTTACATCCTGTTTGTGGTTTCGAGTAGCAAAGAATCAGTTTCTTCAGAAGGGTAGGGGTCATACTAAGAAAGAGGAGTGTAAAAAAGGGTGTTGTACATGATAAGAACACTAAATAACAGCTCTCCTGGTCAACACAAAATGCTCTCTATAAAAAGACTTTTTAAAAAAAAACATATGGCAGCAAGTATGCGACAGCAACATGAGAAAACGACATGCGTACCCCATACCCGGAAACTTCATCCCCATACGTTACCAACGTATAAGTCGTCAAAACGTTACACTGTCGCCTGTCCTGCTTACGAAGTATCCATCTACTAAACCTTTTCCTCAAAGTACCGTTCGAAATAGGGTACCACAAGGGTTAACAAGATTGACCCAAACTACATGTTGACGTAAACAAAAAGAGGATACAGACAGTGCATACACAACGTCAGTCACGACAACGGGAAGCAAATACCGGTTTCTATCGGTTACAATCAAGAAAACAAAAAAAATGTCACTCACCTGGATATAACCAATGATTTGAAAGTCTCCAATAGCTGCAATTGGTGTCTGTAAAAGCCCCATAATGCCACCAATGCCAAATGCAATACCCGATAGTGCCCCATAGTGCTGGAAACCAAAACGATGTCCCAAGTACGCGAACAAGAGCGGAAACATGATGGTCCGAAAAAAAGCGTACGTGATAAAACCAGCGACAATCCACACGGTCGACATGCTGCTTAGCATGACTGTGAAGCACAATGCTGCTATTGTACACAATAGCGAGGAGTATGTGTATCCGCACTTTTCCAGCAGGTACCCTACAAGTGGGATGAAAATGATACTTCCAGGCAAGATAAAGGCCAGTTTTCCTAGCAAATCGACCACCTCGGTCTCTGGAAGACCTTTCCACCGCAACAAGCCTGTAATGCTGCCCAGAAAGAAGTTGCACCATAGTGACAGGATGGAGAAGTACAATACAATGAGCAGGAATGGCTTCGATAGCACCTGCGTCCTGAAGGAGCGGTTGTGCAGGTCTCCATCGAAGAAAATTCCATCAGTCGGTAAAGAGTGGCTTTTGCGGTACTGATGAAGCTCTGGTGTAGACAGCAGTAGCGACACTTCTTCCTCCTTGAATACGGACGGTAAACGCATGGGAGAGAGCAACTCATGCTCTTCACTGGGTACGATATCAAATGGAATATCCGGTTCCGTGAGTAGTGTGCCGATGAGCGAGAGGAACAATGCACCCGCGTACATCTCGAATACCGTGGCCATCGACAATTGGAGGTGCATGTAAGCAAGGTTGAACAGCGTGAATATCAGGAAACTTAACTGAAGACCTCCAACGATGAAACACGCAACTAGTGCCGTTGCTTCGGGGAATAGATTGGCCATGTGAATGGCAGAGAGCTGGATACCCGGTCCTGAGAATCCCACCAACACCATTCCGTAAAGCACCAGATCGTGTCCTTCAGCATTGACCCTAAACGAATATTTACACAAGAAGGTTAAAAGAATTGTACGTGTTGTGCAAGCCGAACAGATACTTTGACGATAGCTTATCGAACACCTGTAGTGTGCATTTCCCATACACAAAGCCCCAGTAATCAACGCGACCAACGAAACTGACTTCGTCACACGGGGTCCAAACCTACAAGAAGGCGGTATAATTCAATCAGTATCTTCAAAGTAAACGCATGCGCAGTACTTGTACTTACTTGTCGAATACAAGACCGAGAAATAGATTGGACCACATACTACTGGAGACCGCCATTGTAAATGCATACTGAAGTTGATCATTCTGTTCTGTGCAGACTACGACAAAACATAACGAGAGCAATTTCCATTAGTTGACGATAAATCTTCGTCGTTAGCCAATTGCAGCATGTACTTGTCTCCTCTGTCTTGCAAAACTCATGGTATATCCGCTCCTTCTCTAGCATTGGCACCAGTGACGTCCTGTACAAAGCAACAGAGCACCAAGACAAACAACATACAAACGTTACAAACCCACGTAGCCACCAATCATGCAGACGGTCAACACATGCGTCATCACTACCAGCCAAAGATAACTCCTGCACCCAGAAAACACTGAAAGATGGCAAATGCCACATAATAATAACGATACGAATGACAGTCGCTGTCGCTCTTCATGAACATGATCAAGTCAAAACTCGAATACATTCGACCACCGAAGAATTCGATATCGGACTGATTTCTGAAGCATCTGTTCGTGACGACGGTCTGTCATGATATAGAAAGAGCAAGTATCGACTACCGACGCTGCGTCGTCACCATTCGAATGACGAGCGTCCATGAGACTCGGGCCATGACGCTCGTTGAGTGTCTTCAGCGTCTTGAACGGTTACAGGTCAATGCGATCAAAGCCAAGAATTTGCTGACAGTTCATTTGCTTGGTGCCGATCACCGCGAGGGTAATACTGGAGCTGAGACTTTCGAGGTCTTTCGAACGTTTACGCATCACGTCGCGACTCGGATGCGTATCACGTCACTACAGCTCGTGTTGGTAGGGCCCAATTTATCCAGCAAACTCCATCTCCAGCAGGTTCTACAAAGCTACAAGAAATCAAATGACAAAGCAGATACCACGATGTGTCACGTGGACATGAGGTACTTTGTAGGCGGCTTTGAAGCCTATTTCAACGACAAGATGCTGTATTGTCCACCAGACCTCGTCGTTTGCTTCAATGCTGGTATTTGGGGCTATGACGAGTGGCTACCGGCTATTCGACTCGTATTAAGAGAGGTACAAGTACCTTTACTGATCACCTCGTATAATGAACACGAAGCTGAAGACGACGAGGACGTACTGGACAAATTGACGCCGTTTCAGTGGCTCTGGAGACCGGAGAAGAATTTGTATGGAGCTAGCACACCACGCGCCACGGACAATGAGGAGGGGAGGATTCTCAAGGAGAATAACTACTGGATGTGTCTGACTGGCAGGCTACAGTGAGATCACTCGATGGCTCTATGAAAATGCAAGACTTGTTTTACATGAAGAAGAGTTCGGAGGTGATCTGTTGTATTTGTTTATCTCTTGTCCTTCGTTCTGTTGTAGATCCTTCCTTGGTAGCGGAGATAGCATCGTGCTCATCATTCAAGCAGCAGCTCGACAGGCACTCCACACGGAGCGTTGCCCATCAAGCGACGCAGACGCAACTCGCCTTGAAGTTCGCACACTTGTGGTAGGAAAGCCCTGTGTTCATTAACCACTTGCTTCCACGTCTTTGTTGGGAGAACGAGGGTGCAAAACGTGCCTGAAGCATGACGCATCCGAATGTTTTTGATCATTTCTTCGGATGTCTTGCCACCGCCATGGGCAGTCTCCTCTCGTTTGGCACCAAACGTCAGCACTGTAGCGTCCTGGAAGCTTTCTTGGACGTAGTCTTTTCCTTCGTCTCCTGAATCTGGTAGTGGTGGCGAGCGAGGCACAGGAATATGCAGAAATTGCTTATGACCCTTGCTTGTAGCCGCTTCCAAGAACACAACACCGACGTTAAACGGTTCTGGTGGGGCTGATGTAGTGAATGCATATGGTACAGTAACGCGAGCTTCATCGTTTGCAGTAAAAAGATGGGCAGTCTACACACATTAACTGGTAATGCTTGGGCATGGATGCATCATTTTGCAGCGACGCCAGCACACTGGAAGGGTCTGCAATTTGAAACGCATTGATGAACTCATCTAGCGTTGCGAGCATCTTGACTTTGATCTGACCCATGTACTCCAAAGCTCTCGTCTTTAACTGCTGAGCGTTTACATCATTCAAAATCTCTGTCTCATGCTTCTGCTTCTTGTGAGCTTTCTCCTCCTCCTCCGAGTCGCTACTATCGTCCGCCATGACATTCTTCCGTACAAGTGTCGGGAAACAAGCTTTCAGTCCCTGTAAGAAGTTCACAGCCACTTCTCCCACGTCCAGTACTTGTACACTCAGGGTCTCGGTATCTTGAGCTTGAGGTAATGGAACGACCAGGAGTCGGCGCTTCCCGTCACGCTTGACACGTCCACCAAAACACGTGAGCTGTCGAGAACACTGAACCTGTCCAGCCACCACGATATACTCATCGAAAGGCAGCTGCGTCTTTGTCGTCACTTCCACAAGCACTAAAGCTCCAGCGTCAATGGCCTCGAACACAAACATGACAACAATAGCACCTCCTTCGTAAAACAAAGCAAAAACTCAAATTAAATCTGCATCTATCGTCCGCTCTCATTCTCTCTTTGGCTCTCGAATTCTTTCTCTCTCCTTCCACCACATCCACCATTCCTATTGTTGTATGTCTTGAATGCTACGGTTGCTTAAATATGAATATCGGCAGGCAGGACCGACGGTTTGAGGATCTCCTCAACCAAAAAGTCCAGTGGAAATTCCACGAGATGGCCGTGGATCTCCGAAAGCTGGTCACGTGCTCGCGTTTCATCTTCCTTGCGGACCGTAGCTGCTGTCTGCACGTGACCAATCTGGCAGTCGGCTTCGTCCTCTTCCCTTTCATCTCCATCTTCATCTTCTTCGGCAAGAATACCGTCGCGGGTGGCCGCATGGTAGCTACCCCGACCGTCCTCCAGCTGCGGGTCATCGCCATGCAAATTATCCTCCTCCGTGTCAAAATACTCGGCGTTGAACTTCGAGCGACGGCCGAAATCCAACACGTCCACCGTGGATACCCATCGCTTAAGAGACGCACTAATGCCTCCTCCATACTCGCTGCCCGCATCACTCGATTCGTCGTCTGTATCGTGCTGTCGAGCACCACCCGCACTAAAAAAGCCGTAAGGACTATCTCGCCCGCTTCGAGTATTACCGCGAGCTCGAACTCCACCACCAGTACCGTGCACAGATGATGCGCGCGGGCTGCGCACACTGCGTATATTGCGAGGTCCATTTATAATCGCGTTCACAGACGGACTGTGAGGCGTCGGCATGGAACAGGGAGAGTTCGGGTATGATTGAGTATCACCAGGCACCGCAGACAGCAATGAAGTGTTGTTACCTACCACCAGCATCGAACCGTTCAACGGCATCGGTGCCGAATTATAACACCGGCGACCGCGAGTCGCACCTCCGGCACTCACACTACCAGATATTACACCTCCTGAGTCCAGTTGAGTGAAGTGTGTCGGAGTCGTACTGATGGAGTTCGAGCGACTGAAATCACCTTGCTGAAGTCTTCGCCAGATCGAGTGGAATCGTCCATGTTCCTCGTCGTCGCTAGCCATGCTGTAAGAGCTATCGCGAGGATCAGGACGTGGCGGTAGCGAACCCTTCTTGTCCCATCGCCGTCGTCGCACTTGGGCCATCAATCTATCCGCTACAAGATGCTGAAGTTTTTCACGTTTCTTGTAGTCGGTCTTCATGGTGCGAACCTCTTGGAAAACCGAAAAGTTACGCGCGTAGCACCAGCCATCGTGATCCATAGAAAACAACTTCTTCTTCCGATCCCTGTAGTTATCTACCTCGAAATCACTCAGATCCACGCGATCTGCCGCAATCGGCACGCCGTTGACATCAGTCCATGGTGCGTAGTCTCCCTCCTTTAGATTGCTTGCGTCCCACAAGTGTGATCGCCCCGATACCTTAAGCACATTTAAACGCTGATTTTCGAAAATCTGCGTTACTTCAATGCTCTGGAAATTCACAAATCCGCGCATGCGATTTGAAGGTGCACAATCAAACACAGCCTCAAAGATCTTGGTGTTGCTTGAGGCAGTGGACTTGATGGACTGCCATGTGAGATCTGACGTTGGATCCGCTACGGAGATGTCATCATCAGACAGGCCTAGGTGCTCACGGAAAAGCTGCATGCGAAGCTTGCTGGCCGTAACGCCTCGTCGGTATGGCTTCTCGTTCATCAAACCATCCTCATACTGCATATCCTCGATCACAAGCGCAATTTCTGAGTCGCGATCTCCATTCATACTGCGGTCATTGATGTTGGCACTGCCGATAATAGCGCATCGGTCATCTGCGATCATGAGCTTGCTGTGAATGTAAATCTGCTCGGTGGCCACGCATCCGTTAGGCATAATACCGTACTTACGCAATCCAAAAAATGCCACATAGTTCTCTGGGTAATTTGTCACACCTTTCAATGCCTCAAAGAGACTGTAGCGACCACGACAAATAGTCGCAAACTGCCAGTGCATCACTGCGTGTAGGTTCGTAAGTTCATGGCTGCGGACGTTGCCCTCAAATGCCGGGAGAAGTGGCATAACCACATACACTCGAAATTTCTCGTCACGCTGCACAGCACGCTCAATGCGATTCACTAACGCTTGCAAAATTCGATTTCGTACAATTCCGTTGCCATCCATTCCTGAAATGAAGAACTGATTTTCAATGTACAAATAGTGCTTCGACTTCGCGATCACATCCATGTAAGCAGCCTGAATACTGGCTTCTGTAGGCACGCCGGCTGACCACATGGATACTGAACGACACACCTGGACGTTGCACATATTAGCGTTTGGGTGAAACACTTGAAGAATAGACTCGCCGCGCTGAGCACGCAGCACTTCACCATCGTCTAATTGATCCGTGGTCGTCGGCGCGCTCGTAAGGAGTGGTCGCAGCGGATTTAATGGGTGTAAAGAAGTGGTTGGTGGCCACTCAGGGCCTGTAGCAGCACACGGATACATGGGATTCACCGACTGCACCACTTGAAACGGTTCCATAGTCAACGAGTCTTCACGAACGACGGGAATAGTTGTTCGTGTGGATCCATCCCGCATCACTTCCGGGTCTGAGGACGGGTACTGCAGCATCCATCCGTTGAAGTCCATAGGAACAAGGCACTTCGGCAAGAACTTAAACCGCCGCGAACGAAAGCATATGCACCAGCCTGTTCGAAGCTGGTAGTCGTTCTTAGAGCACACAAAGTTCCAGCGCTGAATGAAGTGATATGCTACATCCTGGACGGGTGGCCCAGAAATACTACAATGCACATCATGCCATGGCATTCGCGGCTGTGAAGACCGATCGATAAGATCTTCGAAAGGTTTGTTCACCCGAACAAAATCCTTGATGATCGGATTCGAATAGTCCTTGCCACGCCAGACGGGATCGTCGCTAGGGTCGCTGATCGGGTGTCCTTGGTGGTCGTATCGACCAAAGCACAAATCCAGCCCGCCCACAAACGCCAAAGACTGGTCAATACAGACGATCTTTTCATGATGCGACCAGAATCCTAGACTTTGAATCTGAAAAATCGGATCACGCAGAACCCGAATGTTAGGGTGCACCATCAGACTGCGCTTTGTGTATGCGCTATTCAGCGTAAGTGCCAGCTTCACTTCACGATAAATCAGCACGTAGATCTTCACGCCAGCCTCAGCTTTCTTCATCAGCATCTGACGCAGCATCGTCTTGTTCACTTGCTGTCCGTTGGGATCTTCGTCAGTGTCACGTGGGGGTAACTTCCGGCCTGGACGCAGCAAGAATACGTCCGGACACACCCACCATCCAGCAATCAGAATCTCATATTTTGCGCTGGAAATTGCTTTAAACATGGCTGCATACGTGTCTTCAGCATCCACATGCCAGCTAACAGCGCTAGGATTCGGTAGTGGAGCCTCAAATGCTTCCTCAGATTGGGTGCTGCTGTCAATACGCGATGGAGGCACAAGATCCACACGAACGGCACCCTGCTCAAATTTCACAACCGAATCCACCACCTGGTTGATCGCACTAGTTGGAGTACTTCCAAGTGGTAAGTTCGCGGCCTTCGCTTTAGCGTTAACCGCGGCGCTATCGTCGTCACCCACGGTGCTGATGTGCTGCGGGGCAAAGGAGTTAAATCGCGTAGACGTTTCCTGACGCTTAAGCTTCTGCAGGCGACACACACATCGATACCAATGGTCCCTCCGCACATGCGGATGCCAAAGTCCAAGGAACGTTACAAAATAGTTAGCCAGGAAACCAACCACCGGCGCTATTATGCCACCTGCAAACAGGAACATCAAGTAATAGACGTACGATCGCCACGTGAGAGGCGCTATGCGCACGGAAATCACACAAAAACTATCAACTTTGCCAAAGCGCTGCACAGCAATGTCGGTGGCGACACCTTTCAGCGTCAAGATACCCACTGTTGACAGCGAGTATTTTGTGCCCGATTTGAGAAAGCGGTCATGTATCACATCAATTGGCTTCACCACACTCACCATCGTGCCTGCTCCAACTGCGTTCGTGATCACGTTCAGACTGTTGCCCATGCTATCGCTTTGCCAAAAGTATCCGAGGTTCGCTGTCATCGAATTCAAGGACGGCATCTGTAGCTGCGAGATTACAACTTTGTCATCGTCACTGTCGACGTAAACCGTGACGCCGTCGGGCACCGTAAAGTAGTAGCCGCAATAATCAACATCGGTGCTCTTCGTCCAATTCTCGTATCCTGAAGCGTCCGCAATTGGCACACCCAAGCTTTTATTCAAAGTAAGGTTCTGGAAGTCGTAAATGCTATTTGACAGACGCATAATCCCATAGCAAACTCCCATAAGAGCTATAAAAGCTGTCAATCGAGTGTAATAATGTCCTGTGTCGATTTCGATATCACCAGCTTTACTACCCACGACCAAACCACTCGGCATCCAGCTTACTCCTTGTTTGTAGCTTCCTTTCCTTGCTGTAAATGTTTTATCGAACAAAAACACCTCACTTGGCTCTCGATCATTTCGATTCCGGTACGCAGCAAAGCAAGAAGGTTTTAGTACCACCCATCGCCGGATGACACCAAGTCGATGCTGGAAAAACTTGTATACAAACCCAGCAAAGAAAATAATGCCCGCCAAAACAGCTAGACCCATGAAAACACCAGCAGTGTTCAGCTTTGTAGATACCTCCGTGGTACCCGAATCCGAGTTTACCAGCTCCTTTTGAGGAGAGAAGAACGTGGGAAGACTCGTCACAATCACAAGGCAGACTGGAAAAATAAAGCCTACAATAGCTGACACAAAAGCAATACGCATCCAAGCACGGTACAGATGCCGATACAGTGCCTCAATAGTACGATTGAAACATGTGTACAACGGCAGCTGGAATGGTCCGTTAATGCGCATGTGCACGTATCCCTCCTTCAGCGACGGCCCAAGTCGCAGCATCGCTCTCGACGGACTCACCTCCAAGAATGATAGCAATGGCTCGGAATTTCTCCAGTCCCTGTCTTTTAGCAACTTTCTAATATAGTTTTGCACAACATAGACGTCCATCACTCGTTTTTCAGCGCGCTTTTCACGCCAAATTGTCCACGGCAGATGCACTCCCCGCATCAATTTGTGTCGGTTAAAAAGACTATAGAGATGCAGGTTCAAATGCAGTCTCAGTAGTTGTTTTTGTCCAAAATAAATCTCCCAATCCGTCGTGCCCCACCGCACTCGACCCACAAAGACACAGCATGGAATGACTCCTGCTTTAGTAACTGTAGCTCGATTAACTGAAAAGTCAATCGAGTTCTCCACTACTTCCTCTTCTCCTTCACTCAGATCGGAATTATCGTCGTTCATGATCGTCATCTCCTCGTCGTTCGGATCCTCGAGAATGTCACTGTCAACGCACTCCTCTTCAAAGCTGTTCACGGCCACTTCTTTACAATCTCTTTGACTGGATATGAAGCTATTTAAACTTGGAACGTTGTCAAGACCAGAGGTAATTGAACTTCCTGATGCTTTGTAGCTGCTGCTGTTACAGCTGCTGTTATTGTTTCGAGTGGTTGAGGTCTGTTCTCTTGTGTCGTCGTCGGGTTCAGGCATCCCATGTAGGCGCTGGAAGGACGCCACGATGTTACTGGAAGGTGAAGTCCCAACAAGGTACACAACTGGCTCGTAGAAGCTCTAGAAACTGCAGAAGTTACAGAAAAAAATACACACAAAAGTGAGATCACATAGCGGTAAAAAAACGTCGGCAGAACGTTCAATTTGATACCTCTCGTTTACGAAGATTCCGTTACGTTAAGAGTGTCCTAAAAGATATCAACTGATAGAGTGGTAGAGGGCAGAAGGGAGGAATATACGAGACGCTTGACGCCGCGGGACTCTTGTTGTTGTACGTTAGCAGTGCGCGGACGAACCTGTGAAAAATGGTTTGCTTACAAATATGATGTATGCTGTGACTGCAAAACTGTATAAACATATATTCGAGTCAGTCTTTCTATTGACTATGGGATAAGAAACGAGCCAACATGTTGCAAGAAACCGTACACTGGCCAGATTTTAGATCAATAGATAATGCAATTAATTCCCGTAACTCGAGCGCTTAAACTGTATCTATTTTGCAGCTGTCTTTGCTACTATTCCTCCAATTTTTCTGGCTCGCCATTGGCGACCGTTTCGTATGTCAACAAGTGATAATGACAATGAGGCGATCTCGGTTACACGCAAGTGGAAAATATGGCATTACAAGGACTTTTTTAAACCAATTAAGAAAGTAATGACAACGACAGCATGATATCGGTATACTATCTAAATTGTTAAGTGACAAGACATTTTGCAAGTATAAAAAGTGTTGTAATTGCTCCAAGACGAGGTATTTAGCACTTCCGCAGGTGATGTATTATTGATTATTACGAAAGTAGCCCTGACCTATATCGTCGCAAGTAGGTTGGTCATGTGAGAGAGAGAGTCCAGTATGTGTATAAAGACACTAACGTAAGCTATATGGAGATTACGTCCCGCCGTATTTGACACAAAATGACGTTAATATAAAGAGTCTGTTGGACGGATTACGTCACCAGTCTGGTGTTCTTGTTGCTATTGAGTAGCAACGCATACTTTTACCATCTACTTTGGCTCAAAGACCACTTTCTCATCCAGCAGTCGCTCAATGTCCATTTTGGACCTTCCAAGTACGTCTTCAAGCACGAAACGTGTGTCCTGCCCCAGTTTGCGTCCGGCAAATTGTGTTTTGCCCGGCGTGGCTTTTAACTTGGGCAAGATCGCAGGCACCTTGAGCGTCCGCGTTTTGTTTCCATCTGGAATTTTCACCTTTTCAAACATCCCGCGGTGCTGGTAGTGCGGGTCCTTAAGCATGTCTTCTACAGAATACACAAGGCCCACTGGTACCGTAGTCTTCTCCATCACTGCAACCACAGTATCCAGATCCTGAGTCGCCGTCCAAGCCACGATCGTAGCGTCAATCTCCTCTTGATGCACGACACGGTCGGCATTCGTTCGGTACTTCGTGTTTGCTGCCATATCTTCTCTACCGATAGCATTCATGAGCTTTACGAATAGCGAGTCAGTGTTGGCAGCAAGGACGACATTCTTTTTGTCCTTGGTGATGTACGTGTTGGAAGGCACAATACCGCTGATTGTAGAGCCTGAGCATTCCCGGACTGACCCTGCATAATCATATTCAGGCACCACTGCCTCCATGAGATTGAACATCGATTCGTAGATAGCCACATCCACAACCTGTCCATTGCTGTTCAATCCAGCTGCAGCTCCTCGCTCACGTCCAAGAAGAGCAAGCACAATTCCTAGAGCCGCATGAATCCCAGCAATAGTGTCGCCAATGCTGAGGTTTGGACGAGCTGGTGGACGGTCTGAAAAGCCGTTCACGTAGCGAAATCCCCCCACGGCTTCACACACTGAAGCAAAACCTGGTCTCGACGAGTATGGTCCACTTTGTCCAAAGCCGGATACTCGCGCGTATACGAGTTTAGGATTTACCTTTTCAAAGTGGTCCGGCCCAAGTCCCCACTTCTCCATACGACCAGGACGAAAATTCTCAATGAGGACGTCACTCTGCTCGATAAGCTCTTTAACGAGCTTCCGCCCTTCCTCTTTCTTCATATCAATTGCCACCGACCGTTTGTTGCGTCCGAGCGAGTACCACCACAACGACGTCTTGGTCGAGTCTAACTCGCGGTAGCCGCGCACTTGATCACCTGTAGGGGGCTCCACCTTGATCACATCAGCTCCGAAATAGCTCAAGATTGTTCCGGCAAAAGGTCCGGCGATGAGGTGACCACATTCCACAACTCGGATGCCCTCAAGAGGTAAAGGACGATCTGTCGATGAACCAGTCGTCAATGTTGTTACACAACGGGGAGCTTGACTTTGTATGCATCTATTGCATCGAGGAAGCAGCAAAGAACCTCTTGGGAATAATGACAACATTCTAAGTCGAAGCAATATTGTCGCACGTGGTCTGCGTGATGCGCAAATGTTTATATTTTTGTAAAGACGATCGCTCGCCTGTCACCATCACGAAGGAATGACTATCATGGCAGAATTGCTGGTGTCTGGAGCACGTAGTAGCTGTGCATGCACAATGAAATGAAGGAAAGTTAGAACACGCTCTACCATTGTTTATGTGAACTTCGTGAGATAGTGATAGGTCATACCTGATGTTGGCGGCATCTGTGATGCTCAGGAACGTTCGCTTGATGGCACTTATGACTACAGTAGGTTCATTGGCGTCGGCACATTGCTGCAGCTCTAGTAGTCTGTTCATGAAGATAGTATGGTAGAATTCACACCATGTTAGAGTTGCAATGACCTTGAATGACTCAAAACAGACGCACCGCTTGATGCTTAGTGTCGGGGAACAGGAAATGGCAGGAAGCACTACAAAGCAGCAATACGTCGACTCCTGCTTGTCGCTGGGCAATTTTTTTGCTGTCTTTCGCTTGCGTTTGCGCTCGATGCGTTCGTCTTCTAGCTCGGACGTTAATACATTGCCGTAAATTACATCTACAACTTCGTTGGAGTCAGTCGAGACTCGAATGTCACGCACGACTTGCCACTCCGTGAGACCACGCTTCACCAAGAGATCGTTCAGTACCTGCGGACATGCGCGATGACGAGCCTTTACATGGGATAAAAGCTGTTATATATAAAGGTATGCGAACCTCTTGGGTTCCAGGCACTAGAAGAGAGATGTTCATTTCGACTCGTTATGTTCTAGACAACTCAATGAAAATGAGAATGGAACTGCATACACTTGTTCAAACTGCGAGTGAATATATGGATCAGATAACTGTCTTAATTGATCTGCTAAACAGAAGTGGAGGCAGTGCGTTCCGCTGTTGCGCTTCGACGTCAAGACGGGCAAATTTCACGGTCGTGTTTTTTGGCTTTGGCACAGCATCGTAGCTAGCTTTAGCACCTTAAAGAGAAACCTTGAGGTTATTCCGCGCAGTGTGCTGCTACGTGTAGGTAGCACACGGGAATGCATAGCTATGCATAGCGTTAAATGATGCGCTTCTCGCGAAACAACTCGAATAGTTGCTTATGTTGCATCTCGCCGACCACGAACGACAGTGTCGCGTTCTTGTAATGGTCACTGTTGAACGACAAGTTGTTGATTATATCTTCGAGAAGCACAGCTTTGCCCGAAAACGTTCCTAGCGCAAGACAGCTCAGTCACTTAGACACTAGGCAAATATGTGGACTCTAAACCGTAGGGTGCGCACCGTGAATCATCTTGATGTGCGAAAAATGCACATGCAATTGGTAGTACGTTGGTTGATAGTGCAAGTACATGCGAATTGAGCTCGCGCTTACGCCAAACTTCTCGCTCAGAATTTGTAGGCTGGCATCGCTGTTTCCAGGCGGGATCATACAACACGTGAGCAGTAGAAATCTTGACGTCTCAGAAACCAAATACAGATGATATCAGTACCGGATGTTTCGCAACAACTTCAAGTGTGCACCAGTGAGATCCCGAAGCGATCGTAGCGATCGATCGTGCACGATTGCCAGACAGTAAAGCGATTCTAGCTGCGAGTAGTGAGAACAGAAAGGAAGTCAGCACCTACATGAAGGCCACCAAAGAACTACGATGTGTACTTGAGATGGGTCCGACCACTTAAAGTCGGGCAACAACACAAATCCATTGCGAGGGTCTGTATCTTCGTAAATAATCCGATCCGTCTCGCTCTTGCTAAAGTCATCAACAAATACAACAGTCCGGTAGCAAATATTGCTCAATCATTCATTCCAATCGCCAAGACTTACTGTTCCAAGATATTGTACACCCACTCAATATTCTCTGCGGGAATACTGTCAATAAACGGCTTCGTGATCATCCGATATGCTTCCTTCGTCTCCACCACCATGTGAAAATTTTGGTCCATGTGTTTGCGTACATGACGCTCAGTTGCCGGATAGATCAAGTTCACCTGTACACATCATTTGTATTAGATAAACATCATCAAACACAACTCGTCACGCATTCTGTCTTCCTCTCATTCTCTCTAGTCCACATCCTCACCTTGTACGGCTTGACAGTACGTGACACGTCGCCTTGAAACGTACTGTAGATGTCATTCACCAGAATCTCATGTAGTGACATTCCCACGAGCATTTGATTCAAAGCTTCTGTATCCATAGCCGCAGTCTGGATAACCAACACTGCTGCCTTCTTGTGATTATCACTCTTGAAATTCCCCAATAACGCTAGCTCCGTGTCTGTCCGTTTGAGTACACGCACCAAGTTGAAATCCCGTAGCATTTTAGTGGTTCCGACATTGGCCACCGATTGGTGCCGAATATAAAGTCCTCCAAGTACAGCCACTGCTAATGCAATGCCCACCTGCTCCAGCAGACTCAGCATCATGTTGATTAGCTTGGTCACTCAAACAATGAGTAACAGTTTATTGGCTATTACTGAAAATTCTAAGAAACTTCCGTGCTCCGGCTCTGCTCATATCTGCGAGAGTACTTTACCTGTTCCCGCAAGATCAGTGTAACGGGGTTACACGACGGTTCGATATTATATCCAGAATTGTGTCATGTTTGTACTTCTATGAATATTGCTTAATGTATTACATTTAAGGAGGTATTAAGTATGAGCGTTACGGTACGGGATTCGGTAATACCGTATTTTATCGATTAGGATTCGATGATCGATATCGCTGTACTTCATACATCATACTTAAGATGTTTAGTCGACATATCGTCCAATAACGAAATCTGCATATTATAATTACTGTTATAGTAATTAATCTAGTATAGGGTACTTAGAGTAGGATTATTCATAAATCTTGAATGCATAAACAAAATCAAATCTCATTGAGTTTATGATCGCAAGTCGTTCTGACTTGTTCTCTTGGGCACTTCGTGCGTTAGTTCTCTGAACCTTAAGGTTATCGCTTGTAGACTAGAAGTCCCTCCTAGTTGTAAGAAGGCATCTAGTTACACGTAAACATTAAGTAATATACTTAATGTAAGGTCTTGAAGTATCCATGATTACTTTTGACCTGTCACTTGGGTGAGATACACAAATGTGATCTACCCTCGTGAATGTGATATCCATTTATGGATTCACATGAGAAGGGATGACGCTAGTTGAAGCTAGGCATCGCGACGTCTCAGAAGGACGTCAGTTGCATACTTAAATCTAGATTTAAGCTCATGCGACAGGATACGCTTAAAGAGTCGCGTATCCGATCTATATACATATATAGACAATCAGTAGTTAAACTTTATATTTAATTATAATTCATCAAATATATCTCAGTCTTGAATTTACTAAATCGAAAGCACCGCGCACGAGAAGCTGAAAAAGCTTCTGCGTGACGTTGGTGACTTTTGTTAAGAAGTTCGTTGCGCTCTCGCTTGATCGAGAGGAAACTGGTGGTACGACTGCTTAAGCAGTCGACCACCCGCATATCCACCCTCGCGCGCGAAGGTAAGACGGTATAATCGCTTACTCGCTTGTGGTGAAGGTGTGCGCTAAGTAGCAAGAGGCAACTTCGTAGAAGTGCCCGTCTACACGTGGTAGCCTTAGTAGTCCTTCCCACGACCCGTCTCTCTGAGCGTGCGTGTGGTTAAGATGGTCCTTAATATGGAATGGAGTGGCTTCCCTCACCTCTCCCATCATCATAGGGAGTTGGCAGAGCATATGGCGCAGGGACTTGGTGAACAAGCCCTGGTCAGCCTCTTGCATTGTCCTCCTGAGCAACATGTTGCTCAGTTGGAGCAATTTGAGGCGTTTGTGCTCGGACAGTGTAGAAACGCGTCCGAGGTAAACTGCCAAGCCACGGCTGAGTCCATCAATAAGACTCAGGATGAGCTTAGGCTTGAGCAGGCACGGAATTAGGCGCTCAACAGAACTGTTGAGACGCTCTCTGCCCGTCCTAATCAACCGAGGTCCATTCGAATGGACCCTCCGAAGTTCGATGGAACTACCCCTCACACGATTGTTCACTGGCTATTAGCAGTTGAGCAATGTGGAGTGGAGCAGCTCATCGAAGATGACACCAGAATGGTGTCGTATGTAATGTCTAACTTGCGTGACAAAGGGTCAGAGTGAGCATACTCTGCGCTGATGGAAAATGCTGATGCATTTCCATCATGGGCGATCTTTAAAACAAAGATTCGCGCCATGTATCAGCCGCCTAACAACGAAGTGTTGTTTATGGCGCACTTCTTTGGAGCACGACAAGCGAAACGCTCTCTGCGAGAAATTGAGCAGGAGATGCGCTCGCTGTCGGCGTCCATTAATGTGGAACCGACACCGGAACACATTAAGGTGGCCACGTTCATAAATGGACTTAGGCACGGCCCATCGCGTCAGGCCCTTTTTAGAAAAGTGCCATAGACGATGGGGAAGGCAATTGAATTTGGCATTGTTAAGGAGCAATCCTGCAACAGCGCCTCGGCGACAGCCTATTACAGGCCGTCGACCGAGAAGTCTGATGCCACATCTATGGAGTTAGGCAATGCAGATGTGATCTGCTACAAGTGCGGCAAGCGAGGCCATATGATGTCTCGCTGTTATGCCAAAGTAGCTGCTGGTGCTAAGGCAGACAGCAAAAGGTCTCTCAACCCGAAGGGAGGTGCGAAAAACCAACGTGCACGACGCACGGGTTCAGCACCTGCCCAAGATGGGTCGGGAAATGCGGGAGCGCAGTAGGGGCGGGATGCCCTACTGTCGCGGACTCTGAAGCTACCCCTAAGTTCAGAGTGATCGAACAAATGGGTAGCATATTCCCTGAGGTTCCGAAAGGTCGGACCTCAACCCTTTTGGTCTATAGCGATCGAGTACGAGGCTATGACCAAGTGATGACCCTTCTCGTGGATTCGGGTGCATCACAAAACTTTGTGAAACTCGCGGCTCTGAAAAAGAGACCGGCGAGTTATGAGTCGCTTTGCCAGGATGGCAAGCGAGAAGAGGCGATCGTTCGTTTAGCGAACGGCGCGCTCGTTAAATCGGAGGGAGTTCAAGTTGAACTCGCCTTCAGTTTCAGTGACTTCTCTTGTAAAGAGAAGTTTACAGTGCTAGGTATGGAGAGTCCGTATGACCTCATCCTAGGCATGCCTTGGCTGGCTAAACACCAACCATGGATAGACTGGCGTACACGCACAGTAGCTAGCTCTACGCAAGACACCGGAAAGGATGTGCTCTTGCCAGAGGCTTATGTGGATGATGCTGTGTCCAACACAGTCGAGGGTGGGATGATCGTATGTCGATCGGCACCAGGTACTACCCAGCTCGTTGATCCTGGAGTAGCTGGAAGCTCCGTGGCAGAAAGACAGGTGACACATATTCCTGCCCAGGTCAAAAAGACTGGTGTAGTGAATGGGGCGATGACAGGTAGTCATGCGTCCAATAGTCCTTCACAGAGCCGAGAGCCTGTGGAAGCTGATGGTAGAATGACAGGAAGTCAAGCGCCACAAGAACGGGCACAGAGCCATGGGCCTTGTGCGGTTGGAAGGAGTGCGTTGGCTAATACAGCAACGACACCTTCTTTCAGGTCAAAGGTCGTGGTGACTCGAACAATGAGCACCAGACGTATTAAGACGATCAAGAGCACGTCGAAACGAGTGACCCTTGGATCAGTCTCGGTCCAAGAGGACGGACCTACGAACAAGTTGTTCGAGGCCGTCGAAGACAAAATTCCGGAGGCATCCTCAGTTGAGGTGCTCCCACTTGTCTTGGCATCTGCCGAAGAGATAGTAAATCTCTCGGAGATGACGTGGGATCTGCTCCTGTCCGAACTAAAGAAAGGAAAGATCCTCAAGATAGTCGCACAGTTCCAGAGGAGAACGTGGTGAACTGTTGCTCTTCATCCACAATGGATGAGAGCGTCTTGGAGACCGACAAGAAGAAACATTTAGCTGTTCAAGGCTGTGATGCCTTGAAGGACAGCCCGTTCTATGATGTTCTTTAAAAACACCGTGATGTGTTTCCAGCAGAAGTGACGAGCCGCCTACCGGCCGATAGGGGCATCAGGCACGAGATTGACCTGGAGCCTGGAACCAAGTATTGTGTGACCAGGCAATGCCGTTGCCGAAGGAACAAGTCGATTACATCGATGAGTTCTTCGACAAGCGAGCTAATGCGGGAGATCAAAACGCCTCATTGCAGCCCGACCTTCTGTGTGCGTAAAGCAATAGGTGGATGGCGCGTGGTTCATGCTTATAACAAGCTGAACACGGCCACCATTTCGGCTCAAACGCCGATCCCGCGGAAAGATGTTTTGTTGAATTCCATGAGAAAGGCAACTATCTTTTCCGCGTTGTATCTGAAGGATGGCTACTATCAGGTTCTCATGAGAGATACCGATGTAGCCAAAACGGCAGTAAGCACCCCAAGCGGTATGCTGTGGGAGTGGCTTGTGATACCACAAGGGTTAAAAAAGCTCTGGCAACATTCAACCGAGTGGTGGCTCACGTGATGCGTCAGCATCGGGCCTACGCGCCCCATTACTTTGACGATGTATTCGTGCATAGTAGGGCGGAGGACGGTCTGAGCGCGATATAGTTGCACAAGCGTCATTTCGACGCTATGTTGCTGACTCTGGGTGACGCTCAATTATACGTAAACTTGCAAAAGTGCGTAATAGGGGTTTCGAGATACCTGTATTGGGCTGCATCGTAGGTGCACACGGTGTAAGAGCATACCCAGAAAAGGTAAAGGCTGTAAAGGAATGTCCAGTCCCACGACACGTGTAGGATCTGCGCCAATTCCTTGGGCTAGCTAATTACTTGCATAAGTACAGCAAGAATTATGCGGAGCAGACTAAGCCATTGTCTGACCTTTAAAAAGGATACACAATGGACTTGGTCCAAGGAGCAAGAAGATGCGTTCACATCAGTGTAGCAATAATTTGTAGAGGCACCGGTCTTGGCATTGCCAGACGCGGATAAACCTTTTAGTGTCGTCTGCGATGCAAGCAATTTTGCAATCGGCAGCGTGCTTATGCAAAAAAATGACAACGGCGTTGACCGTGTCATATCGCATCTCTCGGCTTTTAAAGCCGCAGAGATAAATTACCCTGTGCATGAAAAGGAGCTACTATCAATTATGTATGCCCTTGTGAAGTTTCGGGTGCACCTCTTTGTAGTGGAGTGGGTTCTCAAAATTGTATGATGAGACCCCAAACCACTCACTGTGCCGGACTGCCGACTGTCGGAGGGGGTACCCCGATGCCGCGTATGAACCTTCTCTCACCTTGTGTACCCGTCGGCTGGCGGGTTGCACTCTTCGGAGGACTTGGTGACGATGTAGATGTCTGCCTTGAGGTAGGTAGACCTGGGGGGCCTCGAGTGGATATGCTTCACTCGGTGGGCCGGTAGGTGGCCACTCGATCGACCTTGTCGAGAGTGGAC